ATTTTAGAAAAATCATTAGGGAGGGGGGGCAAGCCCCATCTCCAAAACAGGAGGGGTTATATTGGAAATAGGATATAGGACAAAAATTGAAATAAGATAATGTTTTTATACTTATAGAATCTTATCTGCTATACCTGAGCGGCTAAAGTAGACCTTTTGAAACTCATGGTCATTGGGGGCGAATAATTTACCTGTATCCATAATCCAACAAGTTATATATTTAAGATCTTCCTAATAGTATTTTTTGTCTAAGAAATATTCCTGATTGCTGCTTTTCTAATTGTCACCCTGTACATGCTCGACCTACACTTAAGCGTAATCATAGCTGTCCGACGTACGTAAAAACTCAAAGGGATTGAATTGAGTTATTATTAATGGAGTTATGACTTTTTTTAAATAATGATGTTTTGTAAAGTACTGCTCTACCAACAATTTTTTCACTCAAAAACTGAAGTGAGTGTAGAGTTGAAATTTTGAGGACTTTTTCCTAAAGATTCAATGTAAAAAATACTAAAAACTCAAAGGGATTGAATTGAGTTAGAATTAATGGAGTTATGACTTTTTCAAAATAATATTGTTTTGTATGGTAACACTCTACAAACAATTTTTTCACTCAAAAACTGAAGTGAGTGTAGAGTTGAAATTTTGAGGACTTTATCCTGAAGATTCATCGTTAAAAATATTAAAAACTCAAAGGGATTGAATTGAGTTATTATTAATGGAGTTATGACTTTTTTTAAATAATGATGTTTTGTAAAGTAATACTCTACCAACAATTTTTTCACTCAAAAACTGAAGTGAGTGTAGAGTTGAAATTTTGAGGACTTTTTCCTGAAGATTCATTGTAAAAAATACTAAAAACTCAAAGGGATTGAATTGAGTTAGAATTAATGGAGTTATGACTTTTTCAAAATAATATTGTTTTGTATGGTAACACTCTACAAACAAGTGAGTGTAGAGTTGAAATTTTGAGGACTTTTTTCTGAGGATTCATCGTTAAAAATACTAAAAACTCAAAGGGATTGATTTGAGTTAATATTAATGGGAGTTACGACTTTTTTTAAATAATGATGTTTTGTAAAGTAATACACTCTACAAACAATTTTTTCACTCAAAAACTGAAGTGAGTGTAGAGTTGAAATTTTGAGGACTTTTTCCTGAAGATTCATTGTTGAAAATACTAAAAACAAAAAGGGATTGAATGGAGTTATTATTAATGGAATTAGGACTTTTTTTAAATAATGATGTTTTGTTAAGTAATACTCTACAAACAATTTTTTCACTCAAAAACTGAAGTGAGTGGAGAGTTGAATTTTTTGAGGACTTTTTCTTGCTTTGTGCATTAAATTTTCCAGATTGCAGGTGGATTAATAGAGATGGTGTATGTAATCCACCTGCAATCCAATGCACCGGCTACGTTAATCACCCTGTATATACATGAACAATTTTTTCTGCCGCTGTGTTATTGTTTTCAGGTTAGCCCCCCTGTAAACAAACAGAATCCAGAAGTCGTCGGATGACTCTAAGAGTCTATAATAAGAATCTTCTTCTAGACGGATTTTTGACAAAGGTAAGTAGGAACATATTCATCAATTTCCCATTTTATTATTTTTCACTGAAAAAGTTTGAAATTTTAGTCTGATGATCTCCTAACTTTCCTCTTTTTCTCCTGAAAATTTCACAATTTTCCCTCTAGTAGTTTTCCAGAAAAAATTAAATTGTATAAAAGTGCATTTTCGTTTGATATCCATAAAAATTGTGTCACTTCTATTTCTTAGGTAAGCCGTTACCCAATAAAGTCCAGAATCATTCTGAGCCAAAGTAGAATATTAGGCTATTAATTATTTCTGGTAAAAATCCTAATTGTGGTTTGTAAGTGAAAGGTAATAGTACATTTTTCACATATACAATAGAAACTCGATTATCCGAGCTCTGGATTAATCGAGCCAGTCTAAAGACCCAAAAATCCGAGGTCCATACTCCGTATTAACCGAGTTTCTAGAATATACCATACATAGTATAAAAGTTCTGAGACCTATTTAGCCCTTAGACTGATACCCCAGAAAATAACTTCTGTTTATAACTGGCCAGACACGAATATTTACCTACACTCTTCATAGGTATACATATATGTACATTCAGATTATCCGAGTTTTCAGTTATCCGAGGTCCACGTTACTTTGGATAACCGGGGTTCTATTGTACCTACCTACATTAGTGCTTTAGTATTTTGGGTGTTGGATATTGGAAGCTGAATAAACAAGTAATTTTTAATATAAAACATTGAATTTTCACTAACATAAAGTTGTTTTTCCAGACATCCCTTTTCCAAATTTTGAACCATGAAGCATGAAGTGATGAACTGGTTTTGGTCATGGATATGATACAAATAGATCAATAAAAGCTAAGTTTATCATTACTTTGGACATTGTACAGCCACTCTAGACATGGGACAAATAACTAGGATTTGTGGACATTGAAACAAATGACTGACAATGGTAGACGTAGCCACAACCGACTGGACAATGATGGACATGACTGCATGGATCCAAACTTTTATTACTTTTCTCTTTCAGCTGAAATTACATATGTGTTAATTCCCGAAAAACAGTTCATGATTCGACTGAATCTTTAAAGCAGGGAAGCCCCGGGGGAGCCTAATGCCATAGTTGTCCTGGACCTCATTTGTTGCACTAAATATACACCGTAAGCATGGTAAGTGTTTGCAGTGGTGTCTTCCTAGCTGGCGAGTGAAGGTTGAATTAATGGATAGTTGACGGTTTTGGCTGTACAAGTGTAATTTCGAAGTGCATTAGGCCTAACGGGGAAAGCACTTGAAAAAAAACCGCACCAACAGCTCGTACCTCTAGGGTGGTGTGGAAATTGGGCTTGAAGTTACAATTTTGAAACTTAACAAGGTGGGTTATTGAAAATAAAACTTTCTTCGTTAAAATTATAAACTTTTTGTTATAGGGCAGCACTAATAACTGAGAGTTTTAAGCTTAAATCTGCAAGACTTGTGACTGGAATCCAGAATTATATGAAGTCATGGTGAAAATCCTGGTAAGTTTTTTTCATTTTGGACATGGGAATCAAGAATCAGACCTATTTCCAAATTGGGGAAAAGATGGCTTTTCAATGTTTCAAGTTTGAGTTAATTTTTCCAGGAAAAAAAGATGTCAGATCAACTTCCAATTTCCAGAAACAAAATCCAAGTTTGGAAAATTTGTTTTCATGATTTATATAGCTTTTTTGATCTATTTTGGCTATGGAAGTTGTGTTTCACTATATTATGCGTATGTACAAGATTATCCAACAAAAGTGCTTTCTACCTTATATACCTGTTATAATTGAAGAGGTAATATCTCAGTATCCATAAGAGGTATCGTGCCAAATTTTTCTGAGATTGTAGCTCTTACTGAATGCTTTGATGTGGTATTTGAGAAATATTTGTACCACCAGTGGTTTTTCAGCAATTACAACTTGAAGTTTTGGATGAAATTTAAGCAAAATTCCAACTTTGAGGGCTGAAAAAGCCCATTCCGGCAAGCTAAATGGAGTGGCCAGTATCATGGCCCTGGAGTCTAATAAAAAGGACATGTCTAGAGACCGCACTTTAAGGACAGATACGAGATACCACAATAAATCTGACTAAGGTTGCAGTGGTAGGAGGCCGCCTATGCGCCATCTCCATTCAAACAAGTCTAATCTTATCTAATACTATTATGTTACCACGATACTGAATAACGCTTACCAATATGAACACAACAACGCCCTGCATCGCACGCGTTGGCATCGCTAGAACGGCATCGCGCAACGCGGTGTCAATGTGAACGCGCACTTAGATCTTCTTCAGTCTTTTCCTTCAATCTACCAACAGAATTAACACCATCTTAGTCAAACTTTAGAATTGCGCTTCGGAGACCATTACAGACAAGAAGTATTCAGAACTCAAGTTAAATCAAGAGTTCAAAAACCCGGCGAGAGTCTACAAGAATTCGAATCGGAAGTTAAAAGGCTAGTGAGTTTGGCGTTTCCTGCAGCTGGGGAAGACATGCAGGAATGGATGGCAGTATCTGCGCTCATTGATGGTATCAGAGATTTCAAAATCCAGGAAAACTTGAGAATGTCTAAGTTCAGGCAAAGTAGCGAAGCCCTTGTTCGAGCATTGGAACTGGAGGCAATCTTTGGTGCCTCACGACCCAGAGTACGACCAGTGTCCATTGAAGACCCAAAAGATAAACAATTGTCAAAAGAGGATGGTAGCTTCGACATTCGACAATTCATTCATTCAACGAGAACTTTAGGAATTTGGAAGAAAATAAAGGGCATTCCATTTAAAAAAAGTGAACATCGACACATTTTTTTAACTTTGCGTTGCTCATTTGTTCAATCTTAACAAAAATTTTGGCGATTCAGATAAAATGCTACAACTTTTGTATTTACATCTTTCACCTATCACCTGTAATTACGGCTGCAGGTGGGTGTCATAATATGGTGACTCGCCCTGTACAAAGTATCTCTTTATTTTTTTCCAAGATAGATTTTGACATTGTCAACTTTGAAACATAAACAATGCCGCTATAATGCCAATTATTGGCCGCTATTGTAAAACTGATGTCAACCTGCAGAAACACCTCATTTTGCGACCAATCAGGGTCAAGCATTATTGTTTATGTTTCAAAGTTTTCAATGTCAAAATCTATCTTGGAAAAAAACAAAGTATATATCTATCTTAATCTGCATTTACGAGGTCATTCACAGAAATTCACAAAATTTTCCAAAAAAAAACTACCTAGCAAATAGAGTTGTAGGATATTTATACAGATTGTGAAATTCACTTGAAGAAGAAACAGCATGTGCAGCTATAGTGAACTCATTAAAAAACAGAGTTGATTTTGAGCTTCATTATTGTCCATTATGATCTGATTTGTAACTGTAACTTCATAAAATTATTCCACCAACAGACCTTTGGTCTTTGGAAAAACGTTGTAGGTACTTTTAACGTTCGTCAAAAGAAAATAATTTTTTCACACATGGGAATGCATCCATCAAAGTGTCCAGACTTCTATCAACTCAGTGCCGAATGTCAAAAACAGACATTTAAAATTTTTCAGTTGTCCAAAACGTAAAATTTCATTATTTCCCATTTCAAATCATTGTTCATATTTTCATTTAATCATGATAGAGTACCATAAGACCAGAAAACTGGCTCAGAAATATATTGGATCTAAATATACTATAAATGTAAGTTAATTCAATAGGTAGTGATTTTTTAATTTTTTTATTTGGCTTATGGTAATTCCAAATTACAGTAGGCATAAAAATACCTAATAAATGATTTAGGACTACTTTTCAATCTCGGTCACCCGTATCCCATATCTACTCGAAAATCACAAATTAAAAGGGCAGCGCGAGCAACAAACTGTAGGGAAGCAAAAACGTCGATATCTTTCGCCGCCCCTTTTAGGAACTCGCGCCGACTCCTCGTCGTCCCAAATCTGCCGCCTCCACGCTCCACATTATCAGCCATCACCAGAAACGAAATCGATAGCTTACCTATTCTATATAAAAGCTCCATGATAAGTTGGTTGGAGCTGGGTAGGCTCAAAAATCGTCCGAACTTCTGCAGTGCAGTGTGAAGTTTGAGGGTGCATGAGACCAATTTTTTTAGGTGCCGTGCATTCTGCTGCACCAGGATTTCATCGACATGCAGCCTCCTCCAAGGAAGGTGGGACTTTTTTTTTCTTCTATTATACAACTATTTCCATTCTCATCCTGTTAGTATAATGGATTTTTTTTGAAATAAAACAATCATTTTGTAAATTCCCATTTGAAAATAAGTCACATTATCAGTTATAAAAGTAAAATCGTTATAACAAAATAAAAATCAAGAATCAATCGAAGAATGCTAACCAGGTCATACATAAATTCGCAAATAATTTGTTTCTATTTGGTTTAAGGTCATTGATTATTTACTAATAGAATAGGTAGGTACCTAAACCCCAATGTATCTCAATCCCATCATTTAAAATAAAAATGTAAACACATCATTACATAGGTAGATTTAGTGTTCCATTCTACAACATTTTGCAATTCATATTTTAAATCTTACGTGTTTTTCGTCTTCGCTTTTTGTCAATTCATTTGATGATTATTTTTTCATGCATTTAAGATGTTTCTTCTAATTAGCTACTCGATCTTTGTTCACAAGGTAATCATCAGTAATCATGATAATATCGTGTACCTTCTATATGCTCAAAGTAAACATGTTTATCCATTTTCAATGAGTTTCTCTTGTTTCCCTTTAAATTTTGTATTTATCTATTTTTAGTATTTTTCTCATATGATTTTTATCGATTAATTTCAATTGAATGTTGTTCTACTGTTTCTGCAAGGGCATTTCTTCTACATATACGTATAGAGAAATAAGTTTAGGTAGGTAGGTAGTTAGGTGAGAAAGTGAAATTTTTGTTTTGGATCTTTTATAGTTGTCTTGGATTTATCAAAAGTGTTCTATAGTAAATACTTCTTATTTTCGATTTGTTGAAATGTTATTCATGTAATATTTATGTCTTTATTTCACTCAGCTGGGATGCATAATGCAATCGATTACTGAGTGTGTTCCTGGATATTATAACCTTTGACATTTCCAGATATTTCTTGCACTTTTCTCGTCGCATAAAATATAAAAATAATTTGAGCCACAAAGAAGAAAACTTCCTAAATTATCTACTTTTATTTGTATTAATCCCTGAATAAATGTAATTCTAGTTTTGTTTGCTCAGGCGATTTACTTATCTAGATGAATAGCTATAGTTGTAACATTGGATATTCTACGCATCATATCCAATATATTTCTTTTATACTCATTATAAAACTACTAATCAATAACATTTATTTCCTAATGATAAAAACTAATCTGCAACTATTATTAAGATAAGAAATTTTAGTAAATAATTATATTGTATCAGAGGCCCCTCACCTAAATCTACTTTGAGTAGGTAGCTGAAAAACAATAATATTGTGATATTGGATGCTGTAAGAATGGACAAAAATGACGTAAGAAAATATCGTTTTTTCTCTATATAGGTACAGATATTTTTGAGATCTGAAAATATTTGAACTCTAAGGGCGGGTATTATAAAACTACTTTGAGTGTTAATTTAAAGTTAACTTCTGGAATTAGATGTAATTCAAAAAGTTAACTTCAAGTTAACCGTCAAAGTAGTTTTATAATACCCACCCTAAGTCTGACACAATGGAGAAATAAGATATCATTTTCCATTATATCACACAGCCCATACCTACCTTCACACTCCCGTTTTCGAGAGATCTCTTGAAAAAATTCCTTTTCTATTTTCCAGGGAAATTATGTAAAGTTCTTAAAAAACCTCCACTCGGAGCAAATCAACAAGCTGTTGATGAAAAACCAGCACGAGTGTGACCTCTTAGAAGATATTCGTACGTTCACGATAAAAAGATCGGCCATAGAAAAATCCTATTCCGAGGTAAGGCACTTGACTTTATAAATACATGCAACATTTAGCATTTGAGCATAATTTTATTTTTTGCAAAATAGCATACGATTCTTGCTGGAACTTTCATGACATATGTCAAAGACAAGTATTAGTAGTATTGTCTTTGCATATGTATAAATGTTGCTTAAGCAGTTTTTAACTTCAAATAAGCAAATACTAATGTATACTTTTTTTCGTTTTTCAGGCATTACTCAAAATATCTTCAGCTTATCTGAATAAGAAAATTCCTAATATTCCTGATATTAAAGTAGAAGGTGGAGATGAAAAATGGTAAGTTTTTTTTGGAGAAAGCACCATCAATAAGTATAATGCGCATTTATTTTATCAAATCAGACATTGTTGATACCGATTCTTTATAAATATTGATATTTCATGGCCAAATTTCGGGTACCTAACCATTTGCTCATGATTTAAGGAGCAAATCTATTTTAATTGGGTAACTTCCCAAATCCCCCTCAACCTTTTCATGTTAGTATGAATTCAATCCTATGTACGGTTTTTGAATAATCATACAATTTCTTATGTACAGTTTATGAATAATCACACAGTTTTGTATATTTTCGTATGGTTCTCCATTCGTAGGTCGATCGAGTGTACGCCACTGGTATTTTCTTGTTTCTGACTACCCCCTCAATCTTTCCATGTTAATATAAATTCAATCCTATGTACAGTTTTTGAATAATCATACAGTTTCCTTTATACTATATTATTTCCCAAGATAGATTTTGACATTGAAAACTTTGAAACATAAACAATAATGCTTGACCCTGATTGGTCGCAAAATGAGGTGTTTCTGCAGGTTGATATCCGTTTTACAATAGCGGCCAATAAGTTGCATTAGCGGCATTGTTTATGTTTCAAAGTTGACTATGTCAAAATCTATCTTGGAAAAAAATAAAGTATAGGTACAGGTTGTTTTTTTATATATTGACACCCCACCCACAGCCTTTACCTTTACAGGTAAATGAAAGGTATAAATACAAAAGTAATACAGTAGGTATTGGCTAAATTTTCAGAATCCATGGTCAAAAACAAAAATTGAATGTCAGAAATGTGAAATATGGCATGCTTTCAGCTTTTTTCAAATGGGATGCGATATATTTGGTTTTATGTTCTTGAAGAGCACAATTTCCCGATTCCAAAACTATATAGTTTGTTAATATTCGGTTGTGCCGTCTCTAACATATTTGGTTCTAAAAATTTTGAAAATACCATCAGAGAAACCAAGTATCTCAAATTTTACCTGCAGCTTTCACCTATACAGATAGAATAGTTCACAAAATCAGTAGTTGGATAGTATTTTTACAATTTTTGGAGCCGAATATATGAGAGATTGCTCCATCAAATATAGATCGGGGCATTGTGCTCTTCAAGAATATAGAATGAAATATAAAGGCATCCCATTTGAAAAAAGCTGGAAGCATGCAAAATTTCACATTTCTGACATTGAAATTTTGTTTCCTAAAAATTCAGCCAAAACTGTACAACTTCTGTATTTACACCTTTCTTCTACCTGTAAAGTTGAAAACTGAAGGTGGGGTGTCAATATATAAAAAAACACCCTGTACAAATAAGTGGATTATTGCAGAACTTATGGGTGGACCTCTGCGGGACGAGCGCAGCGAGTTCCGCAGCCATCTACTCACCAATATACTGTTGAACTGTTCAAATAAGACACTCACTTGAAACGTGTAGTTTTTGAACTAATGAGAAAATTCCACAACTGAGTGAATCAGATTAGTATTGTACTAACCCCATAAGTTCCACAACCCCATAAGTTCCACAACAATCCACTCGTTTGTACTTGAATAACTTGTCACAATATATTACAAGTTTGATAAAGTAACATTACTAATTCCTGTTAAAAGGCAAATCGACAAAAAGTGGATAATCTTACAAATTCTGACTCTATATAATAAGTTATTGTTTAAGTACAAATAAGTGGATTGTTGCGGAACGTATGAGTGGACCTCTGCGGGACGAGCGCAGCGAGTTCCGCAGCCATCTACTCATCAATATACTGTTGAAAGTAGGACATTCACCTGGAACGTGTAGTTTTTAAGCTAATGGGAATAACTCACATTTGAGTGAGTCAGGTTAGTTGGGGAGAACCACCTACAGTAACCACATTTTTACTTTTATTGCTGTAACTTGCCCATTTCGGTCAATTTATTGTTCAGAAATTTATTTTAGTTACTTCAATTATTTGTCTAAAAGACGTCCTGTATGAATTATGCAAAAAAAAATTACACTCCTTTTTTCTTAATTCTCAAAATGTGGCCACTGTTGGAGCTGGTAGGCTACTCTGACCACCCCATATTCCAACAACGGCCACTGCTTTTTAAATCAATTAAACCTTGAACGTTTTGAAAAATATGTTTTATTTATCTTGTTGCCCCTTTTCCGCCGATTCTGGCTTATATTTGTCAACTCCCATATATTTACATTTTGTGATGTTGCGTCTCAACGTGGTTCTCGGAATTTTAAATTCAAAAGCCAACCACCTTCAAATATGCGGTGGAGAGCATTTTTTATAGTTTCGGCAGGTGATTTTTCAATATTGGCCACTACTAACATAATAACATAAGTAGTGGCCATTGTAGGGAAATATTAACCTAGCCAGTGTTGAAGAAACCCCGTTTTTGAAATTTTCTTTCAAAAAAATTGCAAACCATAATATTTTAAAATATATTATAGGCGAGTAACGTTCTTTACATGCAGTAGATTTATTATGACGATATTACATAAATAATATTATAAAGCATTCCGGAGAAAATTTGAAATAAACCCACCTGCATATGCAAGTTTGGGTATAAGAAAAGGATATATACACACTCTACCGCGCATAAAATTGGAACTGCTCATTTCTAACCGGAACATTCTTTAGTACGGGCAATAAGCCTTATACTGTAAAGATGGCAGCACTACTTTATAGTTGATAAACCTGGCCACTGTAGGTGGTTCTCCCCTATCGTAATTAAACAACATATTGATGAATAGATGGCTGCGGAACTCGCTGCGCTCGTCCCGCAGAGGTCCACCTATAAGTTCCGCAACAATTCACTCATTAGTACTTCAATAACTTGTCACATTATGTTACTAGTTTGGTAAAGTAACATTACTAATTCCTGTTGAAAGGCAAGTTGACAAAAAGTGAATAATCATAATCTTACAAATTTTGACTTTATACATATAATAAGTTCTTGTTCAAGTACAAATAAGTGGATTATTGCGGAACTTATGAGTGAACCTCTGTGGGACGAGCGTAGCGAGTTCCGCAGCCATCTACTCACCAACATACTGTTGAACTATTCAAATAAGACACTACTCACCTGAAACGTGTAGTTTTTGAACTAATGAGAATAACTGACATTTGAGTGAGTCAGGTTAGTATCGTACTTGAACAACGTATTAATGAATAGATGACTTCCGCAGCATTCTATTCATTAATATGTTGTTTAATTACGATACTAACTTGACTCACTCAAATGTGAGTTATTCTCATTAGTTTTAAAACTACACGTTGCAGGTGAATGTCTTACTTAAACAGTTCAACAGTATATTGATGAGTAGATGGCTGCGGAACTAGCTGCGCTCGTCCCGCAGAGGTCCACCCATAAGTTCCGCAATAATCCGCTTATTTGTACAGGGTGTTTTTTTTTTTATATATTGACACCCCACCTTCAGCCTTTAACTTTACAGATAGAAAAAAGGTGTAAATACAAAAGTTGTACAGTTTTGGCTGAATTTTTAGAAACCATGGTCAGAAACAAAATTTGATTCTATATTCTTGAAGAACACAATGCCCCGATCTATATTTGATTGAGCAATCTCTTATATATTCGGCTCCAAAAATTGTAAAAATACTATCTTATCCATATCCTATCACTGATTTTGTTAACCATTCTACCTGTATAGGTGAAGGCTGCAGGTATTTGAGGTACTTGGTTTCTCTGATAGTATTTTAAAAAATTTCAGAACCAAATATGTTAGAGACGGCTCAACCAAATATAGACAAACTATATATACTCCTGGACAAAATTATCGCACCACTGCTTATGGTGCTTAAGTGCAGTGGTGGTGCGATAATTTTATCAAGGAGTATAGTTTTGGAATCGGGAAATTGTGCTCTTCAAGAATATAAAACCAAATATAGCGCATTCCATTTAAAAAAAGCTGAAAGCATGCAATAAATCACATTTCTGACATTTAATTTTTGTTTCTGACCATGGATTCTAAAAATTTAGCCAATACTGTACAACTTTTGTATTTACACCTTTCATCTACCTGTAAAGGTAAAGGCTGTATGTGGGGTGTCAATATATAAAAAAACACCCTGTACATAGAGGAAACTGTATGTTTGCAGTTTTTGAATAGTCATACAGTTTTTTTTATTTTCGTATGGTTCTCCATTCGTAGGTTGATCGAGTGTACGCCTCTGATATATTCCTCTTTCTGACTACCCCCTAAACCTTTCCATGTTAGTATGTTAGTTAGATTCAGTCCTATGAACAGTTTTTGAATAATCATACAGTTTTGTATATTTTCGTATGGTTCTCCATTCGTAGGTCGATCGAGTGTACGCCACTGGAATTTTCCTGTTTCTGAGTACACCCTCGGCAAATTCTCTATATACGAGTACAGATTTACAAGAGTATTTTTGGGGATTTTAAACCATCTTCATAATAATAGGTCTTTTAATTTTTGCTTTAATTCCTATAGGAATATGTGGAGCGTCTGGCGTACGGTCCTAGAAGAAAATGAAAAACTAGCAAGAGCAAGATTAGCTGCCGTTGAAGTTTTCCAACAACAAATCGCCGACGATGCTAAAATTCTTAGGGCGCATAAATTGCAGATGTCAAAAAAGGTATAAATCAAGAAAATTTTCATTTGTATTGTAGCGAGAGTTTTCTATTATTCTTGTTTCAAACAAAGCCATTCATTAATGTTTGCCTATCGGCTGTTGGACAACAAAGCCATTCATTAATAATTGCCCATCGGCTGTTGGGCAATAAACCATTTAGCAAGATTGGTGTGATGTCAACCTTAACATTTAATAATGGAAATCTGTTTTTACATATCGGATATCCCAATCAAAGCATAAGAATAGCAAATACGCTCTTATACAATTACCTACAATTGTTTAATTTTTCAGGTAGTTGACCAATTAACGTTAGTTCAAAAAGAAGTACAAACATGCGTACAAGACGTTGATAAGACGAAAAAGCTGTATTTCGACGAGGAGCATACAGCACATGATGTCAGGGATAAGGCTAGAGATATTGAGGAAAAGTAAGTGAAACTACTTAGTTATTGATTAATTTTTTGTCCAAGAAGGAAAAAATTCAGGAAAAGCTTCCAGGATCCCAACGAAACAAGTTAAATCGTTTTAAATCACGTACCTATCGCAATTTCCAATTTACAAAAGTTTGTATTTTGTCCTAAAGTGATTTTTTCTCTGTGAGATTTTAACAGCACAGATTGTTCGTAATTCTCAATTTGTTTCATTCAGACTGAAGAAAAAGAAAGGCTCATTCTTCCAGTCCATCACCTCTCTACAGAAAAACAGTCAAAAAGTCTCCTCAAAACGGGAGCAATTAGAAGAAAAATCAACAGGTGCCAGAAATGATTATCTTCTTTGTCTTGCTGCGGCCAATGCTCATCAAACTAGGTATATGTTTGCAATTTCTAATATTCAAAATCTCTAAATAATGATTTTTAGGTATTTTGTAATTGATCTCCAATTGGGTATGACCACAATGGAAAGCGGAGTATACGATAAAGTAGCTGAATATTTAAGTTTAATGGGTAAGAAATAAAATCTCTTCTTCCATAGGAAAATAATTATGATCAATTTTAGGCAGAACTGAACTTTTAACATGTAAAGCACTGGAAAACTCATTCACAACTCTGTTAAATCAAGCTAAGCAACTCACAAGGGAGTACAATTTACAGTGTTGTTACCTATATTATCCTGTTTTAAAACAGCACATTCAATATGATTATGAGGTATAACTATTTTATTTTTATTAAAGAAGAAGTTTTTATAAAGGGAACATTTTAGCCTTGCGATAATGATCCAATAGACCACATTACAGCAGAGCACGAATCAGCTGCAGCCACTTTAAGTAAAGAGGCTCGAAGATGGGCAACCAAAATAGCCAGAGAAAATAATAATGTTAAAGAATACGTAAGGAAAGTTCAATTGTATAATGCTTTGAGAGAATCTGGGCAAAAGGTAGGACGTTGTTAAAAATAAATATATGGTAAAAATATTATGAATAAATTTTAGACTGATCCGAACGATCCGAACGGACCGGATTTGGAAACCAAAATCGAGGAATTAAAGCAAAATATTCGAAAAGCCGAAACTTCAAAGGCCAAAGCGGAAGCGAGAATAGAGTATTTGCGAAAAGGCGGTGTGAACGTAGACGAATGGCTGCAGGAAGCGGAATCATTGAATGTTCAAGATATACAACGATCTGCTAGTTCATTATCGGTGAGCTTCTTTGATTATTGAAGTTTACTGACAAATAAAAATCTTCTTTTTCAGGATCATCCAAGTTCTGAGTCGTTTTACGACAGTGATTTTGGCGATGGCGAACAAATTACGGCACCATTAGAGTCAATGAAAATGGAAAAGGAAGCAATGATTGAAGATATTCCAGAAGATCATTTTGAAAGCCAAGAGGTGGAGGGTGAGTGGGGTAGGCAGCGATTTCCTTTCCAGCATACACGTTTTAAATCACGTATTTGTGGCATGAAAATCGTTGCACACTGATCTTTAAATTTATTTGCTAGTTATACTAATAAGTATGTAATAATGCTTTAATTTCTAAGTCAACTCTATATTTTCAACAATTATGACTATACAAAATGACAACATTTCAAACTCTACTTTTACCAGTTATATGGTAAAAGTAAAAGGTACAAAAATACCGGATGCTGAAGACATAACAGTCGTCCCTCGTAAATCTTCATTACAAATTCATTTTCTGAACTGGTTTTATTTTGCGTTTAGATCTTCTACAAGTCATGGTGTTTTATAGAATAGATGAATTCTGATCTTGTGTCTCCCTTTCCTCAGTAACATTATCCTTTTTTTTATTGTTAGATTCTTCTTGTATAATATTGCTAGTATTCTCAATGTCTTCATCAGATTCTTCTTGTAGTGGTTTGAATGTCTTCATCTGTTACTTCTTGTTGGTATTTTGGACGGCTCTATCTATATCCTCTTCCAAAAGAACTGCAGGATCATTAATCGTGTTTTTGGGTACTTGTGTGTTTGCAATATGGTCAACGTGTCTACGCCATATACAACCATCATCCAGTTTTATTAAATAATGTTATAGCCCCTTTTTTCTGCAATGTGACCATATTCCCATTTTGTATTTTTCTCCAAAAATTACGAACTCTAACCCTGTCGTCCCCTTTAAATTTCCTAAAATTTTCTTCTCCAACTGTCGATATTTCAAATTTTCTTTTCCTTGTGAAGTAGGTTTAATGGGTTCGGATCTCGTAATTCATTAGGTTTACGCAAGGTGGAACATTTGTAGTTGAAATAAGACTTCTTCTATATCGCATTAAAAAATTCTGTAATTTTTGGTCCAAATCTCCTGGTTCTTCAATTACTTTTCTTAAAGCCTTCTCAAAAGTTTGAACGTACCTTTTTGGCTTGTCCATTTGTAGCTGGATGAAACGGTGCAGAGAACCTATGTTTAATTCCATTACTTTCCAAATAAAGTTTGAACTCAGTTGAGGTGAAGGTTGGTCCATTATCACTTATCAAAACTAATGGTACTATTGGTCTATTATCACTTATCAAAACTAATGATATTCCAAAAGGGCCAAAAATGTTTCGCAATACTTTAATAGTAGTTACAGCAGTTATTGAGGGTACCGGTACGATTTCTGGCCATTTTGATAATGCATCGACTAAAGCAAAAAAATATTTTTTCTACAAGCATGTGTAAAACGTCACTTTCCCGCACGCATTTTAATTCGGAAACTATCTTTTTCCCCGGTGAAAAAGTCTCGTCATAATCCAGTCCTTGTTTTTGTGTATATCCCTTTGCCATTAACCTTGCACGGTAAACATAATCACTTTCCGAATCACAACACTTGATTTTAATACCCACTTGCATTCAACAATGGTTCCACGGCTGGGTATGTCCACTAAGTCCCAAGTGTCATTTTCCTCAAATGAATGGATTTCCTCCATCATGGCTTGTCTTCATTTTTCTTTGTCAGGTCTTGATAAAGCTGCCTTAACACTCAATGGAACATCTTCTAGGTCGATCTCACTCTTGCACATATAGGTTACATAGTCTTCTAGCTGCTTGTTTCGTACTCTGACTCTTTCTGATCTTCTTGGGATAACAGGTTCTTGATTTTCTGACTTTAAGCTCACAAAATTCTTTTCAGTGGTTTCATTTTCCTCTACTGAATCCTTGTCTTCTTGGTTCTCTGTGTTTAAGCTGTCAACATCACTAATTATTATTCCTGTGTTATCTTTTTCGTGAATAATGACATCCCGGCTTGAAATAACTTTTTAATCGATAGGATCAAACAACCTATATCCTTTGACATTATCCCCAAAACCAACCAATATCATTTTTCTTGATTTCTTGTCCCATTTATGTCGTTTGGGTTTTGGTATATCTCGCTACCAAAAATTCTAATATGGCTGATATCTGGTTTTTTGTTATGCCAAAGCTCATATAGTGTTTTATACTGCAGACATCTAGCAATACAGCTGTTTCTCAAATATATAGCTGTATTAACTCACTCAGCATCTGGCTTTCTCAATGACAGTTCTATTTAAACGTTCACACATTCTATTTTGTTGGGATGTATGGGGATTTGTCTTTTCCCTTCTTTCTTGAGAAACTGCTCAAAATCACTCCCACAAAATTCTCCTCCATTACGTAAACATTTAAGTTTATGACTCAAATCGACAAGCTGTTTAAAATCTTTGAAACAACTTAAAGTCTCATCTTTCGTTTTCAAAAAATAAACATGTGCATATCTGCTGAAGTCGTCCTCAAAGAGTAGGAAATATTTGGCACCCATAGAAATTTCTTCCATGGGCCCGCACAGGTCAGTATGCACCACCTCCAATGGTAATTCAGCTCGTTGACCTTCATGTTTAAAAGGTAACTTTGATTGTTTTCCTTCACAACAAGTTATACAAAGTTTATTTCCACAAATATTGCCTTTCATATTGTGTAAACCTACTAAATCGTGGTTTTTCATAGCTATCAAATCTTGAAAATTTGAGTGTGCTAATCTGCGATGCCATACTTCTTTTGAAACTGTCAGATTTAAACTGCATCAGCTGATTTCTCACACTTCCTTGTGATAAGCACCTTTTCAGCTTATAAACATTTTCAGTAAACTGAGCAACAGCAATAACATTTCCATGACTGTTAATGACCTTGCAATTTTTCTCACTAAAATTGATTTTGTTTCTATTTTTGATGATTTGGCCAATGGATAACAAATTAGTTGTCACTCCTGGAACATATAGAGCATTTTTAATCTCTATATCATGCTCCTGCCCATCTACAATGGTTGTAAGTTGTATGTTTCCTGTACCTATCACTAGTAGTTTGGTTTGATCAGCTATAGTAATTTCCCTTGGTTCAACCACATCTTCAAAATCACGTATCCGTTCTTTTTCACATATGTAATATGATGGCTTGCCCCAGAATCTATGTACCAATAATCAGTGTTGCTGAATTCTCCGCTCATATAGACTGCACTAAGAGCACTGACAATATATTCCAACAATTTTCGCAAATATTATCTTCCATATTTGGCATTGGAAATTTATCATCCTTGAGTAGGTAATTTATTTATTGTTATTATGTTATCAGCGCATAGCCTAACAGAACCATCAGATTTCAAAATTGGAACTATTGGAGTCCCCCACTCGCTATACTCCAACTTAATTAAAATACCTTTCATCTCAAGTCTATTTATTCCAAAAATCAGTTTTTCTTCTAAAGCATAAGACATTTTCCGAGTAGGAATGTATATGAGTGAACAGTTTTCTCTAAGAAATAAATTACCCTTGAAATTGTTAATTTTCCCCAATTCGTCTTGAAAAACATCTGTAAATGTTACTTTAAGACTTGCAGTCGCCTCCTCTTTTTCCTCCAATATGTTTACAGAATAAATTTCTGAGGTCTCAAGTTTTGTGGTATTTATCCATTCTCTGCCAAAAATCGGGTCAACTTCTCCTGGTATACTATATAAATTAGCTGTAACTTCCCTTCCCTTAACTTCCAAATTCATACTTGAAAAACCAAAGGGTTCTATAATTTCACCAGTAGGTATATGTTTTTAATGGTAGATATGATTTATTTATGTCTTTTCCAGGAAATTTGTTGATAAAATCCTTATATGAAATCGAAGATACCGCAGCTTCAGTATCGTACTCCATTTCTAGTTGGATTCCATCTAAAGTTACTTTTACTAGATAATTCTGGTAAATATATTGTATCAAGTGCAATAAGAGGTAATATAACTCATCTTCATTTCCTTTTTGCAAAAATTCTAATTGATTTAAATTTCTATAAGTTGAGGATGAATTTCTTGGAACAGAAGAAGAATTCATACATACCTACTTTAGCATTGTGTCTTCTTCTACCACATTCGTTAGAGTTTAGAATAATTTTAACACAGCTATTTGCTAAACGTGAAGTTTTACTGTATTAACTTGATTTTGATCAAACAAACTACAATTTTCAATTTCTTTCGTTTCTCGATGTGCAGCTTCCATTGCCATGGCCACAGTAATGCAATCAGAAAAATTATTCTTTGGAGCCTTTAGTTGTATTATTTTTTCAATAGGATTTAGCCTTTTCAAACCGCTAACAAATTGTTGTCGAAGGTGCACATCAACAGTAGAAGCATTCATTACAGCTGAGACATTTGAATTCACAGTCCCTGCATAACTTTTTAAGGTAGGTAACGAAATCTGAAATACTTTCGTCTTCTCGTTGAACTCGTTTTGCAAATTTATTTTGTGATGCAATTATACTTGAAAAAGGATTTAAATGTTCTTTCACTAACTTCGCTAATTCTTCATAGGTTTTATCCTTAGGATCATCAGGACGTTACCAAGTTATTGTAAGGTTTTGGTTCCCATTGTATAAAGCAACCATTCCATTCTCTTTTTTTCTATTTCAGAAGCAGATCCTATAGAATTTTTCATACTAAAGTAGTTCTCTTATCTTTTAATGTATAAATCCTAAGATTCCGTATGTTCCAAGAAAGGTTCCATCGAAATACTTTCCCTGGAGGTGTTTTGAACTTTATTGGTTTAGCCTGCATAATTTTTGAAAAATTTTCCAAAAAACCTCAAAATTGCATAATGAATGTAACTTTTAGCTGTAATGGAGCAAGAAAGACAAAGAATCGAACAACTAACAGCTGGATGGGACGATCCAACTCAAGTCGATTGGGGAGGAGGTGGAGGAGAAGAAGATGAAGCCTTAATGGAATCTGCTACAGATGAATATAATTCCGAATCAACACAGCCTAGCGGGCCTCTATTGAAATGCACTGCACTTTATTCATATACTGCCCAAAATCCCGACGAATTGACAATTGTGGAAAATGAACAACTGGAAGTAGTCGGCGAGGGCGACGGAGATGGTTGGCTGAGAGCCAGAAACTACCGCGGAGAAGAAGGCTATGTTCCTCATAATTATCTGGACATTGAGAGAGAGCAATCGGCAACAACTCCCGGATTACAAACGCAAATATCTTTCTCTTCTGTGGATTATACTGTGGATAACGAAGAGGAAAATCAGCCTCAGACAGAGACTACGCAATCTCCCGAACAGATATCTGTAATATCGATGCCTATCCAAAAAACTACTAGTGGAAGCGATGCGCCTGGATCCTATTGCGTAGCTTTGTACGATTATGACGGAGAAGGTGGCGAGGAGTTGACGTTTGAGGAAGGACAGATTATAAAAGTTTTAAGTAAATGTGCTCATAGTATTGACGATGGTTGGTGGCAAGGAGAATTAGAAGGTAAGGGTCAAGTGTCTTGAAATGGTAGGTAATCTTAAATTAATGAGAAAAAATTGTTTAGGTCGAATAGGCAATTTTCCTTCGTTGGTAGTAGAAGAATGCGATGAATATGGAGAACCTTTAACAAATGAATGGGACGAAACGCCTCCTCAATCAGCTCCACCCGTTTTCACGCCACCTGATATTCCGAATTTTCTAAAGGAGCCGGCTGACGATCAAACTCCCCCATCAGTAAGAATCTATTTTTTTTTTTTGGTTTAATTTTAATAATGTAGATAAACAGTGGCGGCGATATGCATAAGCGGATATACAGGGTTGTCGTTATGTACGGAAACGGTCTAATATTTCAGAACCAGCTTGAAAAAAATTTACAATATTTCCTACTTGTGGGTTTTTGAGAATGCCCAATTCAATGGTGGTATTTGTAATGTTACCAAGTTTACCGTTTCTAAAATGCCATGTGTAACTTGATTTTTTTAAATAGATGCCCCTCTTTATTTTTATTGTAATTAATTCAGCGTTTCAACATTACTAAAACCCCTAAATGTTAGAGCTCCATTTTACTTGGTTTTTGGAATATGGCAACACAAATTTTTTGTTGAAATTCATGGAAACAGTCTCGTATTTCAGAAAAGACTTTAGCAAAATGTACAATATTTCCTACCTGGGAGTTTTTAGAAATGCCCGATTCAATGGTGGTATTTGCAATACTGCCAAGTTTACCGTTTCTAAGATGCCGTAGGGGCATCCATTTAAAGGAAAATCAAGTTACATACGGCATTTTATAAACGTTAAACTTGGCGATACATGGTAAAGAGCTACGTCTTAGATTTTATTTCCATTACAAAGGAAGGAGGGGGCCTAATTGTGATATTTGCTTAGGCCCCAGTGCATCCAAGTCTAAATGATCCAATAAGTGCAAGTGCCGACACTGTAGATAAAGTTATTGTATTGATTAGATTTTTTCAAAAATTAATTTGTTAGGTTGACTTTCCCCAACAGCCGGCTCCTGTCTTAGTCCTCAACGAAACGGAGGAAGAAAAGATGGAGATTAAAGATAAAGAAGAAACCGAACAAAATGAAAATAGTGGCCCATTTTCAATGGTACTTACTCGGGACCAACACGACCAATATGGCACACAATTCGACGAGGAAGCCGAGGACATTCCAAGTAAGATTCACTCAATTTATTTGATCTATTCGGACTATGAACTATAACTACAGCCAGCCTTTTTTTTTCCAATGTGTTTTAAAGAATAAATAATATCTAAATTACAAAATTTTCTCTTTTTTATGCCCTCCTATTAAGAAATCGGAATTCCAAGTCTAGAAATAAGTGATGAGGTAAAATTTCAACTTTGCTCAAACGCCTTTTTGCAACATTATTAGTGAATGTTTCTTTTAGGATGGAAAAGAAATTGACCAATCGTCAAGCAATAAAGACGACGACATGGGCCTCGGTGTAGCTCAAATTGTTATTACAGCAGCGACTCCCATGATAGAGGAGGCTGAAAAACCTTTTCCACCTCCAGAAGATCCCCCAGTTATAATAAATCATCAGACCGATGTCATAGAAGAGGAAAACGAGGAAGATTTCGAAGAAGAGGAAAATTTGATTCAAAAATGCAATGACGGTATTAATTGTGAAGACGAGGAGGACAATGAAAGGATGTTTGCTAAAAAAGGTAATTTGCTCGAATAATTTTTGCTTATGTAATAAAATTTTTAATAATAATAGGAGAAGAAACCGAAGAACCGATCATTGCAGATTCGGGTTCAGGACAATTTGTGATAAGCAGCAGTACAGGAAGCGATGGAGAAACAACTGGGCCTAGTACGGCGGAAAACTCGGTGAGTCAAGCTCCTGTGGACACTGACGCTCCTAAACAAGTAGTAGGCGGTAGAGCGAGTATACCTGACGAGTTGGAGCCTCATCAGTTGGCCAGATTACAGGATTTGAAAGAGTCGAATGCCTAAGAAAAAATGGAGATTGTATGTAGGTGAGAATTATGTTTTGTAGTTTTTCGTTAGATGTGTTGCATGCTAATCCGATGAAACCTTGATTGTTCCTTGTTAAAAGCACACATTAAACAACTCTGTATATATTGTGAAACAATCTTGCGCATCCTGGGAAACCAGTAATTTTTAGAGATTGCAGACAAAGTTTTCTCTAATGCAAAATGGCCAGCTGAGTCATGATAGTAAAACGTAATAGCTTTTCTTGCTCTTTTTGGACCATCCATTTCTGTAATTTTTAAAATACGGTTGTCTTTTAGAACATATTCCTTTTGAATATTCTTCTCTTTTGCATCTTTCGGATGTTCAGAAAAGACCTGATGCAGATATTTACAGCGATCATCCGACAATTGAGCAAACAGTATCCAATCAGACTCAGTAATGTATAGCCAGAACATCAGTACCTTCTACATTAGCAGGGTCATCAACGGGATGTCTGCTTAGGGCATCTACGTGTGCCATCCTAGAGCCAGGCCGATATTCAACAGAGAAATTGAATTCTAAAGTAATCAACCACCATCTAGTTATTCTCGGTATCAGATTTTTCTAACTAAAACTGCTTCGTACTGAACTACAATCAGTGACTACTTTATACTGGATTCCTAGGAGGTAAACACGAAATCGCTGCATGCAATTAACGACGGCTAATGTATCTAGCTCGTAGGAGTGGTACCGCTGCTCTTCCTTGTTTTTTTGACGACTAAAGTAGGTCCAACACAGGTTTCAATTTGCCATCTTGTTGTTTCTGTAACAATATGCCTCTTAGTCCCCATTTCGATGCATCTGTCTCTAACTCAGTCTTTAAATTTGGATCATAAATAACTAAAATTGGTCGAGTACACAGTATCTGGTTGAGCTGTCGCAGAGAATCTTCTTGATCTTTATTCCAACAACATGTTCCGGTCTTATTTTTAGTGAGTGGTTAATGGTCTTGCAATATGAGCGAAATTCTTGACAAATTTCCGAAAATAAGTGGCAAGTCCTAAAAACTGCCTCGCCTCATAGACATTTTTAGGAACTGGAAACTTCTCTACTGCAGTTATTTTCGATTTTCCTGCTCTCATACCCTCTACCGATATCTCATGTCCTAAATAATCAATGGTTTGTCGAAAAAAATAACATTAAGTCATGCATAGGGTGAGTCCAGCGTTACAAAATACCTTTAAGATTTCTAATAAAGCTCTGTATCCGACGTCAAAGTCAACTGCCGGAATCAAAATGTCATCAATGTAGGCCAGTGCTGTATTAAATCTTAATGATCCAAGAACTAGGTTAATACTTCGCTGAAATACAGCTGGAGCATTTGCTAATCCAAATGGCATTCGTGTATACTCATAATGCCCATCCGGCGTAATGAATACGGTTTTTGCTCTAGACTCTGCAGCCATTGGTAGTAGTAGCCTGATGCCATATCAAGTGACGTAAAGTGTTTGCTTCCTAAACGTTCAAGATGGTCATCTCGTTGCCTTCCACGTTGACTGACTGACTAGCTCATGACAGTTGACAGTTCTCTGATAAGAAAGCAGCGTAAACAGCTAACTCCAGTGGCGGAGCAAATCGTTGCATCTAAAGACATTCTAAAGACGTCTTCAATGAGATGATGTCTTTGAATCTCTTTTTAATACATGAATCATTATTCACTTTTAGGCTCGGTAGTACCAAATGGTGTGGCTCAGTTGTCTTTAAGTTGTGAATTTACATCTTATCGACGTCTTCAAAACAACATCTTTTTTTGGTCTTGCAGACCTAAAAAATACGTTTTTCTGACTTCTGATCAACTAAAAGGATGTATATCTTTCCTGGTCTTATTCTTCAACTCTGCATCCTCTTTCGTAAAGAAGTTATTCATAAATATTCAGATAATATTTAATAAAATTGAAATCAGTAACAAATGGAGTGTAACTTTCATTTCAGCGTCTAGGATTAATGGATTGAAAGAATCTCTGTAGCTAATATTACTTTTTTTTCTCCTAAATATCAGTATTCTTTCCATATTTGGATTTCCTCGTAGTTCCCTAGATTTCCACTCAAACTTCCCTTGCACTTTGGAAAAACTTCCTATATGGTTTCCCCTCTCAGTCCATAGTCTATATGTTTAAAGATTAGTTTTATAGTGACTCATACTTATTTCTTTTCAGGATTAAAAATTGATTACCCACCTAATATTTTGCAAATACTGAATGAGCGGATTTAAGAAAATATGGCTTCAAAGAACATTATCGTCTAGGCGACATGTAGAGGAATTTGATGAAATAGAATTTTTTGACTGATCGATATGGGCTAAAATATACAGTTTGATTGAAGAAGTAAATATGGTAAATATATTGTATAATAAGCATCATCTTTTTGATAAATATACGTACTTCTATGAATGTAAATAAATCTTGACAACTAACTGTTCTTTTTTTACCCTTCAATCCTAGACTGTATATTTTCGAAATATCGCATATGTGTCGAAAATTTGTTATAGAATGTAACATTTAGGCTCTAGTGGGGCTTTTTGTTTGTAAACATCAACATTATTTTCGAATTTAAGATTAAGGATAGATTGAATTGGGCAAAATAACACACAAAAATCGCCTTTATTTTTAAAATAATTTGTTTCTTATGTCACATTGACATGTTAGTACATAGGTACCTATATTTATAGCGCTACAAAAATAAAACCCACTTGATAATTATATAAAAATGTTAACTATATTATTAAGTTGTCTACATAGGAAAGTTATGTAAAGTTAGATTAACTAACCGGTACACTATTATTGTCTGGTGTTTGATTATCAATTTCATTGAAAATGGTTGAGAACCAGCGAAGAGACAAGATTTGGCAAGAAAAAGTTCAAAACTATAGACTGGACTGTGCTGTTTGTCATCCGCATAAGAAGGGGCTGAAGACCAATTTCCTGGAATAGAGGGAAATTTGACTGTTTCAGTAATAAGGGAAAGAGGGATACTATTCCGATACCATGTAATGTTTTCAATGCAATTGACATCTAAAAAGTTTTTACTAAATAATTATTATTGTATAGATAAATAGAAAATAATATATGTATTATAATTTTTTTGGAAAACGCGTAATTTTCAGCAATAATAATGATAATTTTCTTCATGTTTTTATAAAAAACAAATTCCTACGTGTGCTCTTTAGTCTGTCTTGACCTTATGTATAGTAGTTTTTTTTTTGTTTTGTTAACTCCTGCATACCTACTCAAATACCTACCAGGAACCGGTGTGCTTATTGTACAAAAATGCTTTGGAAGACAAAATAAATTATGATACCTATGTCTTCTTTCAGCGGTGCCTTCTTATGTAATATGTTCAAAAACCTTTTATCGGAAACTAACCAATCGCGCTTCGTACAAAGTTTGTAAATCGATACCAATTAGATTTACAATCTTGTAACTAAATTTTCCCTCCACAAGATAAAAAAAAATTAGAACATCTTGATGTTTTAGTAAATGGTGAAAAGTCGTGCATCTTCCTCCCTCGTATTGCTAAAATGAGAATGTCTGATACGTTTCTGTTAAATCATCAAATACTATAGGTATTGTATAAAATAAATCATTTATGTAGCTTAGTGGTGTTTTATTTTGTTTGTTGCCTTATTTGCATTTACCGCAATCTTTCCAGTCTTATTTATTTAGGTTCGGGAGGTTGACTTGATATTTCCAATACTCATCTAAGTAACCGTATACTTCTGCTCTACATGCAAAGATGACAAAATGCATTATACTTGGGTCATGACCTTCTAAACCTTTCTGATCATGAGGGGAAACTGCAAAGTCTTATTGCAGATCAGAAGTCTTAAATCCAAGATAGGGAGGCCTTTCAGTAAACCAGGTCACTACAATGATCAAATTCGCCATTACAGTTCTGAGATCAAAATGGGATTGAATGCGTTCATTGTCTTGAGATTTTTTCTTTGGCAAATTCGAGATTGCTTTAACAGGGCTTTTCTCTTCTTTTTTCCTACGTCAGATTCAGGAGAAGCAATTGAAGTTTCGGTTATAAAAAATAACAAATCTTTTGGTGTAGGTATTTTAACATTCATTTGAATTATATTTCTCTATCTATACTAAGCACAAAAATAATCAAAGTCGATTCACTCCAGATAATAATATTTTTGCAATAAAGTTTCATAGTCAATTCACTTCATAGTCATTTCAATCATTGATAAAGTCAAAATAAAACTTATCACTTACATTTAAATTATCGCCCTTAAAGTCAATTATTCTAATTATTATTTACTTCAAAATAGCTAGCACATAAAAACTGAAAGGTTTACTTCTTTCTTAATTCGCGTTATTTACTGTAATTTTTACTTTTCCGAGTCCCGACTTTTTATACTTGAGATAATTCACCACTTCTGAATATTACTAATTATTGAGTCTATTTCTTGATGATTGATGATTGCTCTCTACTTGAACGGTCGCCCCTTTAATAGTATTATCAACCCACCACAATCGACAATATGGGCGGTCGTTTGACCATCTGTAATTCAATTCTATTGGTCGACTTCTAGATATTATTCCAAAAATTATAACTTGCTCATCGGATAATGTCGAAATTTGCATGATTATTAGGGGTCAACGAAATGGGAAAGAATGTAGAGGACACTTAATTCAAGGAAAAGCCGAACTCTTGTCGACAATAAATTATACGTTCTTTTGCAATTTCTGTTATTTTGGGACCTAATTTGGGTCCAGTCCTTTTTCCTCTTGTATGACATGATGGCAGTTATCGTTATCATCATGACCAACCATAGCATACTTTGCTGATGATGATAATGACTCTGGAATCACCAATTTCAATTGTATTTTTAGGTATCAAGGACGAAACTGCATATAATTTGGTGATTTTTAAGATGAGACATTCGATTCAGTACTAACTGGAGCAAAATTACCAGGACTGTATATATGGACGAACCCCTAAATATCATGAGTATAAACAGGATAATTGCCAGCTTTAAGAATCTCATAAAATATCAGTTTTATTTCATAATTTCAATTATTTGCATTATTAATATTCCAGTCCCATCATAGAATACTTTTCTTTTAGATAAGATTTTAATTGATATTGTTACCTCAAGCTTCTATACTAATCCTATATATGCGATGTCCCCAATAAACCGCAACTTTTCGCATTTCACCTCCCTTATTCCAGAGCAGGAGCGTCATCATCCAGACAAGATCTGACCTTAATCTGTATTATTGGTTAATCGTTGGCATGGAAATTGCTTGTTCAACCGTCGCGAAACGGCCACAGAGAAAATCAGTTTCTGTTATACTTTATAGTTGAATCGACGCATATTTCTTATTTTTTAACAAAAATGTCGAACGAAGGCAGTGTATCCCAGTCCCAATCAACTTCATCAGATTCTTCCAGTCAATTATCATTTTTTCAAGACAATATCATCGATTTGGCCCTTTTGGATAATTCAAGTTTTACGAGAAGTGGAACAGTGGTCCGTAGAGCGACTATACCTTTTAGAAAAGAGAGGATGGAGTCTAGCAGTACAGAAGATGGTAATAATAATTGATGAATGTATAATAAAATAAACTATTACTATTGATCTTATTCTTTCAAAATATCCAGATGAAACGACATCTGCTATTGAAAAATACCGCAAAGAACCTCAATATAGACATAGCCTGTCGGCTATTTCTGAACGTAGAAGTCGTAGAAATTTATTGTCCAATGAATCTGGGAAAAACATGCATAGGCATTCTACAGAAAGTCCTGACTGCGTTAGAAAAACCATAAGCGACTGTAAAGAAGAAAAATTTGATCATTCTTCTACTAGCAATAGCTACCTTAGTTGGATCGAAAGCGTTAACAGCGATTATTTTGGAAGTACTATTTCAAATGTTCCAGGTAAGTTGCCAATTTCTAATTTCATTCTACAATAAGTTGGTCCAATTTCTAGCTCAAGATGTCGAAAGCAAAGTAGGTGAATGGAACAATTTTTGGTTAAATTACAGTAACGCTAGTCTAAGGCGTTTATCTACTGAACTGACCTTTAGTTCAGACGGTGCAAATCAATCCGTAGATGAATCTGAGGAACGAAAAAGTCCAGAGAGCACACAAAAAGACGGTACCGATAAAAATTCTACGGAATGTGTCATGTTAACTATGGAAGAGTTGCAAGAGACTTTAAGATGTTCTCAAAGAATAGTTGATATTATGCAAAATGCTATGAAAAGGAGTGAAATTGATGAAATTTCTAATGAGTCATATTATTCGCAACAAATTTCTTTAAAGGTACCTATTACTTTTCCGATAAGCATATTGGACTGACTTGACCATAATATGTATATTTCAGAACTCAATCTTAGATGATATGCCGTCAGCAAGAGAACGATCAATTTCTTGCATCGATTCTCACACTTTACAAAGACAAAAACAGGTTGATTCTTCTCAACAACAATCGTCGAGTACCAGTTGTATCGAAGCGATTTTGAATACCGGAGTGGCAGATATTTTCAAAAAAGTTATGTCCAAACGACGAGAAGCTGCTGCTTCAGAATCTGAAGCAACGATTAGTTTTCCTGAGTGGACTGGACGTTAAAAGTGGATTTTAATAGTTAAGGCCCAATATCAGTTTTTAGTGATACCTACTCCTCCTATAAGTACAATATATTTTTTGAATATTTTTTTTGAAAAATATTTCAAAAATATTGCAATAATGCGTGTTTTAGATATGATGAATGATTTCGATATTGTACTGTTTTTAGAAGTAAATTATTGTAGTGAATAATTTTTTTTTTTTAGTGTGTCAAAGAAAGGTCTTGAAGAAAATTTCTATAAATCCGCGGTTTTGCAAAATAAGTAGTATATTCCCATAGACAGCACACAGACATCTTCAAGATGTCCACAAAGGACATTCAAGGCGTCGCTTAGACGTCTGCTTCTTAAGTCTTACTCTCAAAAACATTTAAATCACAGAACATATTTTAATGACGTCGTATGCTTCAAAACCCAACGTCTTTCAAATGTCTGAAGACGGCTTCAGGACTAATATTTCAATATTATTACTCATTTTATAACTTTCAATTTTTGTCTATTCCAGGCGCTAGGCTCTCTGAACTAATTCTGAGGTTTCTAAATTGTTCTGAAGCCTTTCAAAATAATGCTAGAGCTGGAAAGTGTTGTGAGACCCCAAATTCAGAAACTTGGCAAGATTGTAAATTGGCGAGCGGTGACTTTGGTTTCTGAGTGGAGACACAGTTTAAAGTGGGTCCTATTTGCGGGTGGAGAGTGAAACACATAAATATTGTGGTCAAGTAAAATAAAGTTTATTTTATTAAAATAAATAATGCTTGTTATTAAATAACAAGCGTCGGTAATAAATAATCTTACAATAAAATTTATTCAATCTCTAATAAGCATCAATTAACTATTAAGGAAAATTTATATGATTCCAAGTAAAATTTTAATTTACAGTTTGACTCGACTTACACTCTTGCCTTCACAATTTCTGGCTGAACATAAAAAAAACTCTACTTACATTTAACAATAATATATTTACTGTTGGCCACACCTAATTACATGAGAATCTTATTGGTCGAAGGAATTTACTTTAATTATGAACAATTAATAAAAAAACTCGCGCTGTTATTTCACGTCGTGCTTCTTCTCTCGGTTAATTCGACAACTCTTTCACGCCGTAGTTCTGACTTTCTGGACACAGGTCTCTCGATTCTCGATTACTACTTGTTTCTTGATTACTCAGCGACACTGGTCTTTCACGCCGTAGTTCTGCTCGTTTACTCGCTCTTTCTCGGAGACTGATTTTCTCCTGCCAAAGTTGCCTTTTTATATCATTGGTCCCTCCATTGTCTTGAATTTCTTTATTTCCTCGATTTTTCGTGGTTGAATCATTCGATCAATTAGTATATTTGGTCCCCTTTTAAATAATCAAGGGCGTCGCTAAGTGGTTTGTTAAGTGGGTATCATCATATAGGCTCGTGCATGATTTATTGATCTTTTAGAAATTTTTCGGCTCCTTAGGAATGTTAATTGTTGAAAGCACTTAAAAAAAGGTCCATGAACTTTTGCTTTATTCACATTTCAATGTATTAGTCAATATAGGGTATCGGCTTTCAATAATTTCTGGATATCGATGATCAGATAAATTTTAATTGAAGTTTCTAGTTATGCTGTTTTAGTGATGATCTCTCCCACAGATCCCTCCTGAGATGGTTGCTTGGTAAGTCCTTGTTATTCTTGATTAAAATTTCTGTATTCACTACTGTTAACGCACTGAAACGAAGTGGACTGTATCATACTTGAAATGAAAGACACCTTGAACTTGGTATTTTTAAGACTCTTTATTTGTTATTGCCTGAAACTTGGCTGAGGGCGCTGGCGTAATTATTTGCGACCTGTGACACGCACCTTCTTCTCTGTCGGTTCGTTCTGTACTGCCTTTGCCTTATGCCACCAACTCCCGAGAGGGTTGAAAGGCGCCTTGCTGGCGGCTGCATCACTTCCCCTTGCGTCTCGGTCTCCATCGAAGTCCTGAACTCGCTATCTGGCGCCGGGGCTGGATGGTACGGTAGAGTTTTCGCCTTGTTACTAAGCGGATCATTGAGGAATGGTTTTTAAGTGATATATGAAATTTCGATGCGCTTATCGTGATTGAATATAATACTTAACAACTACAGTGTTTTGGAACGTTCTCAATGGCTTATTGAAGTTCTACGTTCTACAGTGTTCTAACTTGGCTTAAAGAGTTCTGGAGCATGCTAGAAATATTTCAGTAATTTCTTAATTGTTCTGACAGATTTTTAAGTATTTTGGAGCCCTCTATTGAAGCTCCAAAGTGTTCTAAATTGGTTTGCAAGAGTTCTAAAAGGTTTCCAGTTCTAAATTGAATCCTAATTGTTCTTGAATAACTCTAAAGTTTCTAAATTATTTCAAAATGCTCTTGATTTGAATTTGAACTGTTTTGGATGCTCATAAAAGATCCGAAGTTCTACATAAATTTAAATTCGCTCTTGAACGTCTTCTGAAAGGCGTTTTGTAACTTTTAACCTGAATCCCAAAATTCTGGGGTTTTTCAAAATGTTTCTGGAGATTCTAGAGTGAGAGTGTTCGAGAGTTTTGGAAGCGTCCTAAAATGAGCTTGAAAGTTCTAAATTTTGATTTTCTAAAATAGTTTTGCAAATTGTAAATAGTCGGTTTCTGAAGGTTTTGAGGCTTTCTACAATGATTCTTAAGTTTCCAAAAATCTTCTGAATCGCTACAGAATACTTTTGGAAATTCTGATTTGAATTTTAAGTGTTTTGAACTTTCCAAAAGGCTTAATTGCAGTTCTGAAGTGATCTGTAACAAGGTAACCCTTGTTTGGGTCCCGGGTCATAAAAGGCAACGAGGAAACAGACCAGTTGGCACGTGCAGGTAGCAAAACTGCATTTATTGGGCCCGAGCTTGCTCTTGGGGGTTGCTTCCTGCCTGCTAAAAGCCAAGATCAGGAACCGGTCCAATAACCGGTTCCAAGACGAATGGCTGGAACAGAAGGCCTCAGACAGTCAAGGATCTTTATACTATAAGGTCCTTCAAACTGCAAAGAGGCCAAAAGCCTCCTGAAACTCAACAAGAGCCAACTAAGAGCTATCACAGGCGTCCTGACGGGACACTGGGTGGTATTACCTACACAAAATCTATCCCAGGGAAAAGAGAGCGAGCTGAGAGTCGCTTTCCAGTGACGCACTTTATGCACCCCTGGGATGCTCTAGAGCGCCCCGGACTGTTTGTAGGCATTCCAGTGCGTTAGATTTTCGCGCAACTGGACTATTCGTTTTTTGTCTCCCCTGCCCTCTCAAGCACCAAGCACCAGCAATTTTATGGGTGCAGTTACAGTGACACAACTGGAGTGCGTTTAGAAATGGAGTGTGAAGGTAGAGTCAATGAACTATAGCCAAAAACTGGAATGCGCACACATTGCCATATCTGCCAAAAAAATGTAGCCATGAAAGACAGATGCCAAATGGGGAATGTTGTTTCTTTCTGTTGCTCGCTGACATATGACGTTTTCGAAAGATTTGTCATATTTTCCTTCACAGGTTTCATCAATTGGAATACGTGTTGGAAGCAATTTCCGCCATTTAACATAATGAGTGCAACAGAAACAGGCTTCCCCTCCGCAGCAGCGGCACTAGGCTTCATGTTCGTCAATATGTGTACGCATTCCAGTTTTTGGTTATAGTTCATTGGGTAGAGTAGTTGTTTGTCAGAGTGTTCTGACGTCATCACGTCGAGTGCACTCTGGGTGCGCCTTTTCTGAACGTAATTGGGGTGTTGCGCTAAATAGAGAGTTCTCGTGCTGTCCAAATTTCCAATACCGTAACGCTATTTGACAAGTATGACAGTTTTTACGGTATTAGCGTTATTGTTAGCGTTAGCGGAGCCCGCTACCTAACGTGAGTTAGCGGATGCCTTACCGTAACGCTATGCTATGTCAAAATTAGTTTACGCTCCATTTACGTTTGCAAGAACAGCAACTTCTAATAATTCCTCCATAAAAAACACCAAGGGCTAATCAATGAAATTCAGGAATCTTCAGGATAAATAAAAGTTGGCAAACAAGCAAAAAAAGTTGGGTTAGATCACTCAATTCAGCTGTCAAAATATAAACAGGACAAGGGATTAGAGAATTTTTGTGTCCTTGTGTCCGAGAACTATAAAATTCCATTTAAAATACCGTATTATTAGCAGTACCGTATTAGCGTAGCGTCTAAGGCACGAGAAGTTTCTAATATGTCAACGTCAAACCCGGTAAAAACCTCGGGGCGTTTTTCAACCCAGTCCCTGAGTGGGGTAATTTGGGCAAACTCTAGGCAGGTCAATTCTTGATTTCTGAACGATTCCAGCGTAAGCTCCGAGTAAGCACCTGTTAATTTATGAAAGGTTTAGAGTTACTCTAGGGTCACTCTCACACCCAAAGTGCTATTTCTAAACGCAACCCAGTTGTTTGGAGCTCCAGAGTGTGAAACTACGGGTGTGGAGCTCCTTAAAATTCGTCTTTGGAAAGCTGCTCAGGGTACGTGCTCGATTGCGATTGTAACCCGAACGCAAAAGAGAACATAGTCTGAAACCTAAAACGAACAGGATCTTATTGTTTCGAGCGCACTCAGAGTTTACAAAGTGTAAAGGCGAACTCAGCCAAAGTGTTGGGAATTATGAACAGTCTTATAAGCGTATTTCATTAGTAGAGCAAGTGCAACACTCGTTTTGCACTGACACCGAAATCGTGCTTAAAAAAACTGCACGCGCTTGCAGTCCCAAGTAAAGAGAGATAGATTTTTAGATTAGAAGGTGGTCGAGGTCGACGACATTATTTTTTGTCATGGATGATGTTAGGAATGATAGGATTTTTCAGCTATTTTAAAATTAACAATGAAAAAGTTACATTGTAACATTATTGGAAGTGATGCTTATCGGAAAATCTTTCACTAAATTGTTAGAGTATCATGCTCCTGGAGTGTGACGCTCTTGAACTGTTCGACATCAGCAGCACTGGAACGCTCTCGTCTTAACCCCCACCATTTCGGACTTCAGAGGACCATGAAACAGAGAGAACATAGGGCTGCGTTCAAAAACGGCTAAAGGCTAAAGCCAAGCCAAAATTGGCATATTGCGTTCAGCGTGCCAAAAACGGTTGGCTTTACACGTTCAGAATCGGCCGCGGTAAAGTAACTTTTGGAGGTGCTTTTGACTGAGTCTAGAAATGGTGATACGAATTTTGATTGGATGAGACCAAATTTAATATGGCGTGGCGGCCAGCAAGTTAGTTTTGAATATGTGTTTTCATGTATATTTCAATTGTTTTGCTTGCAGCTTTGATTTTGATTATTCAATAAAATATTTGTAGGTACGTAAACTATTGAGTTGGGCAGAAACTAGATATTTTTTGTGTCTTTTCGTCCATGTGTGGACGCCACGCCATCTTGAATGTCACGTGGTTTGGATTGCCTAATTGAGAAACGGTATTTGGCGTTCCAGCAAATTCACACCAGATTTGGCATTGCCGGTAGAAGGGGAAAAGTAAGTTTTGGCATTAGCATTGCCGTCTTTGAACGCACTCCAGGAGGTGGCGCCAAAAACATGCAAGAGTTTTCGCAAGGCGGATATTTTCAAAATAGGTCCTACTTTAGTGCTAGAATGCTAGTGTACAGTCAGCACTCACAGTTCCGGGACAGCTGGCTCTGGGACGCGGGCAAAGTTGTAATTTTAAGAAGCATCTAAACTGTTTTCTCAAAGCTCAAAATTTATAGAAATTTTGCACATTATCTGTTTGAAGGTCACAGATAACGTATGTAAATCGTCAGACGTCTAGTTCGTTGCAAAAAGGGGGTCAGACGTCCTCAAAGTTTTTATTTTATGGCATTTGTAACGTAGGTTACTAGATTTTTACTGTTCTATCCGCGTTTCCGTTAATTAAATTAATTTGCTACTGATATTTGGTGGCTACGCGTGACCTCGGTTGCAAAGCACTCTCCAGTACAAACCGACGTGCGCGACGCGCTTCAAAAACTCAATTCCCCACCGCTGATATCTGCGCTGCCGATCGACGACGACATGACGCGGTGCCTCCCGCTTATAAATATAGCAGCACGCACTGCGTTTGGTCACTTCTCTCCGAGCTCCGAAACCGACCAGGACCGGTATTCTGGTTCTCAAAAACGCTCACCACTTTCTAGTCGCTCGGCACTTTAAATGCAAATTTACATTGAAAGTGCCGAGCGACTGAAAAGCGGTGAGCGTTTTCTAGAACGAGAATACCGGCCCAGACCTACCAGACCGCTCCGACCTGCCGCAGCCGACCGATAAGGTAAAACCACCGCCGCCGCCGCCAGTACCGCCGCCGTCAGCAGCGCCGCGACGCCAGATGTTAGCCGACCGTTCAATGTAAGTACGGGTAAGAATGCAGGTATTTCTTCTTTCTCTCTTCTGTACACGGGTTGATCGGAGCTGCTGGCTGGAATACGGACAGGGCAGCTCTGCTCCTTCCGTGACAGAATAAAGGACGCTACGGGCTGGTGACAGGGTAGCGCTCTTTATTCTACACATTTCTTCTTTCTCTCTTCTGTACACGGGTTGACCGGAGCTGCTGGCTGGAATACGGACAGGGCAGCTCTGTTCCTTCCGTGACAGAATAAAGGACGCTACGGGCTGGTGACAGGGTAGCGCTCTTTATTCTACACATTTCTTCTTTCTCTCTTCTGTACACGGGTTGACCGGAGTTGCTGGCTGGAATACGGACAGGGCAGCTCTGCTCCTTCCGTGACAGAATAAAGGACGCTACGGGCTGGTGACAGGGTGGCGCTCTTTATTCTACACAGTCCTTCTTTCTCTTTCCTTTGCACGGAGTGACCGGAACTGCGGGCTGGAACACATAAACAGGGCAGCTCTGTTCATTCCGTGGCAGAATAACGCACGCTACGGGCTGGTATCAGGGTGGCGCGCTTTATTCTACACAGTTCTTCTTTCTATTTTCTGTGCACGGAGTGTTCGGAACTGCGGGCTGGAACACATAAACAGGGCAGCTCTGTTCATTCCGTGGCAGAATAACGCACGCTACGGGCTGGTATCAGGGTGGCGCGCTTTATTCTACACAGTTCTTCTTTCTCTCTTCTGTGCACGGAGTGACCGGAACTGCGGGCTGGAACACATAAACAGGGCAGCTCCGTTCGTTCCGTGACAGAGTAAATAGGGCTACGGGCTGTGATACGACCAGGGTAGTGCTCTTTACTCTTCACACCTATTCTCTCTGACCTGCATTCTGCTCGGAGTAAGAAATTCGCGCACGAGGCCCAAAGGCCTAAGCCTGCCAGCTGACGGTGTAGATACTGGACCGATCCTGGTTCCTGGAGCTTTCCGTTACCGATTAACCGTTACCGTAACCGTCACCGTACCGTAATCTCGAATCGTTAAATTCACGCGACTAATCCGTCACGCACACGCACTTCGTTCGCTCCCCCTCACTCTCCGCTTAGCATTTCCTTTTATAAAACCTGTATCTTAATTAAGTTTTCTTGCATTTCCTTTTTGTATTATAAATTATTGGGTAGTCAATAAAAACTACTTTCTTGGTTGGATTGTGTGTTTCATTTTTGGGAAATGCGTAGGGACACCTGGTTTTCCGTCTCCACTGTTTAAAAGCTACCTAGAGCACGTGGGCCCTTAACCACATTAATCCTAAGGGTGGCGCCCGAGTTTTCCGAAAATTCCGAAATCAACCGCTTTCCTCCTGGAAAACCAAAGTAGCGCTACACATTTTCTTCAAATATATTTGTCAAATACCTGCAAAAATATATTTTGACAGGACACCGAAGAAAATGCCATAAAATAAAAACTTTGAGGACGTCTGACCCCCTTTTTGCAACGAACTAGACGTCTGACGATTTACATACGTTATCTGTGACCTTCAAACAGATAATGTGCAAAATTTCTATAAATTTTGAGCTTTGAGAAAACAGTTTAGATGCTTCTTAAAATTACAACTTTGCCCGCGTCCCAGAGCCAGCTGTCCCGGAACTGTGAGTGCTGACTGTACACTAGCATTCTAACACTAAAGTACCTACGACCTATTTTGAAAATATCCGCCTTGCGAAAACTCTTGCATGTTTTTGACTCCAGCTCCCCAACTAATGGATTTGGAAAATTAAGCGTGATTAAGCCGTTTTTTTCCAGGTATTTTGGCACCAAAAAAATGTCGGTATAGGCAATTTCAATGCTTTACCTGGTATTTGGTGCCAAACAGCTGCCAAAAAAATTGGCTTCACATTATTTGATAAGCAGAATGGCGCGTTCCTACTCCTTATGTCCGTAGGACAGCGCTTCACCTGCTCTATGATGAAACACCGAAATAAAGGTTGGTACACGAGGGGGCAGGGGATAACAGAAATGAGTAGTTCAAACGACACTCTAAGCACTGGAACGCGCAAAATAATTGTGGAGCACTCCTGAGCTGCTCAGGAGTAACTCAAATGGGTCACTGGAAATCACTTGAGTTTTTTAGCCGGTGGCGCACTAGCAGCACTCGGTGCAAAACTCAGTACATTGCTTTCCCAATGAAATACAAAAGTGCAGCGCGACTATGCCAATGGATCACAAATATTGCACCAGTGTTGCACTTGCTCTACCAATGAAATACGCTATTAATTTATGCTTGCAAAAATGGCGACCATTTGCAAAACAACAAACTAACCCGGGGGTGACTCGCTATTGAGAAACCGGCCCTAAGCATATCAATGACATTTCAACAACTATTTTTCAGATCTCGTTTGCATCTTCTTATTTGCATAGTATGTTAATCAAAATTGATTAATATTTTTCATCATAAATTTGAAATCTAAACTACGACCGCTGGCGCAAACAGCTGACGACGCTGACGACTATTAGTTAATGACGTCAATAATGGTGATACACCAATATGGCGCCGATTACCAAAAACGAGGCCGATAAGCAATATTCCAACAACATTCAACGAACCACTCCGAGCATCTCTTTTCGAGCAGTAACCACGGATGTAAACGGTACAGAGTTTCAATTTGGCATGTTCCTGACGTTTAGTTGATTGTTTTTGGTAAAATGTCAAAGTTAAGTCTGGTGTTGTGGTGGCCGCCTTGATAAGGTGGGGGACGCCTTTTTGTCCTAGTTTAAAATTAATTAAATAATAAAAAAAAGGTTTAAAATTAATGTAGGCATTTCTCTCGTATGTTCTGGACCATTTCCAGAGAAATCTACATTTGTACCAGCTTTATCTGCTTATTAATAAAGTGCCTATTTCCCAGCGAGCAAAAAATGGCAGGGAACAGTGATCGCCATTATCACAACGATACAAGTAGTGATACTGAAGATTATGCAGATGATAGAAGAAGAAAAGTCTTCAAAAATCGCTTGAGGTATTCATTTTTTTCAATTATACTTCTTAGTATTCCTATTCGCAGGAACAAAAATGAGGTCACTACACTGCATGAGTCAAGTAAATTCCAATGTAATCAAGGTAATCAACTGCCTATAGTTTCCTCATAATAATTATTTCAAAGTGACACTCATTAATTCCTGAAAATAAAACAAAGGAAGAATTTTTCTCTTGTAAGTATCAAATCATTGTCAAAATTGTATTAATCCTGCATCCTGCATGTCTAGTTACGGACCATTCTTCAAGCCCAAATCATGTATGGTGCAACATACTAAACCATTTAGTGGGGACCCCTATTGCCACTCTTCCAAGCAATGGTATGGTGGCTCAAGTCGCAGGCAAGGGTCCCCTACAATGTCAGTTTGATTAATTTTGACTTAAACTATTCCAGGCCTAGGTCTCTTTTGCAAACTACTTCCCAAGGAAAGAGTGGGTCAATAAGTGGACTTGCTGTTCCACAACTGAGTCCACAGCAACAACAAATGGGATTGGTTATAGGAATGCCAATCGAGGATAGGGTTACTTTGGTTGTGGATAATACAAGATTTGTTGTTGATCCTGCTTTGTTTATTGCTCATCCGAATACTATGTTGGGACGTATGTTTAGGTAAGATTCTACTTGTTCAAAGAAAATTGTGAAACCAACTATTTAATCTATAAAGCTTTGATCTTTGAGGTTAAATTTTGTGTTTAAACTTTCCAGTTCTGCATTGGATACACATCCAAATGAGAGAGGCGAATATGAAGTGGCCGATGGTATTCCTGCTTCAGTATTTCGCGCCATTCTTGAGTTCTACAAGGGAGGCCTAATAAAATGTCCTCCTTCAATTTCTGTACAAGAACTTCGCGAAGCTTGTGATTATTTACTGGTTCCTTTTGATGCTTCAACTGTGAGATGCCAAAATCTACGTAAATAATATCAATAGTTTTTTATTTATACTTAATTGAATTAACATATTTGTAGGAGGTTTGTTACATGAATTGTCAAATGAAGGAGCTCGTTGCCAATTTGAGGTTTTCCTGGAAGATCTAATTTTACCTCTAATGGTCAACTCTGCCCAAAGGGGAGACAGAGAATGTCACATTGTGGTTCTATTGGATGATGACTCTGTTGACTGGGATGAAGAATATCCTCCTCAGATGGGAGAGGAATATAGTCAGACTGTTAACAGCACTGCAATGTATAGATTTTTCAAATATATCGAAAATAGAGATGTTGCCAAACAAGTACTAAAAGATAGAGGATTGAAGAAAATTCGACTCGGGATAGAGGGTACATTTACCATTAATAATTTTAGGCATTTTTCATTAAAAAATTTTCCTAGGTTATCCTACTTACAAAGAGAAAGTGAGAAAACGACCAGGTGGCAGGGCTGAAGTAATTTACAACTATGTTCAGAGACCATTTATTCATATGTCCTGGGAAAAAGAAGAGGCTAAAAGTCGCCATGTAGACTTTCAATGTGTCAAATCTAAAAGTGTGACCAATTTGGCTGAAGCCACTGCTGATCCTGCTATGGAACTAGATGCTAGAGGTAACAGACAAGTGGCATAGACATAGAATTTATTAATAAAAAAATTTTGCTTTAGGTAATCCAATTATTGTCAACAACCCTACTATGGCAGATAATGCTCCAACAGATATGCCTGTAGTGGATAATGAAGAGGGAGCTGTAGGAGGAATCCCAGATCTAGATCCAGCCAACAATTTGCAGCCTGATGATGCCAATCTTTAAATTTTTGGGTTTTTCACATACAATATTAATATATACGTGTATCATGTAGGTAGCATATCTATAGAATTTTGCTTTAAAGCTAATTTTTTTGAGAGCAAAAAATTTGTAATCTCTACTTTAAAGGGAGTGTGTAAAGCTGTAGCCCCATCATTCTTTGTTCTAGTTTTGCTTGAAATTATGGCTGTGTTTTTAAGTGCTCAGAATCATGATTCTTTTCCAAAGACTCCTCATTTACTTGACTGAACACATAAGCTCTCATTTCTCAATTATTTTTTTTTTAGTGTACCCATAATTTTTCTACCAATTAAGTGTTTTGTATGTAATTTTTATTGGATCTTATAAATAAATAAATGTGTTTAAAATATCTAGTTTATTTATATAAAAAAAATTTATACATTTCAAAACTACTTGGTCAATCTTTCTTGTATTCTGAAACAATCACTGACAATTTTCCACTTATCTCCTGGAGCTGTTACTATAAAGTTCTGTTGAAAAGTTTTTGGGGTTTTGTCCTGATATTTTACTATTCCACTGGTTTGGACCATGAAAGTTAGTAAACCAGCTGTGGCTGAGTCTGAAACAAAAAACGTTGAGGTATGATTAGAATTGCATTTGATTGGAAATAGTTTGCCAAAACAAATATAATGGGTACATTCAGGCGGTCCCAGCCGCTAAGCTCAGCCACACAGCAGGGACTTTATTCTCGAAACCAAGGAACAGCGTTCTCATAAGAGCGATTGTTTTGTCATTGTCAGTGTTGTGCCGGACAACAAAGACAGAACCTTCGTTCCAATGAGAATGCTGCTCCCCTGTTTCGAGAAGAAAGTTCCTGCTGAGTGGCTGAACTTAGCCGCTGGGACCGCCTGAATGTACCCAATAACCCTTTTCACGTGGCTCGGGTTCAACAAACCACAACATACCGCTCAAATTCGAGTGGTAGGTATCCATCACGTCACTTTGTAACCGGGTTAGAAAATGGTATGTCATTTCTCTAACCGTTTTGTAACCCGGTTAGTTAAACCGGAGCCAGGTGAAAAGAACTATTGAATCCATACCAAGTATTGGTTGAGAATCCAATGTAACCATTGTATGATCTGAACCTGGTAAGTCAATGATGAACTGCTGAATTCTATCATGTCCTTTAATTCCATTACCATTCCAAGATGATACTGCCGAATCCAAATATAATCTGGACATCAGCTAAAAAAAATATAGGGGATGAATATTAAATCTTATATAGGGTATTTTGTATAAGAAATTGCAAGGTTTTGGGATTTGTAACAAGATTTTCAGGTTCTATAATAAAAGATCTTACGTGTCTTCGTTTATCGATGGTTTCATAGTAGAGTTTTGTGAATTCTTCAGCTACCCTACAAGCTTGGTCAATTTTGGCTTTCATCTAGAAGGAAAACAACTTAAAAATTGAATCGTTTTTTGGCCTAAATAATTATTTACCTCAGAATCAGTAGACATAATTTATTATTATTATATTACTTATATATTGTTTTTGTTGGAAATTAAAATTATAATTGTTTGGTTTTATTTGGGGTTCGGTTCAGCCATCAGGGCATGTTCCGTTTCCAAACTTGGTTAATAGGTCTGTTCGCGCAGAAATCACAAACCAGTTAGAGCGAATTTCATTGGTTCTTAGGTCAGAAACAGTCAGAAAACTAAGCTGGGTTCGGCTATTCAGTGCGGAGTGGAGTGAATAGAGCTAATGGAGTCACTCCTAATACGATAAAAAGCAATACCCGAACCTTAACCCGAACGGCTGGAGTGCGAATAGAGTCACTCGGAGTGCACGGAGTCAGCAAGCCGAACCCACATCTAGTTTCAACCAATGAAATTCATTCCGACTGGTTTGTGTTTTCTATGCGAACAGACCTTATATAAGTTGTATTCTTCTCAAGAGTTTGGAACACTCGAGCTACTCGCTCCGGTGTTAGTCGACCCCGATTTTAAAGTGTGAGATATGGGGAGGAGTGCACTTTTCGAAAGGAATAAGCGAGTAACGCCCCAGAGATGTTCCAGAGCTTCTCCTAGTTGTGACAGGAATACAACTATATAAAATAAGCCTAGTACTCATAACTGCGAAATTCGCATTTTTTTGACTTTGTTTCGACAATTTGACGTTTAATACACGCATTAAACGTCAAATTGTCAAAGCAATGTCAAAAAAGTGCGAATTTCGCAGTTATGAGTACTAGGCATTATATGGCTGTGTTCCTTTTTTAGGTGTCAGTGTCCGTACTGTATTTACTGGGAAGCGTTCCAAAATTAAAATTCAGTGTACTGATTTACTGAAAAAATTACGTATGACGTCACCAACACGTCACTAATTTAGTACTGTGTAGTAATTACTGTATTCCTTTTACTCGTTGAGTTATTCGGAGCTGCTCAATGTCAAAAGCTTGAATGTTCTTTTTAAAAGTGCGTTAAGTACTCGAGTCGCTCATAGTGCATCCCCCATTCCCCTGATGCACCAAATTTGCGGGAGGTGCAGGAAGCTTTTTTGGATAATGTTAAAATTAAAGAATAATGATAATATCTGAATTGTGTATTTTGGAGTGACTCCGAGGAGCTCTCGAAAGATACGTTCGGTGTAACTCGATATATAAAAGAAATACAGTAATTAGTAAATCACCCTCGGGCTAAGCATAACTCCAGGGTGAATATTGCCACTGGACTGAACACGCTTACCAAGCCGGAGGTGACTCATCGCTATTTACTGTGCTTGCGTTCGTTATTTTGATCAAAGAGCGTCTGACTCGCTTTCCACTCAGTGACTCACTTTAGGCACTCCTGAGCTGCTCTAGAGCGCCCCGCGCTGTTTTATTAGAGTTTCGCGCAACTGAACTGTTCGTCTTTTATCTCCCTAACCCTCTCAAGCAACTCAAGGTAGGGTGCGTTGCCGTGAAACAACAGTTGTTTGGTGCACCAGAATGTAAAGCTACGCAGGATGTCTATTCTCGAATTGCTCTGTCTTTATCCAGTGTTATGGCATATAAATATGGGTGACTAAATATCTGTTCCAACCGACATGACTACCGTTCCAAACCAACTAATAATTTCCAGTTGCCCGCCTGTTTTTCAATAAGTTGAACGCTCATCCTACTTGACAAATGGATTGATCGGTTGAAAATTACCGTTCTATACTTTATTTTTTCCCAAGATAGATTTTGACATTGAAAACTTTGAAACATAAACAATAACGCTTGACCCTGATTGGTCGAAAAATGAGATGTTTCTGCAGGTTGACATCAGTTTTACAATAGCGACCAATAACCGGCATTAACGGCATTGTTTATGTTTCAAAGTTGACAATATCAAAATCTATCTTGGAAAAAAATAAAGTATAGAACGGTTCTCAACTACTAACTGTACGCCACTGGTATTCTTTCTTCTTGCACGCACTGAAAAATATCCTCCCATTGATCTGGGCTCAAGTGCTCTATAAAATTCACTCCAATCCACCCCGGAACAAATATTGGAACGTAGCGAATTAGCAAAGCCATTCGAAAAAAATGTAGGCAAAAATCTCGTAATACTCATACTACAGTGGTACATAGCTGCTTGCTGATTTTTTATGTTTTTTTTTCAAATCTGGGGCAAATATATTTGTACCCTAAAAATAATAAATAAGAACTTATTAAAAATAAAATCTCCATTGTGCGAGTCTGAAAGTGACTTTTTTATTGATTTTTAAATTTGCGCGCGGCCTCTAGCCGAATAATATTTAATCCCCCTGAGGCATCCCAATATAGGCAGATAAGGCAGAGAACCTGAAGTGAAAATGACCAATATAAACTTTTTGATGAATGTTTATCATTATTTAGTGAACAAACCTAATTATTTGCGTTTTAATTTAATTTTTTTCGGCGCCAAAATTCGTTTTAAATGGATTGGATGAACTGAATACATTTTGGAATGAATCATAAAATAGCAGAAAAATAAGAACAGAAAATATACACCTTTTTCGCTATTTATTTTTTTAATTTTAGTATTAATGTGATCACAATAGAGAGATATCGGTAACCCAAATAGTGTCATGCAGTATTAGCGCCAACGTTATTTTGACATTAAACCTATGCGCGATTCGATTTTTAACACTACGTACTAAAATAACGTTACCGCTTAACGTAATTTACCCAGCATTTACGTTAGGCGCTATTTCGAATAACGTCTAAAAATAACGCCGTGGAATAATGGGTTATGTTATGTTTATTGTTTATTTTATTATTTTTGCTGTATTCAAGTGAATATGGATTGTTCAAAAAATAGTAAAAAAGCAAATCCTCTGTCCCTGACCATGAACAACAGACAACACAAATCAAATCAAAACAAGGTACAAGTTAGACTACGGTTTTAAAATAACGAATGCGAACAGGCAAATTTTACGTTAAACTGTTTTCCGATAACTCTAATTTGAAAGTATGATACCGCTTTACTTTAAAAAAATAACTCCTGACGTTATTACCGCCCATACGCGCTATCTGTTTTACCGATATCTCTCTAATAAATGGGAAAATTGGCTGTATATAATTTTATCGATCAGCGCAAGAAATTCTCAAAAAATAATCAGCAAATAGAAAGAGAGGTTTCTTCCGTTTCAATCAATTCATTCGTTTTGATACACTCCATACACCCAACTACTCCAAATTTTGTCAGGCACGTGATTTCTATTCTCGAATACCACGTAAAGGTCACATGACTTCAATTAGTCAAAGTGACAAGTTGACACCAAACGAATAATCATGTCGTCGACAGCCGTCCGCCTAGTGGTGCCCTCTACATTGTCAATGTTGTTAGGCTTACCAAATGGAGTCTAATGGAGTCGATTTTAATTAAAACAGTTTGAAAATCCTTTTAGAATTATGAGAAAACCGAGGCAAACGGTAAAGAACGTCCCTATTTTAGTGAGGAATTTTCCTGATAGCGTTTAATGTGTTCGAGTGCCAGTGGAAAACGGGAAAACTTATATGTTTACAAATCGGACCTGGGAGCCACCTCTGTTATTTGACAATCCACTTTTTAAATTTATTTACCTATTTTACTGGCATTTACCCTGGCAGAAATTTCACCAGAACGTCCCTTATCCGTTTCTTATAGGCCAAATTGTATAGTGGATATACCTGGAGCGAGGGGAGATGTTTTTCTGCTGGACTGATGCATTGACCAAAAAGCAAGAGAGAAATCCTGGTTTTTAATTATTGCAGCATTGTAGTGGTCCAAAACCGAAAAGCTTGTTTAGTTAGGAGTGTGATTAATGAAAGAAGAATCTTGAGATAAATAATGTTAACAATTAAAAAAGAATTCTTCTTTTTGCAGAAAGTGAATGCATGGACAATCTCAACCTTGCTCTATTGGAAAATTATGTAGTAAGTACACAAATTATTATTATATTTATATAGATGTTTAAAATATATAGGTTATATGCAAAAAAATTGCCTCCTAGCCTAAACATGTATGTACCTATGTACCCAACTGGAAAACTTACTTCTTTAGTCTTAAATCGTTAATTTAGCTTAAATTTAAAAAAAACAAAATAAGAGACAATATGACCTTGAACATTTTTAGATAATCATTATTTCAAATTATTGGGTTCATGGCATAGAGCGAGGTATAGAGCTTTACTTTGAAAATTTTGAACCAAAATAAATAAACAGATCATTAGAATTTGATTTGACAATACTTATGTCAACAATGCTGTTTTGTTGACATTAACTTCAGTCAGAAATTTCGTACATAGGAAATTTCAGGCAGATTTCTTCTATTTAAATAAATTTATCAAATGTAAACAAAAATGGGTCTGTTCCCAGTTCCCACAGGAGTCTCTGACAGTTTGCAAACTGTCAGTAAGCATCGCCCATACATGTTTTCAATGCTGTCGTTCCAAGATTAATCTGTAACTCAGCTGAGCGATTTTTTCTGACAGGTTGCAAACTGTCAGAGACTCCTGTGGGAACAGACCTGTTGTTTATTTATTGAATATATACATGACCTACCTAAATAATAGGTAAAGAAAATATATAAATACATTTACATAAATTTTGCCTTGCCATTACATATTTTTACAAGTTTTCCCATAGTAATACTCGAGGTACTACTATACTTGCTAGATGAATTTACTAATTTTTTCCAGTGTCCCAATTAAGAACAATAATTTTTGATAAAGTCTATAATGACATTATGTTGGCAATACAATGTAAAATTGTCAATGCTCTCAATTTTTTTATGTAGAAAAGGCTTGTGTTACCAAATGGAATAAATTTGATAATAAATAAATGGGGCACTTTTCGAAAAAATGCTCGAACACGTCAATTTTGTTTTTTTGCTTGAGATTTTTTCACATCAATTTTTTATACAGGGTGTTCCGAAAACAGCTGTCCATTCTGCGAAAAATTCTTTGAATTTAATCCATGATTAGAAATTTCGCTTAAATTATTGATCTTCGGTTAAATTCAAAGTTGCTGTCAAATGATAGCTTATGAAAATCTAGGACAGGAATGTGAAAACGGTTTCACTGTAAAATCAACCTTTTACCTTTGACAGTCTGTCAAAGATGCAAAAAAGTCAATTTTCAACTGTCAATATTTCCAAAACAGTTGAAGATAGGTTGAGAGATAGGTATATGACATTGTACATGAAATATGTCTAGAATTTTCCGCAGAATCCAGAAATGTCATAATATACAGGGCATACCATTAAAAAATCTAAAAATAATAACGGTACAGCAGTTTTTGGAACACCCTGTATAAAAAAATTGGTGTGAAAAAATCCCAAGCAAAAAACCAAAATTGACGTGTTAGAGCGTTTTTTCGAAAAGTTTCCCATTTATTTATTATCAATAGTAATATAACTAGTGCAATGGAAATTATTGATAATTTTTGGGAAATTTGCCCGAATGCATTTTTAGTTGAAAAAGCCTTTTTCAGTTAAAAATGCATGAGTGCAAATTTGTCGAAAATTATAAATATATTTCCATTGCACGAGTTGTATTTAATGAGAGAATTTCATAGATCAAAAATTTAAATTTTTTGTCAAAAAATGTCAAAACACCAGTTTTCGCACCAGTTACTATGCAATTATCTGATAATTTGCACTAGTGCAAATTATCACGTAATTCTAATCTGATTAGTTCAAATCAACAATCAATGTTCGAATACCAGTTTTGACAGATGTATAAAATTCTCTTTAAAAAAAAACAGACAACAAACTTTACTTTCTTCAACAAATTGTATGATAGTGAAGACCTTCGAAGGGTTCTCTCTCATTAAATCTGAGAGTGTGTCTCTAGACAAGAAGTGGATGAAGTTAGCTGGCTCAATAAGAATTCCTCAAACCCAGACCTAAGTATTACAATAGTAGAGTTTCTCGTGCATTATCAACTGAATGGAGTTCCAGCAAATACATAAATCTTTTCCAGGATTATGGATTTGTCATGTTGGTCTGCTAAGTATCCAGACTTTACATCTTTGGACTTTTGCCTGTGGGAATAGTTGTAGAGTGAAATATATACATTGCTAGTGTTGTGAAAGAGCAAACGTTCTTATTCAAAACAAACTTTCAAAACCATTGTGCAGGAAGTTCTCCTTAAATCTTTGTACGAGCATAATTTAAGAGCTTACCTAAGCATAAACCTCGACATAATCAAGATCATTGGCCGTGTTTGTTTTTGCCATCATTTTCGTCGATTTGCTCGGAAACTTTGACAGGCACGTGACTGGATCAGACACTTTCAATTTACAGATCAAGTGCCTGTCAAAATTTCGGAGCAAATCGACGAATAAGATGACAAAAACGAACACGGCTATTGTCACATTTTTATGTCATTTGAATGTCAAATTTTCCATTTGTGCTAAACTAAAATCTATTCTATACTATTTAGATAGAAAGAAAACTTTCACTCTTGTTGGATATTAGGTGGCATCAAAGTAAATTAACTATAATTACATATTGTCTTTTTGTTTTCAAACTATTTCATAAAAATTCAAAGAAGAATATTTTATAAAGTAAACATATTTTTTCAGGAGTTGTAGACAATAATCTTTGTCCAACTAGAGTGCAATGTCACAGAGAGCAAAGAGGCCCAACCGAACTGAGGATGCCCCTGTTCCTGCTAAAAGGCGCAAGGTAAAAAATTATTATTATTATTATTATTTTACAATAGAAGGCGGCAAAGCCGATGAGTCTATTGATTGGTTTTTATATCAGTTCCTCGATCAGTTCACAATTTTAAGTCCATAATTAATTGTCACATCCATTATATCTCAGATATGGTATTATTTTGTCACTAGTTTACTGGGGCTAGTGGACAAACTGGTTATTGTTTTCACTTATATCTCTGTCTACACGATTTTCGAAGGAGTTAACACTAGTGGCATTTACCGTATCTTGACTTAGGTTATTCCACGAATACACGACCCTGTTTGTTAAGAAATTGCGTCTTAACAATTTGGAACATTTTTCCTTGTTTAATTTCTTATTATGCGCATTACCGGCAGGAATAAAGATGTTAATGATATTGCACTTGTAATGACCACTAGTTATTTTATAAGTCTCAATCAAATCTCTACGCTGTCTTCTTTGGTAGAGGGTTGTAAGATTAAGGCGCTGTAAACGTTCTTGATAAGAAAGATCTTTGAGCTCTGAAGGGATTTTAGTTACCATTCGCTGAACTTTCTCTAGAAGATCTATATCTTTGACATAATAAGGACTCCATATACTTTGCATATATTCTAGTTTTGGTCTTATGTAAAGTCGGAATCATTGCAATTGGCACACACTCTTTAAAATCCCTCGTATTAAGTCAAAATTCTAACCAATAAATCTATTTAGTGCAGCATTTTGCTATTACTGTGTGTCAGATTTGACACATTACGAGGGATATTTATATAGTGTGCCAATTGCAATGATTCCCACTGTATGTCTTGTAAAGCTTAAGTATCATATCACTGGATAGGTTTTTGAACGACTTTCTTATAAGCTAAATCAAGGTGATCACTTTTTTGACAGTTGTTGAGATGTGACACTCCCATTCTAGGTCTTTTGTGACTATTAATCCTAGATCTTTCTGTTTTTCGACTGGAGTCACCTCAGTGTTTCCTATAGTGTACCTGTGATTGGGATTAGTTCTTCCGTTCTTCCCAAGTGAAGAACAGTGCACTTAGATTCGTTTAATGGCATCTGCCATGTTATAGTCCATTATTTAATTTTATCAAGATCGCTCTGCACTTGTCGGTATTGATCACTTGCTCTGCATGTAGAATTTGTGTCGTCTGCAAAGGATGAGGTGTCACACACGAGATCTGCACTGCAGGAAGGTCGCTTATGTATAATATAAACAGCAAAGTTGTAATTACTGAGCCTTGTGGTACTCCGCTATGCACCTAGCGACTACTGGAAAGAACATTGCCTATTTTTACTTGAAAGGTCCTTCCTTGGATAAGTTCGCTGATAATCTATGTATATTGCCCCATATTCCATTATGCTCCAATTTCAGGAGGAGTCTCCTGAAAGGTATCTTATCAAAAGCTTTTTCAAAATGTATGTAGAATTGATGTAGACAATGTCAAATGGTGTATTACTGTCATCCATTTGAGTCCATTTGTTGAATCTTTCCAGCAGGTTAGTGAATGTTGATCTTCCTGGTAAGAACCCATGGCGAGAATTAGGTATTACTTGCTGTTCTAGTAAAAAAGATGTTATCTCTTTCACTAGGTTTTTCTCCATGCATTTGCAGAGTACGCTGGTGAGACTTATTGGTCTGTTATTTGATGGTTCCAGTTTGTCCCCCTTTTTAAAGATTGGTACAACTATTGATGATTTCTATATTTCTAGAATGGGAGCTCCTTTCATTATAGAGTTTAGAATAGCGGCTATAGGACTGGAGAACGATTTGGAGCAGTTTTTCAGAAACAGGGATGGAATTTCATCAGGACCAGGACCAGACTTCGCTTTTAGAGATGAAATGGCCATTTGTACTTTTTCTGGGGTGAATTCTATATTACTTATCTCTGCAGCGATGCGTAGTTCAGGTGAAAGAGTTTGTAGGTTGTTATCTTCTTGAGTGAAGACTCTCTGGAACTGGTCTGCAAAGCAATTGGCAATTTCAGTCTTATCGTAAGTAGTCTGATTCGTGTTAGTGTTTCTGAGCGCAAAATTTTGGAGACCGGAGTTTAGGGAATGTTTTATATAGGAATAAAATTTCTTAACAGGAGCTTGCAATAAATTCTGTTCATATTCTTGCCTAGCCTGGTTTAAGATCGCTTCGTTATATTATTTTGTTGTTTGTAATGATCATAATCTGTGTTTGTTTTTGTCCTTTTATCTTATCCCAAAGTTTTCATTTAATGTTGATTTGCTTAAAAACTTCCCAGTTAAGCCAAGGTTTCTTTGAATTGACATGCTTAGGTTTGAAGGGTACATATAGCTCAATAGTTTTCGTCACTAAACTTGTTAGCTATGTTGCATCAATTTGGCATGTGCAGGCATCTAATTGTTCAGTTATGTACTTGGTAATTTCATCATAATTTGCTTTCCAGAAATTTCTTTTATAGATCTTTGTAGTTGGCTTAGAAGCCAGTTGCATCTGTGTTTTAGCTGTTATCACTACATGATCACTACCTATGGTGGGTGTTGCTGTATACTGAATATTGAGCTTTTGTCATTAACCAGCAATAGATCTAGTAATGAAATTTCATTATTTCTGTATCTTGTAGGAAACGTTATTACCTGATGCACGTTAGTGATTTGATAGCTGATAGCTGTTAAAAAAATCTTCTGAGCATTGATTGTGAGGGTAGACTGTAAGTTTATCCCAGTTGATCTCTGTGTAATTGAAGTCTCCAAAAAGAAATGTTGGGATTTTTGACTCTAAGGCCTGTGGAGGTAAATTCTTTGTTTTGCTCTGGTGTTGTTGACGATCTGGGACGATATATGCAAGCCGTTACAAAGGTAAAGGTGCTGATTGTAATTTCCCTCCAAACTGCTTCTATTGGGTGCTCTGTTTTGTACAAGGTGCTTAATTTTGCTTGCGTTTGGTGACCTGCTACTGTATTTTTGACAAAAATGCACATACTTCCTCCTGTTTGGTTATGTCTGTCTAAGCGAAACAATGTGTAATCAGGAAGATGAACAAAACTGTCAGGAAGATCTGACTTGAACCAACTTTCACTTGCACTTTGAGTTCTGGATAGATCTTTCAATCTGTCAATGCCTAAAGCACTTTGGGAATAATTTATTTTGATTTGGTTGTGAAAAAGTGGAAATTAAAAATTGAACTGTAAACTGTAAACATACCCTTTTTCACCAATAAACAATAATAATTATTGCCGTTAGATTATTAATAATTGAAAAATTAACTCACAAACACCATCATTATTTTCATTGAAAAATCACAAGCCAACTTGGCAACAACGTTAGTGGAATTTCAACAAGAATGCATTGTTAATATTTCAACATAAAATTATGCAAAGTATTTTATATTTCAATATTTATTTTTTTGGGGGATTACATAATTATTAAGATTATCCACCATACCACCAAATTTCATTCATTGATTTTGATAGAATAACAGCGGTAGCCAGAGTGCTGGAACTCTTTAAAACATAGAGATCGTTATCCCTATTGCTATGGCACTTGCCCTCTTCATGTCTCTTGTCGAAATCAATAGAGAGGAGATGTCAGTAGAGATAGAGAATATATCACTATTCGTTACAGAGTCCCAGCCCTGTGGTGCCTCTTAAATAGTGATTTTTACATAATAAAAAACATCTTATTTTCATTCTATAGGTTAATTTTGACATATATTATCCAATTTCTAGCGGACGGCGGCCGAGGAAGAGGAGGCGGCCTCCCTGGCAGCGGCACAAGCGGCTCAAGGTCCTTGGCAGCCTCGTGCCAGCGACCTTAAGACTATCTACAATCGTACTACCACTGAGGCTCCAGCTGAACTCTTTCGGAAAGATCTGATTAGGTAAGTAGTTGTAACAAATAAAGAAAATCTGAAATAAAATTTTGTTGAGTTGACAACAAACCTTTAATTCATCAGCAAAATGTGTTTGAGTCATCATTGAATTTTTTCAAAATATGTTTACAATAACAAGTGGTTGTCTTTTTTCTAGTGCTATGAAACTTCCGGATTCGGAACCACTGGCTCAGGACGAATATTGGGTCATTGTTGATCAGTGGAAACAGGAGTGGGAGCGCGGGGTGCAAGTACCTGTCAATCCTGACTCGTTGCCGGAACCTTCCACTTCTGTAATGGAAACTAGGCCATATAAAGTTAATAAGGAATTCAGACTGTAAGTAGTTCATCACTTATTTTTGTTGAAAAGGTAAAAATGAATACAATGAAATACATAACATACTTACCTACTTTCAATATTATTATTAATTTCATCAGAAATCAGATAAAGACTTGCGTCCATTTTATTTTACAATGATATTCTAAACTTTAATTTGGCTCAAAAATAACTTCTGTAATCTGCATTCAAGAAATAATGGGAGATTTGACAATTGGGGCTTCAGAAATTTTTATTTGATTTCATGAACCCTAGACCTACAAAATTGACACCAAGTGTCTTTTTGCCCCTTACCCTAAGTATTAAGTGTTAAGAAATATCATTTTACACACTCATTATGTAAATACATAATATGTATGTATTTTGTCTTTGAAGATACAAGTCACATAGTGGTAGCTTCTGTCTCCAAATTAAATACAATATAAATTTTCAATACAGTTATTTTCCATCTCAAATTTTGTTATTCACATAACTTACAAGCAATTATCAAATGAGACAGAAGACTGTTAAAAACTAGGATAATAATTTTTATTTTTATCAGAAAATAGATTGCTAATACTTAAATGAGTTTTCACAGAGAAAAGGGGAAGATTTAAAAAAAATAAAACTATCTGTAGACAGTCAATTCAGATACCCAATTCAAAAAATGCTTCTCACGCTGAGATAAAGATAAAAACACCAAAAACCAGTCAGCACATAAGTGTAATTTAACACTATTTTTGATAAGTTTATTTTGTTTCAATGAAATAATTTTATCAGTTTATATTATTATGAATTACAAGATTTATATTGTTTATACAAACTGTCACTAGGTGTAACCAGAATCCAGAGATAGAGTGGCTTTGATAGCTTTGTTTTATTTATTTATTTATTTATTGTTTAATACATAACAGAGCAAACTCCAAATGGTATTTCATATTTCATGTAGGTATACCTACTTATGAGCCTACTATCTATGACAAACTTTTTTAAAAAATAAAATAAAAATGTGTTTGTATATGATCACAACCATTATTACAAGGCAATACAAATAAAAATAAATAAACACAATGTAATATGTACATACATACATAAATGTGGCACTCTTTCCTTGATTACTCCCCCTTCCCCAAGCCAAGATTCATACTGGTGTATTTAGAGTTACTGGAATGTGATCTATGGTTGTTAAAGGTTTGTAGTATTTTGAACCCGAACATGAGTGTCAGAAATGTCTTATGCATCTCCAACCTATCGATATTCAGCAGTTGCAAACGATCTATTGACTTTTGTCAATTCCAAGTTTGTATAGTAGGAAGTTGACAAATTTCCCTTGAAAACGTTCAATACCAATGTTCAATACACTTAATATAGGTTTGGGTTTGGTAATATGGCGACCAAACTATGCAGCAATACTCGAGGTGACTTCGCACCAATGAAGAATACATAGACTTCAGTACCTCGATATTGGAAAATTCCTCACACCTACGCATTATAAAGCCTGCCATTTTGAAGGCTTTTGCTAAGATAAAATTCATATGATTGTTAAATCGTAATTTAGTGTCAAAAACTATACCCAAATCGTTAATTAGATCTACTCTTGGCAGAATGGAACGTGCAATAAAGTAGGAGTGCAGGATGGGCGCTTTTTTTCGAGAAAACGATATTATCTTGCATTTGGAAGTATTTAGTTCAGTTCCATTTAATATACACCATTCTGATATCTGGAAAACAGTTTTTTACGAAAATTTGAGGAATATCATCTGTTCCTGATCCCTTTTTCTCGTCTTGTCCGATAAGTTTCTGAAGTACAATATCACTGTTAATCTCAATGTTAGAAAGAACCATATTGTTGATAGAACATAAAAATTGGTTTTTAGTGGCTGCAGGATCGAGTACAGTAAATACGTACTGAACTCTGCAAAAAAATCTGCGATGATTTTAGGATCGCATGAAAGATTATAGGTTTGTTCTCACAGAAATCACAAACCAGTCAGAGCCAATTTCATTGATTGAAAATAGTCAGAAAACTGGTTGTTGGCGATTTGCATCAATCAAAAACGCTCTGACTGGTTTGTGATTTCTGTGAGAACAAACCTTATACTGACACTCATCATAAGTCTAGTGTGTTTATATTTTTTAAAGGCTTTTTTTCTTATTACACAGAGCAATTGTTCCTTTTGAAAAATAATTAGGGTATTTTAAAGTTGAGACTCTAGTTTTTGGAACATGTAGGTCAATTGCAATGTATAAGAATGTATAAAACATTTTGAGGGCACTATTGATATTATTACAATACAAAAAGCTCCAATCCATAAATTCGAAGCAATCATTCAGCAGACCCTAGTCGGCCTTATGAACATTATACCTGGAGAGTTGCAGATTTCTAGTCTTTGTAGTTTAGTCAGGAAATATTCATGCTTTCTCTCACCAAGGCAGCAGGTATCACAAATAGGAAGTTATAATAGAACTATTATATGTATAGTATATTATATGCCTAGTATCTAGTAGTATGGTGATTCCATTGATGTAAACATCAGCTTATGACCCCTATTATGGTGACAACCTTTTGCTTATATGAGCATTCCAGCTCAAATCATTTTGATATTTTGTTCAATATTTAAAAACTGATCATCTAGCTTTTGTGTTTGAGTGTTATAATATGGTCCTTTTATTGTCTGTATTATTCTTTAATCTTGTTTTAATTTGTTTTGATATTATACAGGAGGAATGGCCTAACGGCCACAAGGTTAAATTTCGCCAATTGTGCCCTTCCAATGTGTATACTTGTTAATTTTATATTTATTGGTAGTGTATGCATTTGTGCGAAGTTAAATAAGGATGATATTTATATGTTCCCTGATATTTTCACTCTTTTGACTCCCATTTATTACAACCAACATTTTGTTACTATACAATGTATGTTGTGTGTTGAATTTTTGTTTATTTTCAGATTGTAATTAGTTTTTGACCCCTATTCATACTTATTAGCTGAAAAATCAAATATTTGATTTGAATAATTTCTTAGTAAATTTAAACTATCGTTCTTTTCTTATTGATATTATGACAAACTTTTTCTTTTCAGGCCAAAAAACAAGTATATCCGAATAACAAAAGATGACACATTTGACAGTGAAATCCACGCCTTTTCCAATGCCCCGGCCCAATCCGAAGCAGCCTGTTCTTATGATTTAGACGAGTGCGACGTTGCCTGGCTCAAAATCCTAAACGCAGAACGAGCTGCTTGCAACCTAAACCCGGTCTACGAAGATCAACTAGAAAGAGTGATAGAACGATTAGAACTTTGTTGTTGGGAAAAAATCCAATCTATATTACGTAACGAAGAGGGCTTAGGCATTGAATTCGATGAAAACGTAATTTGTGATGTATGCAGGTCTCCAGATTCGGAGGATGGTAACGAAATGGTTTTTTGCGACAGTTGTAATATATGCGTGCATCAGGCTTGTTATGGAATTACCAAAATCCCTGAAGGTCAATGGCTGTGCTGTACGTGTAACATTGGCAAAAGGCCGGACTGTATGTTGTGTCCAAACAAAGGGGGCGCGATGAAATCCACTCGGACAGGACATAAATGGGCTCATGTATCCTGCGCCCTCTGGATACCGGAAGTTAGTATAGGTTGCGTGGAAAAAATGGAACCTATCACAAAAATATCCAGTATACCTTCCAGTAGATGGGCCTTAATTTGTGTTTTATGTCGTGAACGACGAGGGGCTTGTATACAGTGTTCAGTCAAAACGTGTAAAACCGCTTATCACGTGACATGTGCTTTTAAACATGGTTTAGAAATGAGGGCTATTATTGAAGATGAAAACGCAGATGATGGAGTAAAATTGAGGTCTTACTGTGAAAAACATAGTAAGTCTGGCAAGAAAAGTGAAAAAAGTGTTTGTTCTGGAGGTTCTGAAGAGGATGATACAAAACGTAAAAAACGAAAAGACATGACGAATGAAGAAAAAAATCAAGCTAGAGCGGCCAGGCTACAAGAAATAGAATCAGAATTTTTCAAACATGTTGCAATAAAAGACATAAACGTGCACATAGAAGTAGATCAAGATGGATTGCAATATATTTATAATTATTGGAAATTGAAAAGAAAAGCTGGAAATAATAAGCCACTTTTGCCTCCAAAATCTGAAGATCTTGATGTGCTGTCGCACAAAAGAGAACAAGCTGATTTGGAGAAAATGAAAATGTTTGTCCAACTCAGACAAGATTTGGAACGTGTTAGAAATCTATGTTATATGGTCAGCAGAAGGGAAAAACTGAGCCGAAGTTTCTTCAGAATGCGGGAACAGACGTTTCATAAACAAGCCACTGTGCTGTCTTCATCAAATACTCTACCTACAACAGTTATTCAAGCCGTCATTGAAGCTAATCACGGACCGTCTATTTATGACCGTTTATACTCTCACAATGAAGCTGAAGATCATACATCAGATTTTGATATTCTTTTAGCTAGAATAGCGGGTCTAAAATCACCTACACATTCAGGAGATGAACATAAAACGGAATTAAATGGATTTTTACGTGACGTGAAAAATAATCCTTATAAGAAAGTGTACTTTAATGGGTCTTCCAAGCGCCGAAGTGCTAGTTTATATGGCAGTGGCCTTTCTAGCGCTAGTAGTAGCGACGAAAAACCAAAAGATAATAAAGAAAATCACATACAAAGTACTTCAGAGGAGGAAAAACCTCAAATAAACAAGAAAAAAGCACCTTCTCTAACACCTCGAAGAATCACTGCTAGAAAAAAACTCGTCACAGCAAGAGTTAAAGTTGAAAGCAGTAGTGAAGAGGATGAAAAACCTTCTATTACTTCACCAGCTAAAGAACCGTCAAGATCACGTTTAGGTCAAATCGCCAATGAACTGGGAGATACTGAAAGTGAAAGTGACGAGTTAGTACCAATAAAAACTTCAAGAAAAACAAATGACAATCAAAAGAAAATTAATTCAATTTACTCTGATAGCGACACTTCAGATGCCTCTATGAAAAATGATGACAAATCCTCGAATGCCACAAACGATTCACAGAGCAAACTAAGAACAAAAGCTGCTGTTAAAGAATTTTCAAATAAACCCAGTAGCAGTAATAAACAACAAGAACAAGTTAAAAAGAAAGGGAAAATTGAAAGAAATAGAAAGAAAGATTATGTTCCAAATGATTTAATAGTGCCCCAAAGACAAGCGGCTAAAAAAGCATCAGAAAATTTGAAGCTTACTAATAGATCTAAAGAGCAACATCCGCAAGAAGAACAAATAATTAAACCTGAACCTGAAAAAGATACCACTACCAAACCAACTAAACATAAAGGTAAAGTATCACACAAAGCCGATATTATTAAAGATAAAAAGGCAAGTGAAGCTGAAATTCAGGAACTTCTGGCTTTTGTCCCCCAGAGACAAGCAGCCAAAAAGGCAGCTGAACATATTAAGAGTGGCATGACAAAACCAACTGCAACTCCTCTTCCTGAAGCAACAGAAGTTTCTAACAAAAATGAACCAACTAAAACTAAAAAAGACATTGAATCTAATACAAAGTCGAAAACTGAAACAACAATTAAACAACCGGCTAAAATTCAAGAAACAAAACGAAAATCATCAGCAGCGCATTCTTCAAGTAGTTCATCCTCTTCCTCGAGTAGCTCATCAGATTCTAGTTCGTCTAGTTCTGAAAGCGAGCGCGAAGAAAAACCCAAACCGCAATCGGAGAGCCAAGTATCCTCTGGAGAAGCGGCTAAGCGGAGTAGTAACGCCAAGCAGGACTGGCCCTTTCTTGACAAGGGAGCCCGTCCAGCGGCGTCCTCCTCCTCTTCAGCCTCAGACTCGAGCGATTCCAGTGCACCGTCAACGCCAAGGGCACAGTCACCTGCTAGAAAGCCCTCCCCGGTTGCGGCTAGAAAACCGTCCCCAGCGCCAACAACAAAGAAGTCACCTAGAAAATCCTCCCCTGTTAATGCCCGAAGAAAATCTTCCCCTGTTAATTCCAGAAGAAAATCTTCCTCGTCGCCGACCAAAGCGGACATTACCAATAACGCCAAACGGGGCCGCAAACCGAGCGCCGACAAAAAGTTATCACAAACGCCTCCTAAGAGAGAGGAACCACCCACACGAAGAGGCAGAGGAAGAGGGCGACCATCACGCAACTCACAATCCTCCGGTGATCGGGTCGGAGATGCTAATGTCAGGCCAAGAAATTTGTTTGATGACAAACGTGTCAGTATGGAAGACGAACCTGCCAAAAGAAAAGACTCCAGTATCACTACACATACCATTGACAAACACAAAAAAGAGGCCCACGAGCCCAATGTATTCTCTTCGGTCAATAAAAAGGACAAGAACTTAAAAGAAAATACTTTGACTTTGGAACCGAAACAAATTACTCCAGAACCAAGGAAAATTGATTTAGAACGTGAAATTCGGGAAAGAAAAGCTGATAAAGAAAAAGATGGAATTAAAACATCAAAATCCACTTTGGACCGATTATTTTCAAGCAATAGGAAATTCAATGAACATAATTTGGAAAAAGAACAACCGCTAAAGGCTATAGATAAAATTAATAAAAATACTAAAAATCATTCTAGAGAAGGATCTGAAAATAATGAACCTTCTAAAACTGACTCGTTGATAATTAAATCGCCAAATAAAGAGCTAAAAGAACAAATTGAGAAGAAATTTGAAACAGTAACAGCCAATAAAAAATCACCAGCAAAAATTAGGAGTATAGAAGAACCCAACAGCGATACTAAAGAGAATATTACTCAAAATAAGAGTATAAAAATAAGTGAAGAAATATCAACTGCTGATAAAATTGTCGATGATCATCTGCAGTCTCAAAAATTACACGAATTAAATAATGAAACTAATTTAGTTTATAATATGAACGAATATGATCGTGAAACAACAAACGCCACACAATCCTTAGAAGATTTACAACCTAAATTGCTATTTTCACCACCATCTCAAACTAAAGAACCAGATATTTTGGATTTAGTAAATTTCGATGACAATTTTGGATTGAAAGACGAAATTATGTTGAAAGATAATAATATTCAATTTTCTGCTTTCAATAATCCTCCAATTAAAGAAGATACTAAAGAAGACAGTGCTAGAGAAACATTAAATTTAGTAGAGAAATTACGCATGGGAATGACTATCAAGAAATCCAGTGACGATGCAACTACAAGTAGTCTAGAAAGTGATAAAGGAGAGACTAACATGGAGCAAGTTGTGCCTGAAACAACAAAAGCGACAGAAATATTTTCCCAACATTTCTCAAATAATCACATTGTCAAAGATTTTCCTAGAATATCAACTAATAATGAAAATCAAGATAATTCACTCCCTAATAGCAATAAACTATATATTCAACAGCCTCAAGAGTTAATTCATGCAGCACCTATGGACGGAGATGAACGTTGGGTACCTCCTAGTCACCAAAACTATCCAAACATGCAACAAGCAGACAATAATTTTATCAATGATGCTCATTTTATGCCCCCAGCAGCAATCATGGATCCAAGAATCTCACAAACTCCGATGTCCTTAGATGGTATGCCATGCCCTTCTCCTTATCCAGATATACATCCTCAAGCCAAATGGGCTGATAGTGCTGTCATGCCTAGTCGGAGATCATCATCTAGTTCAAGTTCTAGCTCTAGTACAAGTTCGAAAAGAGATGAAGAGGATATTATAAGCAAAATGCCTCCTGCAGTTAATATTGTTGGAAATCATACATCCTATATGCCTCCTCCATACAATCCAACCCCTCTGGATAATTTCGGCCCTCAGTTCCCCGATCCATCCTTTGTACCAGTAAGTTTATTTCCACCTCCTAATATCAATACCCAGGTTTCCTTTACTCCTTCTTCAGGTGTGTTTACTCCTACTGGTTCTTCAGGCGTGTTTCCTCCTCCGTTCGGAGCCCCTTTCCCTACTCTTTCTATGTCCAAATCTGTTGAGGATTCGATTCCGTATTCGGCCGCTTTCACGTCATCGCAACATAATATGGCTCTCACGGCGGCAATGGTTAATATTCCTACGCCCACTCCAATGGTACAAGAACCACCTGTGAAAGTGCCTGAACCAGTCATGAAGATACCTGAACCGGTCATGAAGGTGTCTGAGCCTGCTATGGAAATGCCAGAACCTGCTATGAAGATGCCCGAACCTGTTATGAAGATGCCTGAACCTGCAATGGAACCTGCTGTTAAGATGCCTGAAGCAGCTGTGAAGATGTCAAAACCGGCTATGAATATTCCAGAACCAACTATGAATATTCCCGAACCAACTATGAATATTCATGAACCAGTTGTTTCAGCTATAGGCGCTCCCGTTTCTTTAGCGCCCTGTCAGCAAGTTGTAGAAAACGTGTTGCCGTCTCCAGTATTGAGCAATGAAGCTACACCAACCAATAGCACTTTGCCGTCACCTAGTATGTCTGTTAAAAATTTAGCAGGTAAGAATTTTCAATTATTTATTTAGTCTAAACATTAATTAGGTTTATTCCCATTTTTCTCTGGTGTTAATTTAACAATTTAAAGACATATCAATAATGTTATGATTTCAAGTAATAGATTTGTTAACAGACTGTTTTGAAAAAATTCACTGACATTTCATTTACATACAGGGTGTCCTCCCAGCCGAGAGTGACCCATTTGCATTGCTTATAACTTTTAAACCAGGTGTGGTTTCTTCTATCTGTGGTTTATGCCATTTAATTTCTCTTGGCCTAAAGTGTTTTTTGGTTAGCTGTAAATTTTTCTGATACTTAAGCATGGCCAGTAAAAAAAATACTGTTTTTCAACATCGAAATTCTCCACTAATTTCAATGAAACACCCTGTATATCACAACGTCAAAAAAAAAAGTCATGTTCAAAGTATCCATGTACCAATAAACATCTTCCTGGAAACTTAAAGTTCTAGCCGTAAAAAATTGAAATCGAAATCCTGGTATTTTTGCAAACGCATGCAACTACATATTAGAGGGTATTTTGGATGAGATCTATTTTCAGCAGGATGGTGTCCCATCCCATTATTCTTTAATATCAAGAGAATCACTAGAATGACATTTAGGAAAAGATAGATAGGAATAAAAGTTGTTCCTATAGAATGGGAACCTTGCTCTCCTGATTTGACTGTTCTAGACTTTTTTCTCTGGGGTTATGTCAAGAAGAGGTGCTATAATCCTTTGACAAATAGCCTGGAATATATTGAGTCATTTAAGCGATTTCCTAGGAAATGTTACACAATTTCTTCAACCATTTACAGATCCGACTCCAATGCTTGGAGCAAAATGGCCAACATAATATGTTGTTGTATATTATACAGCAAGTTTTATAGTTTTATGCACTACCTCTTTTTGTTAGACAAACATAATTTCTAAGCTTTGTAAGTATACTAATGAAAAATCCGTTTGCAAAAATACCAGGATTTTGATATTAATTTTTCATGGTTAAAACTTTTAAGTTTCAAGGATGATGTTCATTGGTACATGGATACCTTGAACATGACTTATTTTTCTGAAGTTATGATATACCAATGTGTACCATTAAAAATATTGGAGAATTTCGATGTTGGAAAACAGCATTTTTTTACTGGCCCTGTATAAGTATCAGAAAAATTTGCAAGTAAGTAAAGAATTTTAGGCCAAGAGAAGTCGAATGGCGCGAACTGCAGGTCCCTTATTCTCGAAACAGGGGAGCAGCGTTCTTATGAGAACGAAGGTTCTGTCTTAATCGCCCATATTTATATTTCCATAAGACTGACAAAGAAAGAGCAATCGTTCTCAGGCTCTCAACGCTGTTCCCCGGTTTCGAGAATAGATACCCAGGTAGCCTGGTTTAAAAGTTATAAGCATTTGAAATGGGCCACACTCGGCTGGGACACCCTGTATTTCTAATTCAATATTGGACTGGTAAAACTAAACATTTTTCGGAGAGTTGGGCTATATTTATCTACTAGGAAAGCTTAGAAGGCATTTTGGGGTATTTGTATTCAAATATTTATTCACAGATTGTAGAAACATGCCAAAAATATTAAAAATCAATCATCTATTCTAACATAATATGTATTAACCCAGTTTGTTTTCTCTTAGGTAAAAAATCTCCAAGTAAACCTACCAGAACATCTGCCCGAGTAACCTCTCAAATGATGAACAAATCTCCAGCGAAAAGTCCAGGCAAAAGCCCCCGCCAAGAAATACCCCAGAAACCTGGTCCAGGTCGGGGTAGAGGTGAAGGTAAACGTGGTTCTAATAAATCCGGCGTTTCCAAAACTCAAGCCACCTCTCGTGGACGTGGAAGGGGCAAAGGCCGTGCAAGAGGCGCTGTGCATCATAATGATTACGACTATATGATGGGGACAAACACTATTAATAAACTTAGAGGAACTGCTTATGAATTGGACTTTGACGACGATTTAAGCAATGATAATATGGCAGACCTGAAATCAATGAGAGAAAGAAGGAGATCGATTGATATTCACGAGAAAAAATACGATTCATTTTCAAGTCCACGTTCGCCGAAATTTTCAAGTCCTAAAAATCGATTTAATGCTGATCTACGAGATTTGAAACCACCAAGTCCCATTGAAGAAAGTAAACCAACTATTCCAAATAATAGTGCTGCATTTCCTGATGTTACTCCAGTGTTACCTGGTCCAGTTGATATGAGAACTTACTCTAGTACTTTTGATCAGCCAAGCTATAATGAACATAATTTACTAAACGCATTCGCTTCTGGAACAGCAGGGGCCAGGGTCAACGAGGATTTAGATGAAGATTTTGAAAAAGAACTGCATACAGCGTTGGCGTCTAAAAAAATTGAAGAACTCCAAATCCCATCAGCAATGGCGAGCAATAACAGTAGCAATATTAAAGTGTCATTATCAGATTCACGTAATCAGCTCAAAGTTAAGATCAAGGGACCAATAGCTAATTATACTTCTACTGTAGCCCCCTTGCCACCTCCTATAATAGAAACAAATATTTCAAGTATTTCTTCAAGTAATACTGTTATAAGTAACATCACTCCTTCTGGAGGCACTTCGAGTTTAAGACGCATGAGGAAAAAAGAATTATTAAGGCAATATTGGACTCAAGATATGAATATGGATGATCCTTCAAGCAATTCTAGTTTTATCGCTACTCCTACTATAACACCAACAGTGAATCGTACAATAATAACCATCCCAAAAGCTGTGGCTTCAATGACAAGTATACCAACTAAAGATGATTACAGAGACTATAGGACTGATGATTTTATAGAAAACAAACACTTGAAAAAATCTCGAGGCTTGGCTAGAGAACTCAAACAACTAGATTTATGTATGGACGATTTGAGTCAAAGAAGGCGATGCTCTGTGGTCAATAATGTAGATACAAATAAACATAAAAGCCGTGGAAAACCACCCAAACAAACAGCCCCTAAATTAAAAATCAAAATTGGGGCTACTAATAGTGTAGTTGCAGAAGAAAAAATTGTGGAGGAAAAGAACTTACGGCCTCCAAAGAAGCGTTTAAGTAGTGCTATTTCAAAGCCTTCCGTCGAAGACTTAAAAAGAGACAGCATGAAGTTTAGAAAGCAAATAATGGCTGATTTGAAAGTTAAAAAGAAAAAAGACAAACACAAAAAGAAAAGTAAAAAATCAGCAGAAGTCCGAATAATATCAGACGAAACGACATCTACCAAACTTATAATACGTTTTGGAAAACCTAAAAGTGCAAGTGAAGTACGGACTAGTAATATTAGTGAAATCAATGATAGGACTAAGAGCTCAAGTGAGCCTGTGAGTGTGAAAATTGAGGAGGAAGAACCTCCAAAATTAACGCCGATTAAATTAAAAATATCGCGTGGAGAAGGTGGCGGCGGTTACTTCACAAAACCGTCGCAAGAAGATAAATCCTCTCAACCAGGACAACCTCCACCTCCGCAACCAGCCGAACCAGACCCTTTAGAGAACTTCCCCAATGCTCTTCAACAAGCTCCTCCTCCTTTACCTATGAATAAAGACTGTGAGGTTAGGTGATAAACGTGTAAGGGATCTTATGTAATATAGCTTAAATTAATTTAATTATAGTAATATTATGAAGAGGCAATTGTGGCAATTTTTGCCTATGCATCAGGCGAGGTACCTGACTAAAATATAATATTATATGGAGCGATGCTCTTGAAACATCACTTTTCTCTTGTTCGTGCAGGGTTCGGGATGGGTTCGTGAGATTATTTGTGGTAGGACAAGGTAAATAAGAATTGTTATTTTTTTAATTTGAATTATTTATTTATTATCCTATAGTATGGTTGTTGATCATTTTATGATATTTTTTCTCTGAAGGTACACAGGCTGGTATGTTTTTTTTCTGATATGTGCAGAATGTTACAAAGACGGTTGTAAGCCTGATTTTTAGTTCAAAAATTGTCCACTTTATGAGTCAAAAAGTAACAAATTGATTAGATAAGCTGAATTTTGCACCCAAATTAACAATAATTGTGCTGAATGAAATAAAGCAGAAATTAGATTAATGAAGTTACATACACTAAAGCAAATGATTACTGAGAAACTAGACTTTGAAGGTAATTTTTTTCTAATTTAAATGCATAGTTTTCATTTAGAATTAGAACAAAAATTATACAAGAGAAGATAGAATGCGGTGTATTCTAATTAATACAACCAATCAATTTCCTATTAATGTTTTTGATACTCTATGTGTCATTGGAAGGCAGATAAATGACTACTTCTGATATTTTTTTTTAAAATTATTCGTGCAGAAAGACGCTTGGATTTTTTCAAATTGTGACTCCAGAGCTTTGCAAAATTACTTTGTAATATTCTTCCAACGTTCTCCCTGTAACTTTCGAGTCCAGAATACTTGGGTTATCTGAAATAACTTGAATATTCTCTATTCTGGTATTAAAGTTGAACTGTACGGTTATCCAAGTCTGATAAATCAGTTCTAAAAGTTGTAAGGTTTACACTTAACATTTTGTCACAGATTTCATTAATATTCTGACTTTTGCAGCTGGATATAATTTGACATTATTTTTGATTCCAAAAATTAAATTCATCTGTATGGACACATGCTGAGAGTTGAACATGTTTCAAAATCCACTGAGCTAAAGATTATAATTTTTTTTAAAATTCAATTTATCAAGCCTGTTGGTTCATCCGCCTCTTTGACCATTCGGTCGAACGTTGTGTCCTCATCTGTTCTCAGAACTGTTGAACTTTTCACTTGTAATCCCAGGCAGGAACCCTTACAGGGTGCTATCATCCAGGCCAGATGAACCCTGGTTTTTTGACGAGGTTGTTATTCCTCCCCTTCCTTCTTTCTAATCCAGGCTTAGGAATGGCAACTCTGTACCCAGGTAAATTAGGAATAATAGGCAGTTCCTTACAACAGCAGAATCTTCTTCTGTTTTCAAAACCGCCTGTTATTTGTTAAAAATTATCAGAATAGTAGGACTGACAACTTTTATTTGATCCAAATCTAAATAATCTAGATATCTCTTTGTTCGTTTGACAACAAGTCACTGCCTATTTCAGATGACGATACTTTACTTTGATTTAATAATTTTTCAATTGTGTTACATTTATGTTCCAAGAGATGAGACCAAGTAGCAAATATCCTAAAAAAAAAACTATAGGCAATAAGGCTTCCACCTAATTATTAAACAAATTCCCTAAACTCGTATTTTTTAAAATTTTTGACATGATTTATCTAAATTTTCTAAGTACATAACTTAACATTAAAATTAAGGTTGCAATAAATAAATAAATAAATCGAGTAAATGTAGATCAACAAATTATATAAAATTACTAGACCCTAGAGTAGTGTTGAATGTATTTTTCGTGTGATATTATTATTGAATGAGGTTAATTTTAATGATGTTGGTTCCGAACCCTGATGCCACACAACATTCGTTAAAAATGTCTTTTAGCGCGGTAGGTAAAATTAAATTAAGTTATTAAAAATTTGTACAAAGTCAATTATATTTAAGGATCGGTAAGACACTGTAACCATATTTTTGTACATATTGTAAGTTGTGGTAATTTGTGAATAATAATTGAAAAAAAATAGTACTAATTTATATATTATATTTCATTTAAAAATGATAAACTAGGGTTGACAGTTTTTTAGAAATAATATTTTGGCCTGTTCAATGTGCTTACACTTATGCAGACACACTGAACAGAACCATTCTTGATTATTGTACAGAACAAATGGCTTGAGGAGGTGCGTAAAGCAATATTTCAATAGTTTTGAGAAGCTTAATGATACTTTTTGATTCACCCAACATAAACTGGTAAAAAAACTGTCAACTCGAGCCATTTGTTGGGTTTGAATCACAATTTTGTGTCATGGAAAGTGTTGGCTAGATTTACAATTGATTGATACAAAACTATAAGCGTTAAAATTTCCATAATCTTTATCAGCTCGGGTTTTTGTTCAATCTAGCTAACATTCATAATTATTTTAAAACGACTTATAAACACCTATTTCTATTTACTCAGTGTTTTATTTATTTATTTTTTTATTGAAAAAAGATTTGTTGTTGTTGACGTTGTTAAGGGTTTTTCCTTTTTTTATTGTTTAATTATTATTATATTGTGAAATTTTCCTTGTTAAAATCGCAAATTAGTTGTGTAAGTCTAATATATTTTAAAAGCTTTATTTAGTTAAAAAATAAAATAAATGATTTTAACAAGGATTTTTAATTTAATTTGTATATGCATATAGATTTATTTTATTTTTTTACCTTTTAATTTTTTAGAAAGCGACTCTGTAAATAGAAATTGTGACGTGGCTCATTTTCTTACTTTTTTTTTAATTAAAAATCACTGTACAATGATAAAAAAAAGGCACAAGAAATAATTAATTATTGTAAAATGTTATTTAATTTGTATATTTTGTTTATAAGCCGGACTGTAAGATTTATGTGTATTGTTTAAAAATTGTACACATAGTTGATTCATAAATTATATCCAGTTTTATACAAAAAAAAAAAGATGTGTTTTTTTTTTGTGGAACTCCTCAAAACCTAGGTAAATCTTTGTTACAAAAACAAAAATTCCCAATTTCAGTAGGGAAATAAATACATATAATATCAAAGCTTCAATTAATTATTGATATCAAAAGTGGCCAAACTTAATAGGGAAATATTGTGAACATTAACATGTTGGTAAGTATACAGACCATATTGTTAAACAAAATTTCAAAATCATATCATTTCAGGATCTTCCACCTATAAATTTTACATTCAAAGAACAAATGCTATAGTTGTTTCCAGAATGCACGGCTTTTTTTATTATCGATTTCAACGCAACTTTCTTTCCAAAATGTTTTATTTTTAGCCGATGACCAATAGGAATAAAAGTTAAATAAATCAACCTTGTACAAAGGCAATACATACATTTCCATGGGGATTGAATCGATGGCTAATGGGAAAATAATTATTTTCTGGTATAAAATACAACAGAAGTGGCAAAGCTTTGGTTGAGGTAAGTTCAATTTAGTTTTTAGTCGTTAGGATTTAAAAAAATGGGTACTATTTGTTGACTTGTGAATTTAGGCTGCCTCTTAGGATTCAGATAACCTTATGTACTGTCTTTATGTATGGTATAATTTTAATACAAGTTTTGATCGATATCCTCCTTGATTATCAAGGTAGATTTTTCTATATCTTAATCAAATTTGATCTGTTTCAGGTTCAAATTGGATTTGTTCCTATCCTATCAAAGTCAAATAACATTATGGCTCCAAAAATCTACTACATGGCCGCCAGCCCACCTTGCAGGGCAGTATACATGACTGCCAAAGCCATTGGGCTAGAAATAGAGCTGGAGACTGTCGATCGAGAGCAACTGAGAACAGACGAAATGTTAGAGCTGAATCCACAACATACTGCTCCGATCCTAGTGGACGCTGATGAAGATTTTACCATTTGGGATAGTCACGCCATAATGATTTATTTCGTCGGTCAATATGCTGGCAGTGACGATTCTTTGTATCCTAAAGATAACGTCAAGAAAGCTGCTGTAATAAACCAAAGGTTGCATTTTGATAATTTACTGCATCAGAGATTACGAGATGCATTTGTAAGTAAAACAGTAGGAACTTATTGTTTCTCCCCTAACTCAAACTAACCGATTCAATTTCAAAATTAACTAAATAAATTCCTATTCCAGACGCCTATCATTATGGGTATAGAAGAAGACATCTCAGAAGAAGCTCGTGACGGTTTTCTAGAAGCTTTAGGCATTTTAGAAATATTTCTCAAGGATTATCAATGGATGGCTGGGGATGACATCACTATTGCTGACCTTAGCATATTGGCTTTCCTAAGTACAGTTGAAACAGTTTTGCCTTTGGATCCAGAACGATTTCCAAAGTTGACCAATTGGTTTGGCAGAGCAAAAGAATTGCCCTATTTTGAGGAATGCAATGGAGAGGGGTTGGATCAAATAAAGGAAATGTTAAAGCGTGAAGTACCACTGATTTAATATTGAAAACGAATAATGTGAGCACATTTTTTGGTGTATTGTTTTCTCCAGTACAGCACAATTGCTATAATGGCTTGACACAAATTAAAAAAATAATTTAGAGATGTTTCAATAGAAATGTGGATTATTTGATGACAAAAATGTATTCAAAAAAAGAAATATAAATTATGCTTTGACTTTTTGTTTTTTCAAAGCCCGTTCCTTTGCCTCTTCATACAAAGGCGTCAGTTTACCTTCTTTAGCTAACAATTTCAAAATTTCGACAATTAAAGGTAAATAATTATGTTTTCGTCTGATATTTTCTACTTTGTATTGACGGGTCTTGTTATCCTCTTCTTCAATGAGTAGTTTCAGATTGGTTATTTCATCCTGTAATGAATCGTCTGCTGCTCCTGCATCTATTTTCTTCTGGATTTCTTCAATATTCCTCTGATAGATCATTTTTCTGTCGCTCACTAACGCCATTAGGTTGAAATGAATTTCACCTTCACTGTACCTGAAAAATATATTTAAGCAACTAACAAAAATAGTGATTTATTAGATACCTCTGTATTCTTTTTTCAATAATGGGCTTAACAACGTCAGTCCATTCCTTATCAGCCGGTATAGCTCCTAAATCAATAGGTCCAGATTTCAATCCATCTAATTCATATAATCTTCCATCTATGGGCACATAGCTGATAAAATGAAAAGCGTCCTCTTCCTTTTTGGCCCCGGTAGGATCAAATTCAAATATTTGCTGTCTGGCAAACGAATTATGTACAGTACTGATCACTTGAGAATTACTTATGGTCAATCCTTTCATATTAGCATCAAAACCTTGACAGAAATCTTTTAGTTCTGTTAAGGTGGGTCCCAGTTTCACGTCAGAATGGCGACAGTTTAGTAAAACACTTAAAATTGCCTGAGTTGCGCAGGCATTTTCAATGACTTGCTTGGCAAAAAAGATTTTGTCCAGGCGACTGTCTTGGACGATGGAGCCGCTTAGATCTGAAGTGTCTTTTGTCCATTTGAATAGGAAAATTAAACCGTGGACAGGTCTGAAAGAAATTGTAACTCGTTAGTTTATAAAGCTGCTCATAGATATTACAAACCAGTCAGAGCGTTTTTGATTGGTCCAACAACCAATCTTCTGACAACAAACTATTGAGAAACTAAATTAAAATCTTAATGGACAGGCTAGTAGAGAATTTAATTGGCTTTAATAAGAGCCTAATTGCGTTGAAATCGGATAAAAATTAAAGGAGCTGTGAGGCAAAAACTGTCTCAGTGTAATTTTTGGAAAATTTTCAATGTTCAATAAATTCAATTTTGAAGCTTCTCAGCTGCAAAACTGTTCAAACTTAATCAAAATCTTCATGGACAGGTTTGTAGAGAATTTAGTTGGCTTCAATAAGAGCCTAATTGCGTTGAAATCGGATGAAATTTAAAGGAGCTGTGAGGCAAAAACTGTCTCAGGGTAGTTTTTGGAAAATTTTCAATGTTCAATAAATTCAATTTTGAAGCTTCTCAGGTGCAAAGCTGTTGAAACAAATATACTTGTCTAGCTATGTAAACACAAAAATCCTACAAAAACTATCACAATAACCTGCAAAAACCCAATAGAAATTTTGAAAAATCAGGATTTTTTCCAACCCTAACTGGTTTGTGATTTCTGTAAGGAGAGACCTACATACAGGGTGTCTCATTACAGTTTACTCATCCAATTTTAGCACTTAAAAAAATGTGTTTTCAATATTTCAATAACCTATAATGGTGCACAATCAACGAAACTTCACTGCTTATATTGAAACTATTAAAAGTCATAAATACTGAATAACTTGGTGAAACTGAGGGGGTAACAACTGGTGGCAATACATGTACAAATTGTATAGCACAACGCATTACGACGCATTACTGGAATTACAGGCATTACGGTGGCATTACTTGGTATTACCAGGAATTACGCTGACATTACAATGCATTACCTAAGAATATGGCGGAATTACGCTTGCATTCAATGGAATTATGGTTGATCTAGCGGTTGATTTTCAAGGTTTTTATGTACCTACATACAATAATTGTATGTATCTAATGAGGTAGGTATTAAACGAACATGTATTATTTTATCAACCCTCAAATTTTCCAAACATCCACTGGAAGATCATATTCATATTACTTATGCCTCAATATTTAAAATAATTTTGGGAAAGTTTGTGTATCTATATTTTTGGATTCTACTCAATGTGCTATCTAAATTCGACTGTTTTTAAACTAGAAACAATTGAAAATTATAAGGTTAGTTCAGGTTCGAAAAATCAAATCAAATCACGGACGGTTGTAGAACGGTTCAAAACAATCGCACAGTTTATTATTGAAATTTGTGATAGCCGAGCCTTTGTCATTTTGTTGATTGATAGCTTAGCATTGATAGACTGTGCGATTGTTTAGAACTGTCCTTTTTTCGAACCTCAACAAAGCTATGATCTAGAAATTTCATATAGCCTCATGACAATGACGTACAATCTGTAGTCAAGGCACAGGTCAAGGCTTACATTTTTCATGGACCAATAAAATCATTGGATCAGAACCATTTCAACTCTTGAGACAGGATCAATCGAGGAGTAAATAAACCATTGTAAAAACCTACCAAAATAGAATTTAACAAGTTGAAACGGTTTTTGCTGGGGTTTTTGTAAAATAGATTACGAGAAAAATTTAGCATTTTATTCAGATTTAGGGCCGGTTTATTGACCTTCTGATAAACTGTCAGGTAGGTAATCTGACGGAAAAAAAACGTAGTCTGCAATCCTATTGTTCGGCCAGTTATCGGCTGACCAATAGAATTATAGAACGGTGAATTTATCTTGCAGATAGTTACTAGCAAGTTTATCTGCAGATGAATAACCAGAACCTTAGAAAAATACAATCCGAAGAAGGTCTGTTTTCTATAAGCAACAAGCTTGAGAAAGTTGTTGTAAATTTTTTGAGTATTTATCAATGTTCGAGGGTTATTTGGATAGAAATTTTTTTGACAGCAATGTCCAAGGCATTGTCATAGAGTGAAAACAACCCTAGGGCTGTTTTCAGTATCATTTCTACATGATTGGGTGATTTGTGTCACATGACAATAAATAACAAAATTGCAGTTCAATTTTGTTATTTATTGTCATGTGACTGTTAGAACTGTCAGAAAATTTTCAACAATGTATAATAGTTTGTTTTTCTGGTATGTTTATGTAAAACTGTGAAACTATTTCATATAGCCTAGGTATACAAAGTATACCTAATTATAATGGCATTACATAAAATTACATGGCATTGTAATGTAATAGACCGATCTCCTATTACCTGAACTGCGCGCGTTGCTTGTAGGCTGCAGGTGAGCGTCCAATGAGAAGCAAGTTTGTGACAGCCTTGCCTCATATTCTTATTGAGGAGCTATTTCAGAATTAATCGTCCCTTCTTTCTTTGTAATGTGTAATTCGACAAAGAGCAAACTAATACTTTACATATTACTTGAACTCACCGCAGTATCGTTTAAAGTTATGTTAGATTATACTTGACATATTCCTTTGCAATTTCATTGAGCGATGTTGCCGGATGAAACATTTATCAAAATAAAAGTGCAAACGATGTTCATCCACTTTCAAGCTCTTCTGTTGTCTGATTTAAGGCGTTGTAAAACACTTGACACTATATTACTTCTTTAATGTTATAATGTTCGATTTGTATTGTCTACATTTGTTCTGCAACAATACAATCTGACTACACTGCAGCCTACGAGTTGCGTGCGCATGTCATCCTTCATTATTTTCTAACTTGTATTTATTATAATTAAGCTCTCTTTTTCTAATCCTGCGAGATAGGTCTATTACTAGCCGAGTTACTGGCATTACATTGGAATTACCGGAATTACTCATGTAATGCACAATACATGTACAAATTTTGGTCCAGTTGTTACCCCCTCTGGTGAAACATTAATAAGGTTCATTTTAATCATCTTCAGATACACTTACTGGTAACTGTCTACAAGATAAAAGCAATCCATAATCCTATTGGTGAACAAATAACTGGCTGACCAATAGGATTATTGATTGCGTTTTCATCTGTCAGATTGCATTACCTGACAGTTTATCAGAGGGTGAATAAACTGGGCCTGAGTGTGATTAGGAAAGGGAAATTTATTATCCAAGGACTTATAGAGAAGATAATTTGAAACAGGAGCATTTGAAACTCGATTGGAATAATCACAATTTCAGGAGATTTTCTTCTGCTCTTCCCTATTAGTTTTAGAATTAATTCCCAATCTTTTACAATGGTACTACCCAGTATTAAACTCGAGTTTAATCTTCCAGTTAAAACAAAGTTTGAATTTCAGTTAAAGGTGGGTTGTGAAAGTGGCCTTTTAAGCTCTATTGTATTAACTACCCAGTATTAAACTTAAGTTTAATCTTGCAGGTGAACCAGATTTTGAATTTTAGTTAACAGTGAGTTGTGAAAGCGGCTCTTATCTAGCTTATATGCTTCATTTTATGAGAATTTCCTTACTTTAGCTTTTCAAATTGTTGGTCATCCAAACTCCACAGTTCTTCGACTTGTATCCCCTTGCAACCTGAAAATAGGAAAAGTTGGAGCAAATTTTATTGTTTTATGGAAAATACCTACCGAATTCCCGAATTAGTTCCGTAAATACTCCCGGATCGCTCTCGATCAAACACCAATCGCCCGCTTTATCAGTCATAGTTGTTGCTTCAAAACAAAGAAAATTTTAGCTGAGTAAATTCTTTTTTTAGGCTATTTTGCTTTTTTTTTTTTAATTTTTTATTTTACCAGAAACTAACAAAACAAGTTTTCTCTAACCTCACTTTTCTATTGACTTTTCTTTGGCTTCGCGTCACGTGTCACGTTGGCTACTCTCAAAAATCGAGGATCTAAAAGAGGATAGTTGATCATGCTAATGACGTCACGAGTAGGACACGACATTAGGGGCCGGTTTTTTAATTACTGTATTTTTTTTTTATACATCGAGTTACACCGAACGTGTCGCTCTAGAGCTCTTCGGAGTCACTGCTGTTCTCCGTTGACATAAGAATGCGGTTCAAACCTTCCATTATCTCGCGTTCATAAGTGATGACGTCATCTACAAATTGGTTTAAACCGTATTTCGAACCATTCGCCCCGTGAGAAAACGCCTCTATTTATCAGGAAGACAGGCGTCTCACGCCATTTTACTAGAACGGTACAAAATCTAGTGCGTGGAGCTCCCGAGGTGCTCTAGAGCGCGCCAATATGCATACTGACTGGAAAGTAACTATGGGTTTCGGTCCGTAAAAAAAAAAACGGTTCCGTTCCGGTTAATATCGTTCCGGTCCGGGTCCCTGTGACAATCAAGGATAATACACAATACTAAGGATTGCTTATCTGCTTCGTTTTTGGTAATCGCCGCTTCATTAGTGTGTGTCACTATTTCCGACGTCATAACTAAGTCGTCAGCTGTTTGCACAAACCAAGTGTGCATAAACCAAAAGCCCGCGGAATCCTAACCTGTAGTGCAAACAGCGTACGTCAAGACGAGAAACGACATGCTGGCTACGTCACAACTGGTGATTTAGCGTGGTGTGGTTTTCAGATTTGTTTCACACAGGCCTTATGAGGATACGCTATAATAGCTGGGTTCGGCTTGCACACTCCGTGCACTCCGAGTGACTCCGTTCGCACTCCAGCCGATGTATGATTCGTTAAAAGGCAATACCCGAACGGCTGGAGTGCGAACGGAGTCACTCGGAGTATGCAAGCCGAATCCAGCTCCTGTAGTAGTAGTGTGTATTATCCTTGGCTAGGGTGACATCACCCTTGCGAACACCGAAAGCTGTTCCATGTTCCATGATATTTTTACACCGATTCTCGAACGTAGCCGAGTCCCCAGACAAAAATTATTTTGTTTTCTTGTTTATTTACTTTTACTTCCTACAAGTTTTATCTGAGTTTTTGAAATTAGAAAAGAAATTAGTATAAAGTTGAATCTGTGACCACAAATGTATGTATTTCTTTTGGGGAAGCGCAAGCGAAAATAGAATTTATTGTAATATTAAAAAAATGTTCAAAACAAAATAAATCACAATTATTTGTTTCAAATAAATGAAAAACCTTGTACTTCTATTACCTTCCTGAAGTCCAAAGTTTCTCATTAAAAACTCATGCATTTTCACCTGTGAACTCTGTTTCAGTAAAACTATGGCTGAAAAAGAAAAACCTGAAAAACTACAATCCCAACTGAAACACATCCCCAAAGACGGCCAAGTTGTCTTGGCCATCATGAAAGAAATGGGCATAACAGAGTACGAACCCAAAACCATCGTCCAATTAACAGAGTTCGTTTACAAATATGCCACATCCATATTGCAAGAAGCCAAAATGTATGCCAGCAACAACCCCAATAAGAAGTTATTGGATGCTGATGACATCCGCTTGGCTATCAATTTAACTGCTGAATCTACGTTTACCACTCCACCGCCCAGAGAAGTTGTGATGGAATGTGCAGCTGTTAAAAATTATTCCATGTTGCCTACTGTTAAGCCTCATTGCGGCTTGAGACTGCCTCCTGAACGTTATTGTCTTTCATCTTGTAATTATACTTTAAAAGCTGCTCAGAAGAAAGTAATACCTAAGACTGGTTATATTTCCGGTAATTTTTTTTTAAATGTAAAATGAGGCCTCCTATTTGAAAATTTCTTTTGTAGGTGGTCCTGGTATAAAAATGACTCCAAAATCGAATGTGAGCTTCATCAGAAAACAATCTCCAGCGGTGGCAAGGCAAAACATGACAATACCAAAACCAACTATGAAAATAAGCGGAGCTCCAATGACAAATGTGGTAAAACCGAAAATTCAAATAACACCAAATGTGCAAATGGTACAATCTCCAGGGGGCATGCAGATGGAGCATACACTGAAGAGAAAGAGGGAGGACGATTCTGATGGCATGCTTTGATTTTAGACTCGTGTTTTTCTATATTAATTGTTCACATCAAATGTCTTTGTAAATCTCAAATTGTTATCATCAAATTTTGAGTTTCATTTTAAATAAACCCAGTTTTAATGTTTCTTGATAAAAGTCATTTTAAACCAAGGTTGTTTGAAAGAAGTAGATTGCCTGATAATTTTTATGATGTTATCTGGAAACAAAAAAAAATTCTTTCTTATATAAAAGAAACTCATTTATTCGTACACAAAGAGTTCATCACTATTGACTTAGGCGTAATTAATTTAATACAATACCAAATATGTATTTTAAAAATTAGCTAGTTTTTTGTACAAGTGCATATTTACAGTATTTGGCTATACTACATGTGTATTTTATACATAAATTACATAAAATATTTTACAAAATAACAAATTAAAAAACTCCTACATTCTAGATTTGCTAAGACTGCTTTAGCACCATCACATTTTATAAAAACAAAGTAACCTATAGCCCAAATAATTATCTAAAGCACAGTCTACAACCATTAGTAATTTTTGGCAAAAAAAATGAAGCAAAAATTGGTAAGTGCTGATTTCAAGCTATTGCCAATATTGTTTTTTTCCTTCCAATAACCTATATAATAGGCACTTCTTAACGCTTAACAAATATCAACTAGCCACCATTTATGGCTAATAGTGCCTAACACAAATCAGTTATTCTCCATTATTATCTGAAATATCATCACATAGTATTCTTTTGGGCCACAAAGTTATAAGGTTGCCAATATCCTAGTAAAGCCCATACAACCCATTATAAAAGTCTGACCACAGCCCCAAAATAATGCATACAAGGGATTCATTGGATAACTTGAAGCCCTGTATACAAACGCTATAGCTGCACTACTCACAATACCAGTCAGCGCTGGAGTAAGTACCCCCATAAATAGGATGGCTATTGGAAAATATTTCCCAAATTTATGTTTTCTGAGGGTCAGAAATGCTATTAGGGCTGCAACCTAAAAATAAACAATAGTAAGTTGAGCTCTTGAGTATAGGTTTAAAGAAACTTTGAAACAACTATTATTTTGATTTGTTGGTCTGAATTCTAAGAAAAACTTTTGCAAGTCAATATATTTGTATCCATAAAGTAAATACGTACTGAAGTAGGTGAAGGATATTTATAAGAAAAAATATCATTGTCAGTGTTCTTATCAACCTCAATAATTTAAATCAACAGCAAAAAAAAAAGTGGCTCAATTCATTATTATTGTTGTTATTCTTATCTATAATTTCTTAAAGTAATCTTGACTTACTGTATGCACAAATATCGATGAAAACAAGGCCCAAAGAAATACATGATACCACATCTTGGAAAAAGTGTTGAGGGCATCGGGCTGTTGCAAAGACAGCACCTTGCCCAAGGAGTCCATGCCTAATCTGAACCTTTTTGGGGGCTGTCCGGTTTTCTATTACGTTATTTTTTCCATATTATCGTTGTTTTGCGATTATCTTTCCTGGGGAGGAAATGAATCACAGATAAAAGTTGTCCGAAATGATAAATATAAATTAAATAACTATTTGTCAGATAAAGAGGTTTAATTGCATACTGGCTAAGTTACTTACATGGCATTTCTAGGAATAATATATTTATAAATTACATTTTTTTAATGGGTTTTTTTTAAATATTTAAATTATTTATGAAAACACTTTACAAGTGTGTAGTGTAGATTGTGGGAAGTATCAAGAATGACAGTTGACAGTGTTCGTGATGGCCAAATTGGTAAGAAAATGACAGATTATTTGGAGCATGTACCGTTATCAGAGTCGTTTTCCAGTGACGCCCTTTAAGCACTCCTGAGCTGCTCTAGTGCGCCTTGGGCTATTTATAGGCGTTCCAGTACTTTAGAGTATCGCGCAACTGAACTGTTAGTTTTTTCCAATGGTTTTTCTTCTCGCTGCCCTTACGATGATAACTAAGGGTGCATTCCAAGGCCAGATCACGACGAGTAGAATTCCACTTTCATGACGTCACCCGCGACCCATTTATCGCGTACAGTACATGCGAATATGATGGTTGCTAGGCAACTGACGTCATGAAAGTAGAATTCTACTTGTCGTGACGTGATCCCAGCCGTTCCAGTGAAATAATTGGAAATAACAGTTGTTTGGAGCACCTTAAAATTCGTCACCGTAAGCGGCTCTCACCAGGAAGCCACGAATGTTTAGAATTGACTTGACTAACTTGTAAAATAATAGTAAGTGTCCATTCTAAACTCAGACCTTTAAGGAAGATAGTTGTTCCAAGAGTACTAATTGTTAGAATGGACAGTTTTCACTATTTCAATAAGTCGAGTTTGTCCATTCAATTCAGAATTCCCAAACCTTCATCAGGATTCTAAAGTAGCGACTATAAAGTGCCCGATTCGTGACATTATCAGCATGATCAACTATCCTCTTTTGGCTTAAAGTCCTTAATTTTTGCCCAAGGATAATAATACACACTACTAATGGCCGTATTGCTTATCGGCTTCGTTTTTTTAATAGGCTGACTGGTAATAGCTGTATTCCTTTCAAAAGTTTGAAGCACTCGAGCTACTCGCTCCGGTGTTTAGTCGCCCCCAATTTGCAGGAAACAGATGCGTGGTGCAGCAAACACTTTTCGAAAGGAATAAGCGCGTGAAGCCCCGGAGCTGTTCCGGAGCTCCTCCTAGGTGTGAAATAAATACAACTAATGGGTAGCTTGATGACGCATCTGGGGTGCTTTATGGAGATTTGCATTATGTTGAGGCACCCCAGAAGACGTCATAAATACGTCGTCAGCTATTTGCGCCAACGGTCGTAGTTTAGAATTTGACTTCAGTGTCTAAGATGTCAAAATTTTAAATTAATTATCTGTTTGTTTATGCGGTTTGTTTTTTTAATTATCAAAAATGAAAGAAATTCAAAACTATTTTGGAAATGAATAGCGAATAGCCGCCCACGGATGTGACAGCTGACAGGTTGACGCGTACGTACAGCTCGGGAGCTCAACGCTTCGAGTAGCTCCCATACTGAGCCGCTTTCCAGTATGCACATTGGCGCGCTCTAGTGCACCTCGGGGGCGCCACGCACTAGATTTGTACCGTTCTAAGGCGTTTTCTCGCGGGGCGAATGGTTCGAACTACGGTTTAAACCAATTTGTAGATGACGTCATCACTTGTGAACGCGAGAAAATGGAGGGTTTGAACCACAGTCTTTTGTCAACGGAGAACAAGCCATGAGTCCGGTTCGAAATTTTTTGAACCAGGTTCAATGTGACGTCACTGGTTCAACGCCAGAATGTAGAGGTTCGAACCTAATTGAACCGGGTCGAACCAGTTCCACCGCGAGAAAACAGCTCTGAGACGCCTGTCTTAGTGTCAAATATGTCAAATTTTAAAAATAATTATCTGTTTTTTTGTGCAAATTGTTTTTTTATTTATCAAAAATGAAAGAGAATCAAAACTATATTTTTAAAATGTTCAATCTTGAGATATAACAAGAAATAAATAGATAAATAGCCTCCCACGGATGTGACAGCTGATAGGTTGACGCGTACGTACAGCTCGGGAGCTCAACGCCCCGAGTAGCTCCGGGCGTCACACTCCCATACTGGAAAGCGGCTCTGGAAAACAGGGCCGAGATTCTAAAATCACGATTCGACACACGACTCGACAACGATACCGGCCTTGTCGTGTCGAAAGGTATAATTCCAATGAGATTTCTAACCTAGAATCGTCGGAAAAATCGTCTCGTTGTCGAATCGTATGTCGAATCGTGATTTTAGAATCCCCGACCAGCTCATATTTCATAGAAATGTTGTATGGCCGGCAAAACCGGAACCGATATAAATTAATCGGTTCTTACCGGTGTTTTTCGGTTTCAAGATTTCATAAATTTGGCTGTTTGCTATTTGGTCGTATCGTAATAAATTTATTAATTTGACACTCAAAAACAGAGCGTTGGAAAGCGCGCATTTCTGAACTTGGCTAGGTTACACCGAGGATATTACACATTACACACTACTACAGGATTGCTCATCGGCCTTGACTTTTGGAATAAAGTTCATAATATGACGTTGTACCGTTATCAACGTCATCAACGGTGTCGTTAGCGGTTTGCGCCAGCGGTCGTAGTTAATAATATACATTTATGAGGAAAAATATTATTTAATATTGAATTAGCATATAATAGGCAAAGAGGAAGATGCAAACGAGATCTAAAAAAGGTTTGTTTTAGGATGTTAATTATAATGTACCATCGTCACCAAAAGTAACTGGGACATCATCACATTAGCTCTTGTCCTATTATATGAATTTTAATGTCAAATATTTGTCAAACTATGCATTAAATGCATTGAAATGAATGACAGTAGAATTAGTCCAGGAAATTATTATGCATTAGTTGTGTCCCAGATACTTTTGGTGACGATGGTACCTACTAAAACCAAAGCCCTCTTCTCGCATCCACTTTTTTGACATTGATCTGTCAAAATGGAAAATTCAATATGGCGTGGAGGCCAAGCAAGTTTGTTTTGATTATGTTTTTATGCGTATTTTAAATTATTTTGCTCAGAGGTTTGTTTGCAACTTTGATTTTGATTATTTAATAAAAAAATTGTTGACTAGGTACCTGAGCTATTGAATCGGGTAGAAACTAGATATTTTTTTGTGTTTTTTGCCTCATGTGTGGTCGCCACGCCATCTCGATTGTCACGTGGTTTGAATTGCCTAATACCTTAGAGCAGGTAAAGGACATAAGGAGTAGGAACGCGCCAATCTGCTTATGAAACTAAAGTGAAGCCAAGTTTTTGCCAGGTGTTTGGCACCAAAATACAGGTAAAGCATTGAATTTCCTATACCGCCATTTTTTTGGTGCCAAAATACCTGGAAAAAAACGGCTTCATTTTCCAATTCCATGTTACTACTCCTCTTTACCTTTACCTGCTCTAAGCCTAATACTCAAGTATGCAAGCAATCATAACCTGTAGTGCAAACACCCTACGTCATGGCGAGAAACGACACACTGTTACGTCATCGCTGGTACTTACTTTAGTGTCATTAATTGATCGAAAACACATACATTTATTTTAATATCATTAATTTAATTATCATTATTATAATTAGAGTTGTGCAGGCAGATAGGCCAGATAGGCAGGGAAATCCAAGAAATCCTTAGAAGAAATCCAATAAAAAATAATCCCAAACTACAGAAACATAAATTTTTCTAATTTTTTTAGAAGCTTTATCGTCTGTTATATCATTCGCAGTGTGTTTAATTTTAGTGGCAGGTAGGTAGAGCGTTGCACTGGAAATGCGAGGATCCTGGGTTCAAATCCTAGTCGCAAGAAAATTTTTCATCAATTTTAATTAATACGTCTGCATGCCACTAAAATTAAACACACTATAAATTTTTCTGTTAGATTTGTAAAAAACTATACCGGCATGAACCGGTAAAACCGAAATTATTGGTCCGAACCAGATCGAAATATTTCTCCTATAACCGAAACCGTAACGGAACATGACGCTGTGAACCGAAACCGGAACGGAACCGATATTTCATTTCGATTGATATGTCACATCCTAATGCGCACAATGAATACTCTAGGGCTGCGTGTTCGAAAACCTAGAGCAATATAATACAGTGTAACTCCACGTACGGCAACGTTGTGTGGTTTGCGGTTGTTTATTGACAAATAAATAGTGAAAAATAGGAAAAACCCAAAATATAAAGTGCAAAATGTGTTAATCAGTGCCATTACAATCGTTTTTTCATCTGGTGATAAAATTTAGTGCGAAATTTTATGAAAATCATTACAGAAACTTGATTTGTTTTCATGTTTTACTGACAGAGTGGATGCGCTGTTGCCGCCTCCGATGAGAGCGATTTAATTAATCCACAAAAATGGAATGCGACGTTTGTCGTAAAAAAGATCTAAAAATTTTCCAGTGTGATGGTTGCCCATCCCAAAATTGTGCAAAATGTGCCAAGCTAACATCTTCAGAAATTAAAGTTCTAGAGCTAAAGAGTAGCAGAACAATGAAATTTTTTTGCTTGAAATGCCTTCAGTTCGAGACGAGCATTTTATTGAAAAACACCATTGAAGATAAAAACAATATAATCACCAGTAAAGATGAAATTATTAACCTACTAAAAAAGAAAATTTCTGATTTGGAAGGCGAGAGTTTACAGAATGCACCACAAATATCATATAGTAATGCGGTTCAAAAGAATATGTTACAAGATTCAGTGACTATGCAAAATAACATACCAAGTTTGATGATTATTCCAAATAATGTACAAAATTCCAGAATCACTAAGCAAGATCTACATCAACATGTTAAACCTGCTGATTTGAAGGTAGGGATTAAAAATACTAAAGATATGGCAAATGGTGGCGTAATAATTAAGTGTCACTCTAAACAAGATATTGAGAAACTTAAGCATGAAGCTGAGGCTAAATTAAATGGATATCAAGTTCAGATGTCTAAAATGCGAAAACCCCAATTCAAGATTGTGGGATACAAAGGAGACTTTAACCTTAACCTGGAGGAGATTGAAAAATGTCTACGTGATCAGAACTCCATCATTAATGAATCAGATACGCTTTCAATAACATTCATGAAGCTAAACAAAAGGAACCGAACACACACTATTTATGGAAACTGTAGCGCTGTTTTGTTCCAAAGACTTATGGCACACAAAAAAATATTTTTGCAGTGGGAGCGGTATTCTGTATTCGAAAATATTGAAGTGCAACGTTGTTTCAAGTGCCAGGAATATTTTCACAAAAGCAATAACTGTCCTAATGATCTAAGATGCGGTTTTTGTGGTGATAGGCATGAATTCCACGAATGCGAAAAAATCGGAAAGAAATGTGTGAATTGCGAGAGAGCTAACACCAAATATGGACATGAGTATGCAACCAATCACGAAGCAACTGATATTACCTGTTCAAGTTATCAACACCACATCAAAGTGATACGAAGTAAGATTGATTACTCTGGAATTTATGGATAGTGTCTCAAATGAGATTATTATATTGAATGACCTTGATGTGCTAGAGAAACCGATACAGAACAGGATAGATCTTAACAAGGTATCAAATCTTAAAAATAATTCTTCTAAACTATTGAACATTCTACATTTAAATATAAGAAGTATTCAAAAAAACTTTGACAATCTCTTAGTGACCCTTCAGGCATATGATTCTTGTTTGTATGATGTTATTGTTTTGAGTGAGAGTTGGAAAATTTTAGATGAAAATTCCTTTTGTATTCCTGGTTATGCCATTTATTATAATAAGGGTAATTTTAATCAGAACGATGGTGTTGTTATCTTTATGAGGAATACGCTTATTGTAAATATTGAGGAAACTAAATTGCCAACGTCACAAGTTTCGCTTTCTAAATTATGTCTTTCATTAAATAATATATCTTTCGGTATTATATGTGTATATAGACCACCATCCAGTAAACTTCAAAACTTTTTAGTTGACTTGGAAGAATACTTACAAAGAAATACATTTACTCAAATTGAACTATTAGTAGGTGATATCAATATAGACATTTTGAATAGAAATGACAACAATAATTCTAACTTGTATATATCGCTTCTGAACTCATATGGATTTGAATCCATGATAAATGGCTATACTCGCGTGACCCCAACTTCTATGACATGTATAGACCATATCTTTGTCAGAAACAGAATTAAAAATCAGTGTAATGAAAATGCATTTATATTGGATCTGGCTATTACTGATCATTTTCCTGTTTTGATCAACTTCAACACTGAAAATAATAACAACAAAAATAAAAGCCACCCTAAAAATAGTATAAATGCAAAGACCTTCGAGAGAGTTAATATAAATACCTTTGGAAATTTGATAAAAAATACTGATTGGCGGGATGTGGTTGAGACCATGGACGTGGAAATGGCTACAAATAAATTCGCAAAAATAATGAAGGATATTTTTAGAAATTCTCTTGAACGGAGGGTGTATAATATTGGAAGCATAAACAAAAATAAGCCGTGGGTTACAAATGGCCTTATAAAGTCCATAAAAACTAGAGATACTTTGAAAAGAAATCTTTTGAAAAATTATAATGCAAATGATAATTCAATATACAAAAAGTATAGAAATAGTTTAAATGCTTTAATAAAAAAAACAAAACATGACTATTACAGAAATAAAATACAAAATAATATTAATGATTCTAGAAAAATTTATAAAATTATCTCAGAGGCAACTGATCAAGTTGCATCCAAAGTCAATCACGATATACATATTGAGAAAAATAATACTGAGTCTTTCTTAAGTAACGAGGAAATGGCAAATTTTTGTAATCAATACTTTAATGGTGTTGGCACTGAAATGTTTAACAAGATTAATAACCCACCGAATCCATTCAAACTTCAATACAATTGTGCAACATCAATGTTTCTAACACCTGTAGATGACAATGAAATAATAAAACATATAAGCTCTTTGAAAAATAACTGTGCTCCAGGTCCTGATCGCATCGATTCGAAAATAATTAAAAAATATCATTTACATCTTCTTAAGCCCTTAGCACACATTATAAACCTCTCTTTTGCGACTGGTATTGTTCCTTCCTATTTCAAATTGGCAATAATCACACCAATTCTTAAATCGGGTAATCCCAAGGATATAACGAACTATCGACCTATCAGCGTGATTAATAATTTTTCAAAAATATTTGAGAAATGTCTCAAATCAAGGCTTAATGGATTTCTTACATCTAATCAAATATTAACTGAGAATCAATTTGGTTTTTGTAATAGAAAGAGTACAACCGATGCAATCTATGAACTAACAAAGAATATAAGCAACTGTCTTGATAATGATGAATGCTGTATGACTGTGTTTCTAGACCTGGCAAAGGCATTTGACACCGTACCCCACGTAGCTCTATTGGATGTTTTAAATACCTATGGAGTGCGGGGAATCGTGTTGGACTTATTCGCGAGTTATCTTGATGAAAGGAAACAGATGGTAAAAATTAATAATGTTTTCAGTGACACTTTGAATGTGCAGATTGGCATACCACAGGGTACGGTACTTGGACCGTTACTATTCATAGTTTATATAAACTCCCTAAGTTCAATTAATTTAAATAGGGGTAGTGTAATTTCTTATGCCGATGATACGGCAATTCTCTTCAAAGGGTCCACCTGGCAAAGCGTGAAAGAAATAGCAGAAGATGGGCTCCTTAATATTGCAAACTGGTTGGAAACCTTTAAGCTGACTCTGAACATTACAAAAACCAATTACATGGCGTTTTCCCTCACTTCTGTCAATCGCCCGCCGTTTACCACCCTTCAGTTGGGTAACAAAGTCATTGGGGAGGTGGAGTGTGTTAAATACTTGGGTGTCTTGATTGATAACCACCTTAAATGGGATAAACATGTTGAACGTCTAAGCAATAATATCCGTAGACTTATATATAAGTTTTATATTTTGAGAAATATTTTGCCCAAAAAAATATTGATAACTGTCTATAAAGCGACAGTTGAGTCATTGCTTAGATATGGATTGCTTGTTTGGGGTGGCTTGTATGATAATTCACTTAGACAATTGAACATTGTTCAAAACTATATCCTTAAAGTTATGAAAAACAAATCTAAACTGTATTCCACATCTCTTTTATACTCCGAGGAAATACCCAATGTTCGATCCCTTTACATACTTGCGGTGTGCCTGTTTGTCTATGAAAACCCTGACATTGTTTCCATTGTAAATCACCCACATAATACGAGAAACAGGACAAATAGACATCTTGTTATTCCTGGCTGCAGTACCAGTTTTATAAAGAGATCCGTGAGCTACTTGGCTCCTAAATTCTCTAATATGGTTCCAAAGAGTATTAAATTATTGAGCAATAAATTTAAGTTTAAAAAAGACTGTTTAAAATTTATAATCGCAAATCTAAAAAAATTCCTGATATTTCTCTAGATTTAAGTACATTGTAAAATTGTAAACCTACTGCATTAAAGTAAGTTAGTAGTTAAAAATTGTAGCAATTTACCGTTGCCACATAGTTTTGTCACAGCTTTATTTTGAATATTACCTAAGCTATGATATCTATAAGCTATGTAACCTGCATATACAGATGTTAAGTCATCTAGATGCAGTTCAAACTTTCTAAGTATAAAGTATGTAAAAAAATATTGAACATAAATTTACTGTAAGTGATCTGTAAAATTTCGTAATATATTATTATTATTATTATTATTATATTCAGGTCAATTTAAACCGTGCACTGGTGCAACCTGCAAAACAAAAGTCCGGTCAAATTGCATTCGGGACAAGAAGTGCTGCTCCAGTTTCCACATCTGCCCTAGAATGGCAAATAGTTTGTAGATTGCTCTTTCCCGCTCCGCCAATGGAATTCTATTTGTCAACTTTGTCATTACTCTTATGGCGAGTAGGTACACAAAAATATACCAAAAATTGAAACTTGTTTTGTACCCTCTCCTGCTGTAAAAAAACGTGAATTGTGAATACAAGTAGTGAAAGGAATTGAGTGACTGACTGAAAATAAAGAATTCGCGGTAAATTCCAAGTAATTTTTCTGATTTTTCAAATTCTAATATTTGTTAAAGGTCCTTTCTTAAAAACAGAGCTGTCACATCACAAGTACCTACATCCTACATTGAGTACTTGGAGTACAAGTACAAAGTACTCAAAGTTTTGTAGAAGTAATTGAAGTACAAAGTACGATTGAAGTATTTCGAGTACTTGTACTTCAAATACATTATAATGGCTCTTTCCCATAAATATAAAACATAATTTTTTTTTTTTTTAATTATTATTTTTCTTTGAAGTTTGGTCAAAAATTAACCAACAAGCATAGCCTCTAATGTCTGTGTTACTTTAAATATTTAAAAATATGAAGTACTTCGAGTACACTTTCGAAGTACTTACAATACTTTTTAAAGTACTTGGAGTATTTCGAGTACTTCTATGTGCTTGAAGTACCTACTGCTCAATGTACTTTAAGTCGTTATACTTGATGAAATGCCAAGTACATACATTGTTAAAAATAGTTCAAGTAGGTACCAATAATATAAGTACCATTTATCTACTGTACCTACTTCAATTCAAATAAAATACTTCAAGTACGTACTTATTAGAACTTGAAGTACAGCAACAATTTCAAGTATTTTTCTTGAAGTACCTAACAACTCGGGTTAAAAATGATGTCTTATAATTTTCTTTTCAAAAAAAAGTCAGTAAAATAATTTTATGCACCACAAATGTGGATCCCCAGACAGCACACAAAGTCTTGAAGACGTCTTTTTAAGGTCTGCTTTACATCTGAAGACCAAAAAAGACGTCCAGAAGGCGCGCAGTCCATAATTTAGAACTTACTGGAAAACACTTAAACTATAGAACACTTTAAAACGTTAATAAGCATCTTGGAAAGTTCAAAAGCATTCTGTACTGCTTCAGAACATGCTGGGAATTTCAAAACCATTTTAGAATGCTCCAAAACAGCCAAAAACTGATTTACATTTTCCAAAAGCATGTTGGAATAACAATTCAGAAGTTGGAAACCCATTTCAGGACACTCCAAAGCACTCAAACACTCTAGAATCTCTATAAACCTGCTTGAAAAGCAGCAGAATCTTACGATTCAGGTTACAAAACGCCTTTCAGAAGGCTTTCTAGAGCGAATTTAGGTTGCTGTAGGACATTATACCTTCAATAAGCATCCAAATCAAAATTTTCAGGAGCATTTTGGAACAATTAAGAAACTTCAGAGTCATTTTAGAACAATTAGGATTCAATTTAGACCTGGAAACCTTTTAGAACAGTTTTGAGCTTCAATAGGTTCTAAAATAATTAGGAATTTGCCAGAACAATGTAGAAATAACTGAAAAACGTCTAGAAAGCTCAAGCTTTAAGCCAAGTTAGAACACTTTAGAACTTCAATAAGCGATTTAGAAACGTTCCAAAACACTCTCCAACAGCATTTTGAAAGGTTTCAGAACAATTTAAAAACCTCAGAATTATTTAGAAGAGCCTAGCGCCTGGAATAGATAAAAATTGAAAGTTATTAAATGAGTATCTAATAATAAGGAAATATCAGCAAGAAAATGTTTCTCTTTCAATTCAAATTCTTGAATTTTTATAATTTTATCTATTCCAGGCGCTTGATTTTTCCTTATTTCTTTATTCTAAATTCTTAATTTCTTGAATTTTTTCAAAAAATCAACTGAATAATACCAAAATTAATTCAAAGATCATCAGTTTTTAGGAAATAAGACCTTATCTGAACTATTACCAGGATGAACACTGAAGAAGAATTTCTTGATAGTGACTCTAGTGATGAAGATTATGTCCCCAATAGTAAAATTGAAGACGCAGTGTCAGAGGTGGACTCAGACGGTGACCCAGAAGACTCAGAAGATGAATCAAATAAAAAGGGAGGCAAAAGGACTAAAAAGGTGCTGACACCTGAAAATGAAAAAGACGAAGGTTGCAGAAGAAAAAAATGATGGTAGGTGGAACTGATCTGATGACTAGAAATAAGAATGAGAGTTAGAAATTTAGTTTTTCTGTTATTTCTAGGATTTTTTTGGACAAAATATCAATTTTTAATCTCAATTAATATATTATAGATAGACATATCTGAGTTGAGTAAGTTTTAGTTCCAGATACACCACCAGAAGCGACTCCAAGTACAGGAGATCCTAAGCAAAAAGCGGACGATTTGTGGGCTGATTTCATGAAAGACACTGGTTTTACATCTAAAAACACTAAAGCAACATCACCATCTTCCAGTCAAATTGCAAAAACACCCATTCAAAGCACGAGCAGAAATAACAAAAAAGAAACTGAGCCTGAGAAACAAGCTGAAAAAGTTAAAATTACCCAAATATTCGAGTTTGCCGGGGAGGAAGTGAAAGTTGAAAAAGAAGTTGACCCAAATTCAGCTGAAGCTCGCCTCTTATCCAAAGCTCCTGTAAAGAAAAAAGCAGCAAATCTCAATGGTTTGGGGAACGTTCTGAATCAATTAGGAAAAAAGCAAAAAATCAGTACTTTAGAAAAAACAAAACTCGATTGGGAAAAGTTTAAGAAAGATGAAAATATCATAGAAGAGTTGGAAATACATAATAAAGGAAAAGATGGGTAAGTACACCTAAAATGCATTTTGAAAATATTGTCTTATCTGCAAATATTTTAGCTATCTTGACAAACAAGACTTTCTACAAAGAGCTGATGTACGAAGGTTTGAAATTGAAAAAGACGTAAGAAATGCTGAGAGAGCTAAAAGGTTAAATTAGGTATTAATAACACGATTTTGTGTCTTAGCATGTTATATAAGATAAGGCAATAGATATTAAATTTAAATCTTTTTACTTGACTTTTTTGTTGAAATATATGTGAATGTGACATGAAAAACATTCCTTTTGGGTTGTCACAAGACACACTTTGTCTAAAACGAAATCTAGTTATCCAATAAAATATTAGATTTCCCATATATTTTTTTTTTTAAAAAGCTGTATAAAAATGGTTGCTTAGAGTGATTGGAGCCTTTAAAAGTTGATTTTTCTCTAGTTGAAAGGCAGAATAAACTTGTAAGTGGTAAATCCTAACAATGACTGTTAGGACTTTCTTGAACTGAAAATCTTTAGAGCTGCCTACTGTGCCTTGAAGAGCAATAAAAAATGTATATGTAGTAATCCAAAGAGGCACCCACATAAGGAAGTGAAGTTCGTAGGAATAAAGTTTGAGGAAATCCAGGATAGTTGAAATTTCGCAACTCTGTGGAATTGTTGAGGGAGCGCAGAGAAGTTTGGAAAATTCTTGGAAGTTTGGGATTTACTCCGGACATGTAAGAAATTCGGAGCAGAACTGGAAGTATTTATCAACTAATAAAGGAAGTTTCTAAGCAAAATTTCGATTGTGGACAGTGGGTAGCAGTTTAATAACCAGTGAACATTTTAGCTGGTTATCTTATGGAGATAATCTTTTGCAACAACAAAACATAACAAAGTCTTCTCAAAGAGCTTTTTATTAAAACATCTCAACAACAAAATTACTAATTATTACACTTTAAAGGCACCAGTAACTTTTTGTAAAACATGCAACATTGCAAAGGGATTGTCACGAGGAACCTAAAAACCATAAAAATATGTTACAAACAACTTCTTAAATAATACGTAGGTATGTTTGATGAGTTGGTCTGTGCTCAGATTAAAGAATACGAACCTCATGTCCAGCGCGAAGTAGCCAATAAAAGGTGAAATTTCCAGCCTTTTTTTCGTATCCCTGATAAAAACCTTGGACTGCAAATGCCTCTCTACTGGCTGTTGTCCAATCTTTAGATCCTTTGAAGTTTAATTTATCGACCCAGTTCATAGTACCTTAAATAATATTTCTTATGATTTATACCTGATGATTTAATACTTATCTGTTGAAGTCTAATTTGAAGAACTACCTTACCTGGAGTAGGAACGAACAAATCCAGTTGTCCATTATACACAGCAACACTAACATCAGTATCATTCAGCAATTGTTCAATAAGATCAGGTACAGGCTTCATAAAATCGCCTTTTACATTATTGAAAGCATCCCTATTTGGAGAGGTCCAATTCCTAGTCAGATTCAAAGCAGGTTTCACTAATTCATTCATTAAACGTTGATTTGCCTGATCCACACCTAATTCAAAATCGTTGATTTAGCCAAAGATTTTTGAATTTTTATGAAAATCTTACCAGCATTGTATGTTATATTAGGCCCATTAATAGCTAAAACATTTAAAAACGTAGCAGTACTCGTATTCGTTTTAGTTTGGACCCATGTAAGTAGCTCTATGTATTTATCGGCAGCTTCAGCCCATTTACCGGTATTAGCCAACTGTTTAAGGTCTTGTGCTTGTTTATCTAATAGATTGTATTGTTGAGTGTCCAAAATTCCTAAATTATACAAATATGGCGCCCAAGTAAGACAAGAATCTACAGGCGATATCCAGGCAGCACCTAGTCCGACTCCCTTAAGGTTACAGTTGATGGTACCATTTTTGTTTGCCTAATATAGAAAAAAGTCCTATGGTTAAGTCATAAATGTTTAGTTTTTGTTTAAAATATTGTCACTCTAAAGCGAAAGAAGAATTATTAGAATCAGAAATAATTTGATGATATTTATGGAAAGTTCTATTTTGATTTGAATTGATATTTTCCAAGTAACACAAGCATAGGTACTAACTTGATAAAGTTGAAGAGCGATTTCTACTGCCATTTTTCCCCCATAAGATTCTGAGAATATATGCAAAGGTACACCTTCAAATTGAGGTAGTTGTTTATAAAATGCTTTCATAAGCACTACAAAATCGGTAGCAATTTGTTGGTCGCTTTTCGCAAATTGGGAATTTTCCACATAGCTAAATCCAACACCTACAGGATTGTCTACAAATAGGATATTTGCGCCATTCACCCATGAAGAGAATCTTGGGATTTGGTTGGAATTCCACGGACCAATTTCTTCGAAGTTTCCATATCTGCGGATACCAAAACATTTGAAAATGCTCAAGTTTTATATTTTTGTTACATACTGTGTTGCAGACCTTCCTGGTCCACCCTGTAACCAAATAATCAAAGGTTTATCTGTAGGTTTGGTGGTAGATGCAGTGTAATGTAACCACCAGAACATGTGCGCTCCTTCTCTTACATCAACGTAGCCCCATTCTTGGTCTGTAGGCCCAAAACCTTTGCGACCTGTTTGGATAAAATAAATAATTCAGCATATTGTTCAAATCCCGAAAATACGCCGGATTTCTGAAGACTAATAAGTAATAATTATTATCAAGCTCTTACCGAATGCTACAGCGAATAAACAAAAACCAATCAACAGTTTCATATTGAATGCCCAAGTGTAATTAAGTCAATTGGCTGAAAATATTGTGCTTTTATTTGTTTATTTTTAATCTTGAGTAAACTAAATTACCACTAAAGTCTGAATTAAGCCTTAATATTTCCCAAAGGATTAATAATCCTATAACTAGTGTGATAGCAGGCTTAAAAACTGTTAAAATGTAACTTTTTGTTCAGTATTTAGTATTAACGTTGTATTAATGATAAATTAAGTAATAAGTATTTGAATTTCGAGATAAAGACTTTGTAGAAACTCTCCGCGGATCAAGTGATACATGTGTAGGTATGACGTGTTTTTCCATTCGTATCTATGTTTTTTAAACAATGTCAGTTTAAAACTAATTTCACATATTTTCCATGAAAATGCCATTTTGGGATTCTCAATTTCCCCTTGGCTTGGCTTGGTCTAAAGGTAGTTTTAGTTGCTTATCTTACGTAGGTACTTACATATTTAGCTAAGCACTCTTGCTATTTCCCAATAGAAGAAAAATTAAACAAAACCGTCTAATAAAATAAGTATATTACTAATGATTCTTACACTTTAAAATTATCAGTTACTTGTTGTAGCACGTACAACATTGCGTTGGTATTGTCACGAGGAATCTAAAAACAATAAAAATACGTTACAATCAAAGTTCTCGTATAAAATATATAATAATGCACGGGTTGATGGTCAGAATAAAGGATACCTACCGTGTGTCCAGTACGAAGTAGCCAATAAAATGCGAAATTTCCAGTCTTTTTTTCAAAACCTTCATATATACCATCAACTTCAAATACTTCTTTACTAGCCGTTGTCCAATTTTCAGATCCTTTGAAATTCAATCTATCGACCCAGTTGACGGTACCTGAAATCAATTTTTTACTGAGAAACTATTTTAAATTTATCGCATTCTGGTACATGAAAGTATGATTCTCACCTGGAGTAGGAACGAGCAAATCCACCTGTCCATTATACACAGCAACAGTTAAATCAGTTTCATTTAGTAATCTTTCAACAATATCAGTCACAGGCTTCATATCATCAATATTTAAATTATCGATAACATCTTGGCTTTGAGCGTCCCAATCTTGACTCAGATTCAGTGCATTTTTCACCAAGTTGTTCATTAAATTAATTTTTTCGGGTGTCTTATCCACACCTAATCAAAATTGAATGAGAAGAGTTATAGTGTATTTTTGAAATCTTACCATCATCGGGTTTTACATTAGGCCCAACAATAGATGTAGAATGTAGAAAAAGAGCATTAGACTGATATGTATAAGTATAGATTAATACAACCAAGTCGGTGTATTTTTTGGAAGCTTCAGCCCATTTACCATTATCAACCAACTGTTTGAGGTCTTGTGCCTGTGTATCCAATAGTTTATACTGTTGAGTGTCCAAATATCCTAAATTATACAAATATGGGGCCCAATTAAGACAAGAATCTACAGGGGATATCCAGGGAGCTCCTAGTCCCACTCCTTTAAGGTTGCTTTTGAGAGTACCATTTTGGGTTGCCTAATTGAAAAAGTTAAATTTTCGTAGGTACTGATTGCTTTATGAATTTACAAACATACTAACTTGGTATAAATTGAGAGCGATTTCTACTGCCATCTTTCCCCCATAAGATTCTGAAAATATATACAAAGGTACTTCTTCAAATTGAGGCAGTTGTTTATAGAATCCTTGCATAAGTACAACAAAATCGTCAGCGATTTCTTTGTTGGTTTTTGTAAACTGAGTGGAATTTTCCACATAACTGAATCCGGTACCAACAGGATTGTCTATAAACAGGATATTAGCGTGCTGGACCCACGTATGGTTTCTTGGGTTTTGGTTCCTGTCCCACGGACCGAGTTCTTCAAAGTTTCCATATCTGTGCAAAACAGAAAAATGTAACAATTGCTCAGATTTCGTATTTTTGTTACTTACTCTGATGCTGCCCTGCCTGGTCCACCCTGTAAATAAATGATCAAAGGTTTTTCTGTAGGTTTGGTAGTGGCTGTAGTGTAATGTAGCCACCAGAACATGTGGGCTCCTTCTCTGACAGTAATGTAGCCCCATTCTTGGTCTGTAGGTCCAAATCCTTGACGACCTAATTTGGATGATAATGATAATATTGTCGCAAAATGTGGTGCTGCAGGGTGTACAGAATTTGACAGCTGATTCTAGATTTTACAGTGCTATTCAAGAAAAAGGGCATTTAATCTGGATTTTACAAGAATAGATCACGGATATATAAAGGTCGGTATTAGTTAGTAGTTTTCAAGTTTAAGATTGACTGTGATACGTTTTAGATAGTGATTATTGTAAAGAGTTAGGTTGTTTGAGTTAATTTAGTGAAGTAATTAGTGTCAGAGTGTGTAGTAACGTGGAATAAATTATTGCTGTGTTAATTGGACTTTGATTTTGGAATAAACGAACCCAAGATTTCTGTCACGCACCCCAGAGCAGTGACAATATTTATAATAATTCAGGGTTGGCAAAAACCCATATGAAAAGCCCAGTGGGTGTCAAAACACTAATAACTAGTAAGCAAATAATTGGAACTAAATTAAAATCTCAATTAACTGGTTTTTAGAGAATTTAATTGGCTTTAATTAGAGCTTAATTACACTGAAATCGGATCTGTAATCCGATAAAAATTAACGGAGCTGTGAGGCAAAAGCTGTCCCAGTGTCATCTTCAAAAATTTTCAATGTTCGATAAATTAAATTTTGAAGCTTCTCAGGTGCAAAACTGTTGAAACTCAATAAAAATCCTAATAGATAGGTTTGTACAAAATTTGATTGGCTTTAATAACGGCCTGATTGTGTTGTAATCGAATGAAAATTGAAGGATCTGTGAGGCAAAAACTGTCTTAGTGTCGTTTTTGGAAAAGTTTCAATGTTCGATAATTTCAATTTTGAAGCTTCTCAGGTGCAAAACTGTTGAAACCAAATTAAAATCTTAAGAAATAGGTTTATGAAGAGTTTAGCTGGCTTTAACTAGAGCTTAATTACACTAAAATCGGATGAAAATTAACGGAGCTGTGAGGCAAAAGCTGCCCCAGTGTCATCTTCAAAAATTTTCAATGTTTGATAAATTAAATTTTGAAGCTTCTCCGGTGGAAAACCGTTGAAACTCAATAAAAATCTTAATAAATAGGTTTATAGAGAACTTAATTGGCTTTAATAAGGGTCTGATTGCGTTGTAATCAATGTAATCGGATGATAATTGAAGGATCTGTGAGGCAAAACTGTCTTAGTGTCATTTTTGGAAAAGTTTCAATGTTCGATAATTTCAATTTTGAAGCTTCTCAGGTGCAAAACTGTTGAAACCAAATTGAAATCCCAATTAATAGGTTTGTAGAGGCTGTAGAGAATTTAATTGGCTTTAATTAGAGCTTAATTATACTAAAATCGGATAAAAATTAACGAAGCTTTAAGGCTAAAACTGTCCCAGTGTTATCCTTGGGAAATTTACAATGTTCGATAAATTGAATTTTAAAGCTTCTCAGATGCAAAACTGTTGAAACCACATTGAAATCTTAATTAATAGGTGTGTAGTGAATTCAATTAGCTTTAATTAGAACCTAATTGTGTGGAAATCGGATGAAAATTAAAGGAGTTGTGAAGCAAAAACTGTCTCAGTGTCATTTTTGGAAAATTTTATAGATAGGTATAGAGAGATTTTAGGGTGGAATCATCTCCATCAAACTCCCGCCCTGGACAACCAATATCATGTCCAGTAGTGTTTGATGATTTAAATGAAGAAACTTTTTCTGATTCAGTTGCCTAAACTACGTCATTTACTTCAAACCTCAAAAACTCAATTTATAGAGGTCCTTATTCCTGAAACAGAGGAGCAGCGTTCCCAGGAGAACGAGTGTTCCGTCTTTCTCAAATGATAATATGAGTACCAAAGACTGAAAACTTGTTTTCCTGTTAACGTTGCTCTCCTGTTTCAAGAATAAGGTCCAGAGGATCCTGAAGTCTTTTTCAAACCTACCATCAATTTTCATTTCAATTCTAATAATTATTATTGTTAAGGTACCTATTGTACTTACCAAGGGTTACAGTCAGTAAACAAAAGCCGATTAACAGTTTCATATTCATAACGTCAAGTTGTCTGAAAAAACTTTGCTTTCAATTTTTAGGTGTCGTGCCATAGGCTTATATAACTCGGGTAATATTTATCTTAAGATTCTTAAGTAAGATAAGTTTACTACTCAAGTTCAAAATGAACCTGATGGACCAACCACGTGAAAAAATTAAAATAGGTCTAAAATTCTAGAAAAAAAATCAAGGCCAGGCATTTTGATTGCGTAGATAAATTTTTATCTAAACTATCATCAACATTGAAAATAATTGTATTTGCATAATTTTTTGAACAATGTCCCATTAAAGATAAGGAATTAGGTAACATTGTTTGATATTGGCTTGGTTGGTGGATTCTACTAAATCTCTGATTGTTTTGAATCATAAAAGTCAATACTTGATATAGTTTCCTAATTCTGTAATAGGTAGGTACTTACTTATACTCCATCAATGGTGAATTCAGTCTGGATCGAGAAAAAAACCACCCGATGAGAAACTTTCACGTTCACCCAACGAAGTTTAAAGGAAGTAAGAGAAGTTGGTAGGAATCCGAGAGCATTCAAATTTCGTTAATCTGTAGAAGTGTTCAGGAAATGCGGAAGAGTTTGAATAAATCCGTAGAAGCCTATATTGGGAGTTATTGAGGATATCCCGAGGAAGAAACTTGGAAGATCGTTTCTGCTCTAGTCTATAGGTAGTTAAAGAAAAGAAGATTTAATTCAAGAGGCAGGTGATTTTAATGTCCATATCGGAACTGACAAGAATGAAGCAGTAGTGGTTCTCTCTGTGATATGCTAAAAAGCTTTGGCTTTGAAAAAACAATAAACGAAGCTACAAAGATCACTGGCTTATCTTGACAATATCTTTGTGAACTTCTCAGACAGTTCTGTTGTTGATCTGAGCATTTCTGATCATCTTGGTCAACAGATTGAATTTAATGTGGCCACCCCACTCAGAAGCTTTGAACTGGGAAGAAAGGTACCTACGTAGACCAATTACAATATCAGGGATATTTGTGTTCCATGAGTGTATAACTGCAGAGGCATGGGATTTTGTGAGATGAATGCTGATGGAAAGTGTACTATGTTCTATGTTTATGAATGTTTGTGTCCCTGAGAAAACATTACTTGGTAAGATCGGACCAGAATAGGAACATCAGCTGATTTAATGATAATTTGAGGGCTATGCGTGAGCATCTTAACTTACTTGGCAGTCTGAGCAGGCAGTATGATCATACGGTATTCTCACAGGAATTTAAGGAATATGGAACATTGTATAGAAATGACATTCGAGAGGCTACGAAAAATTCAAATGACCATCTTATCAATTCCGCTACTAATCCAACTAGGTGCATGTGGTCAATAATCATTTATATATCTATATACAATGTCTTCAAAACATAATGAACAATTTGAAATGTCTCCCAATGAATTTAATGCCAACATATGGCACACCATCATCTAATAGAGGATATACCAAAGATCCATGTAGATCCCGTGGTACCCTTGAGAGGCCTCTCCTTGCACGAGCAATCATTTTCTTTTCGGGAAGTCACTTTCAATGAAGTTAGACAAATATAATTTTTAGCCTCAAAAGTAAAAATACTACTAATGTGTACGGTTTGAGCACCAGACTGCTGAAGTCTGTCATAAATGTAATTCTTATTCCTTTAATCAAGCTGATAAACGGTTGCTTTCGTGAGAGTATTTTTCCTAAAGTTCTCAAACATATATGCATTAATTACACCTATACACATAAAAGGAAATCAATATCTACCTGAAAATTACAGGCCCATTTCTGTATTGCCTGCATTGCCAAACATTTTTGAAAAGTGCATTGCTAAAAAAATTACAGACTTTTTTGAACATGGTAGACTCTTTACAGATTGTCAGTTTGGTTTCAGGAAGGACAGAAATACCACTCTCAGCATAGTTGACCTGGGCTGGAATTCTGTAACGGATAGAGTTATTTTTTCTATCTCTATAGACGTTCCCTATCTATTGATTTCGAAAAGAGAGAAGAAGACAGCAAGTGCCATAGCGATAGGGATAACGATCTCTGCCCGTTACAGAGTTCCAGCCCTGGTTTCCTATATACGCCAAATTAATGTGCGAAATTAAAACTGGAAATCCACAGGTTGCTGATAGAATGGTAATCGATAAAAGATTTTAAATTGAAATTGAAAGATACCGAAACTGAAAAGGATATTTTTTCACCTTACCTGGCTTTACTTCCAAACTCCACTCAGTTGGCCAGCTCTTTCAGGAGGTTCAAGTCCAAAGTAGCCCCTGTCCAGAGAGTACGTCTCCCTCGGCTGGAATTGTGCGCCGCGCACCCTCTTAGCAAGCTCATGCAGCACATTCTAATTACCTACTCCGATAAAATCAATGTTGAGAAAACCATTTTCAGACTCAACTGTCGCTCTGGCTCCGATCAGAAAATCACCCCATGTTCTAAAAGCCTTTATCTCAAACCAAAGTGGCCGAAATTCAGGAGAACATATACCTCCTTCGTGTTGGTATCATGTGCGCTCAGAGCTCAGCGCTGATTGCCCATGTCCCCAGGAACTCGTCAACTATTGCCTATGGTGGGCGGGCCCAACTTGGCTTTAAAATCCTCCCGAATCATAGCCCATTTCTAAAGAGATTGCCCTCGATAATCCTATTGTGGCTGATGAAGGATGCGTAGACGAAACTGAACAGCAGTCATTTGATGAGATGGAGCACACTGCATCTCTTTTTTGCAACCTGAGTAAGGCCTTCAACTGCATCTTCCATGACATTCTGTTGCGGAAGCTTCAGGCATACTCATAATAGCCTAACTTTATTGAGTTCATATCTATTTGATAGAACCCAGGCAGGGAGGGTTGGAGGAGTGGAATCGGCCAGGAGCGACATAACTGTTGGGGTCCCATTCTTTTCCTAATATATATTAACGACTGCCCTTTAATGGCTCCAAATGCTAAGTTTACACTCTTTGCCGATGACACAACAATATCCCTCAGGACATCTACACTTGAGGAAGCTATCAGGGAGTCTGCAGTGATGGATAGAGGGGTTGAGACCTGGTTTGCATCCAATATGCTACTTTTAAATCAGAATAAGACGGAGAGATTGGTGTTTTCCCTGAGAGACGTGGGTGATGTCAATAACGTTCAGTGGATAAGGGTCCAGCTTGATCTGGGTCTGGTTTGGGATGTGCAAATTGATAATGTAACAGCTGGGCTAGCTGAATACTTAATATATGCTTCGCAGCCTCTCGAATTCTTTATCCCTGAATACTCTAAGAACAGCCTACTTTAGCCGTTTTCATTCCAAAATGACTTATTCTATTCTCGCATGGGGGCATGCAGCCTAATCTAAGAGATTCTTTGGTCTGCAAAGAAAGGCTGTTGAATAATGCAGGGTTTGGGTTACAGGGTTGCTTTCCATCTGGAGTGCTTACTTTACCTAAAGGAAAATGAGTACCAGTATGTAACAAACTGTAGTGTTCATTCATATGATACTCGACATTAAAATGACCTAGTGTCGGAGTACTGTAGAGTAAAGAGGTATCAGGACGGTTCTAGGTACCTGGCCATTAAATTTTTCAACAAACCTCCCAATGCAATAAGAAGCCTACCACCAAGGCAGTTTAAAACTAGGATTAGGGACTTTTTAATTAAGAATGCATTCTATAGTTTTGATGAATATTTTAATTGTGACATGTCTTAATTAATGTTATCTATTATTCATGTTATTCATTATTCTTGTTAGTTATTTCTATGCAATGTTTTATTATTATTATGTACTTTTTTAAGTAAATAGATAAATAGATAAATAAATAAATAAACAAATTTGTTATATTAGGTACCAATAATTTTTACACTTCAAAGTTATTAGTTACTTGTTGTAGAATGTACAACATTGCGTTGGGATTATCGAGAGGAACCTGAAAACCATAAAAATATGATACAATCAAACTTTTCCCAGAATAAAGAAAACGTACCATATGTCCAGAACGAAGTACCCAATAAAAAGCCAAATTTCCAGCCTTTTTTCCGAAACCTTCGTAGAAACCTTCCGCTGAAAATGCCTCTTTTTCAGTCGTTGTCCAAATTTTAGCTCCTTTAAAATTCAATTTATCAACCCAGTTGACAGTACCTAAAATCAAATGTATTAGGAAACTATTTTAAATCTCTGACTCTGTCGTACCTGGAGTATCAACGATCAAATCTAGCTGTCCATTATACACAGCAACAGTTATATCGGTTTCATTCAGTAATCTTTCAACAATGTGAGTCACAGGTTTCATAAAATCATCGACTAAGTGCTCAAAAACTGCCTCATTCTGATGGCCCCAATCTTGAGTCAGATTTAGAGCAAGTTTCACTAATTTATTCATCAAATAGTCTTCGTCATAAGTGAGAACTGGTTTGCCAAGAACTAAGTAATTAAATGTCTAATAGAATTTTTTCTTAAATGTAAGAAATTTAAAAAAATGTTACCTTTATTGGATTTTCTAACATGAGAACCATATGCGGGAATGTTATCTAAAACATTGTAAAAATCAGCATAAGCCGTATAAAGTTGGACCAACTCTTCTAAATATCCCCATTGACTACTAGCCTCTGCCCATTTCCCAGTATCAGCCATCTGTTTAAGATCTTGTGCCTCTTTATCTAAAAGCTGGTATTGTTGAGTATCCAAAAATCCTAAATTATACAAATATGGTGCCCAGGTGAGACACGAATCTACAGGCGATATCCAGGAATCGCCCAGTCCGACTCCTCTGACGTTGCTTTTGAGAGTACCATTTTTGGTTGCCTAAGAAAAAAAGGATTTTGATACATTGTCAGACATTACTAGTTTTAAAGATACATATTAAAAATGTGACAAAGTTTGCTGTTATGTATTTTTCAATGATCTATAATATAGGTACATAAAAATACTAACTTGATATAAATGAAGAGCAATTTCTGCTGCCATCTTTCCTCCATAAGATTCCGAAAATATATACAGCGGTACGTCTTCAAATTGAGGCAGCTGCTTATAAAATCCTTGCATAAGTACCACAAAATCGTTAGCAATTTGTTCGTTGGTTGTTGCGAATTCAGAATTTTCCACATAACTGAATCCAGTACCTACAGGATTGTCTACAAACAGAATATTTGCGTGATTGACCCATGTATTATTTCTTGGTTTCAGGTCGCTGTCCCACGGACCAAGTTCTTCGAAGTTTCCGTATCTGCGGATACCAAAAAATTTGTAAATGCTTGAATTTTATATTTTTGTTTCATACTCTGTTCCAGAACCTCCTGGGCCACCCTGTAACCAAATAATCAGAGGTTTTTCTGTAGGTTTGGTGGTAGCTGTAGTGTAATGTAGCCACCAGAACATGTGAGCTCCTTCCCTGACAGTAACGTAGCCCCATTCTTGGTCTGTAGGCCCAAAACCTTGACGGCCTATTTAAGGAAAATTAATGACTTTTTCATGCAATTAAAATAATCAATTTGTTGTTGGGTTATCGCTATTCAAGTACCTACTACTTGAGTTTAATATGCCTAAAGGTAGATAACCGTTTACTTAAAGATTAATTTGAAGTGCGGGCAGGACTACAGAATTGAAATTTTCTTAGCTAAAATATTTTTAAAAATGATCCTACAATATGCTTATTATAAATGATATTCAAAATTTCTTCTTTTTACAGTCTGACTAATCAATTTGCAAATATGTAATACATATATGATTTCCAATGTACTTACCAAGAGCTACAGTCAATAAACAAAAACCTATCAATAGTCTCATATTCGATTGTATGTCGAAATAAAGTTAATTGTTGCCTTTTTAACTGTTTTTATACAGATGACGTGTTTTGCTCAGGAAATCTCAAGTATCACTTAAGAACTTTGATTTAGATCTAAAACCTTTGTTAATGTTCTAATCGATTTTGATTATGATGGTAGATATACGCATCCAATGAAAATGTCTTATTCAAGATTGGGAATTGAAGCTGGGTAATCCTGGACTTCAGTTGGTAAATTCAACCAGATTTCTGTCTCACTAAAAACTGTTTCATAGTAGCACCCTCTGACTCTAATCTGGGCCTTTATTTTGTCAGAAGTTGTGGGTCTTTTAATTCAATGAACGTGCGATATGGCCGACATGGTAATTTTTGGAATGTGTTTTCGATTGTATAAAAAGGAATATACAAACGATAAATGTACCTACTTGAAAGTTTCGTGTGCAGAATGATTATTTATAGTTTGGACTAGTTTGAAAAAGCAACTAGCACTTACTATACCCATTCAGCACCCAACATTTTTTTAGGTCTGCATAACGTCTGTAGACCAAAAAAATACGTCTAGAAGACGTTATTTTAGAGATCTCGTAAATTCACATTGGTTTATGTATTGAAAAGAGATTTTAATACATCTCGTTGAAGACATCTTTACAATATCTTAGTCCTGAAGACGTTTTTAGGCAGACGTCTGAAAGAGTTGGGTTTAGTAATATACGACGACTTCAAGATGTCTTTAAGACGTAAGCAAGACATCTTGAATATCGTTTGTGGATATCTTAGGGACGTCTTTAATACGTCCACAAAAATTTCCCACATCATTCGTTTCTCATTCAATTTAGAAGTTTAATGAATAAATGAATGAATTAGGGGTATTGTTACACCACAGGTTACACTGCGACCTGCATTTAAAAGTTACTGGAAACCATTTAGAATGCTGCCGAACCAGTGACGGCTCGTGACTATTTCAAGTGAGGAGGCTAAAAAATAATGAATTACGGTAAGGTAACCACTGCGCAGCAGGCAAAATTTGTTTTGGGGTGCCCATGCCCTCAATAATATATCTCAAATTCAATAAAAACCATGAATACTCGAGAAAATGATCCTTTTCTTCATGTAAGTATATATTTTCAGAGTTAATATTGACGAAAAATAAAAAATAAAAAATACGAGGAAGGCACAAATTGATAATTATGATTAATTACGATAATAATTAACTGCAACAAGATGCACAATTGCACAATAAAAAAAAAGCAAGGATGGCAATTTTCGAGGCTATGGTCGCTGAACGCTAGTAGTGATTCGATATGTTTCCGGCATTTCTATTGGACGCTCAGATCCACGGTCCATTTGAATGCTAGATTTCAGTGAAGCATGTGAGAGTCAGCCTCTAGCCGATCTCTAATGTCAGAATAATTGCAGGACAGGGATTCTGACAAAGTGGCCTCATGTCGGGTACCTACCCACAATTTTTTTCTGGTCAAAATCGAAATTTCCTTTTTCATTTTTTTCTGGCCTTAAGATGCGCCGTAGCGAGGAGAGTCAAATTAACTTTTCGTCGTATTTTTTGCTTCTCTTTCCAATATATTTTTTTTTTTTTGAAATTCAAAATTTGAATTTTTTCGAAAAAAAAATCTATGGGGATATAAGCCTCGGGAGAAAAACTTCAAATACAAAACTTATAGATCTCGTTGAGTACTACAAAAAAGCCTATGAGAAGTATCCCTCCACAGGGCACCGTTTTCGTGAAAATCGACTTCGAAAATTTTAACAAAATTACAAAGAATTTCAAATTTGACAGCTGATATCTCAAAGACGAAAACGGCCTGGAATCTCAATAAAAAAATATTTTATAGGTAATTTCATTCTCTTTCAAAAGAGATATAAATCGAAACGATCGGTTGAGAAATAGCGGATCTATAAGCGAAAACGTAATGTCGTGTCAGATCGCCGAAATTTTTATCTGGAAATCGAAATATCCTTTCTTGATTTTTTCCCGACTTTAAAATGCGTCATAGCAAGCAGGGCTCTATAAGCTTTTCAAGGTTTTTTTTGCTCCTCTCTCCGATGGTTTTTTTTTTCTTGGAAATTCGGGAAAAAAAATTCAAAATCAAGAAAAATGGGGGAGCCAACTTTTTTCCGGTACATCGGAGAGAACTGAGACTCGGAATATCGACTAAAAATCACATTTTGAATATTCTATTCCCGATTTTAGATTGGCTCCAAATTATCCGCTGACCAATAGAATTATAGACTGGGCCCCGTGATTAAAATAACTCCAGCCCTTCGAGCTCGCGTATAATTCCGGCCCTTCGGGCTCGCATATAACTCTGGCCCTTTGTTTTTCTTGGTTTGGGGATTCAAATTTTGAATATTCCCGGCTCTTGATTGGCTTTAAATTTTGAATATTCCCGGCTTTTGATTGGCTTTAAAATAACCAATAAATCGAGATTTGATAAAAACATATGGCAACGCTCCTCATGATACAACAAACGTCAAAACATTAAAATTTCAAAGTAGGCCTTGGTTTTTTTGACAGTCGATATAAAATAGCGTCTTTTTGTTTTAAAGATTGCGTTCCGAAGGGCCGAAGTATTAAAATCAGTTGACAATGAACGGGTTCGTATAACTCCGGCCCTTCGGGCTCGTATAACCTCGGACTTTCGGGTTCATGATTAAAATAACTCCGGCCTGTCGGGCTCGTATAACTCCGGCCCTTCGGGTTCGCATGACTCCGGCCCTTCGGACTCGTATAACCTCATGTAGTAGCGCGTCCATCATAACAAAACCAGGAGAAAAACAAACTCTATTTAAACTCCTAAACTTTCATTACCTGATCTGAAATAATGTCAATTAATGAAAAGTTTGGCGCTAGAGTTGTTTCTGCTAGTTTTGATGGATGCGCTGGCACCATTTCCAAAAAGATTCCCAGCGACCGACACTCGACTTGACTCGACAGCATCCACGATCCACACCGTACGGCGTTAGCTACTAAACTAAAATGGAAGAAAATGAACACGAAACATATTTTATCGGTTATTTTTGGACCCGAAGAAATCACGGAAATGTCCGAACGGTATTTTTAGTTAAGTTATTTGGCTAGGGTAGCAAAAAACATTACTGTAACAATAACAAAAATTACAGGAATTTTTTTTTGCTGCAACAGTAAAGTATCTATCTATCTTAGAAAAGTTCTATTTCGGAGAAGCAGAAATATTTTCATAAAATTTTAATTTTGCTATAACAGCAAAGTTTGGTTTTGGAATAAGAAATATCTTTGCAGTTTCAATAAAGTAGTTTCAGCAAAGTGGTCTTTTCTGTAGAAGCAAAATAACATTGCTACCTCTAAAACATTTTCCACTGTAACAGCTAAAAAAAAAACCAGCAAAGAATTTTCTCCTGGGACTTTTCTCAGTATCGTCCTTTTAAGCTCATAACTGAGATAACCTCAGCCTTCCAGAATCGACATTTGAAAAAAAAAAAAAACATATGGCAACACTGCTTATAATACAACAAACGTCAAAAAATTGGCCGGTCCCCTGTTTGGCTACTTCCTACGTATTCGCCGAGGCTAAATCTATATGCCCATGTGGGTTTTTTTTTAAATTTTGACAACTGTCAATGTCAAAAATTTTTACCTTTTCTTTTTTTTAAAAAACAAATGTCAGAAAACGATCCCCAGGCTCCGAAAACCCTTCATCCTTAGATTAGGAAAGAGAGTGGATACCGCGCATCCTATAGGCGCACTGATTCGATTCTGTTACCACGCCGCCATTGCTTATGTGGCAGACAAAGCGAATGCAGTGTTTGGTATTTTTCGTGTATTTTCCAGTGAAAATTAGCATTGAATTGGAAAATAGAGAATTTTACGATAGTGAATTGTTCAGCCTATGGATTTAAAAGTCGCAGCGAGAAAAAGGAAGCAGGATATTTTTGAATTAATAAAATTTGTTCAAAAAAAATCCTGTCTTTTCATTTTTTATTTAAAATATCAAATTGTCCTGAAAAATAATTAAAAATGCAGAAAACTATTTAAATAGCACCTCATAAGGTATTTTTACTAATCTGTAAAATTAAACTTCTTATTATTAATACCTTAAAATGAAAATAAATCCAAAATTGATAATTATCGGCGATGTGGCAGGTGGTAACCATTACCCTTGAGTTATTACGCATCCACTCTCTTCCCTAATATAAGGTTTCATCGATATATGTCAAAAACCAACGGCCTGGCAACGCCGAACGTCTTTTTTGACGTATGTTAAAAAAAAATTGGTACTTCCTACGTATTCGCCGAGGCTAAATCTATATGCCCATGTGGGTTTTTTTAAATATTGACAGCTGTCAAACTCAAAAAAATCTTTTGTTTTTTTCCAAAAAACAAAGGTTAGAAAACAAGTCGTTTTTTAGTGGGTTTTAGGGTGAGATTAATGTAGCAACATGTAGCAACACTTATATGAAAATTTAATGAATTCATTTGTAGCAATAGTTGGTACAAAAAATTCAATTTCCCGTCGGGTTTGGAATTCAAATTTTTGAATTTTCCCGGTTCCTGATTGGTTTGGGGATTCGAATTTTGGTTATTCCCGGCTCTTGATTGGCTTTGAATTTTGAATATTCCCGGCTCTTAATTGGGTTTAAAATAACCTTTAATCTCGGCCCTTCGAGCTCGAGATTTGAAAAAAACATATGGCAACACTGTTCATGATACAACAAACGTCAAAAAATTGAAATTTCAAAGTAGACCTTGGTTTTTTTGACAATCGATACAAAATGACGCCTTTTTGTTTCAAAGATTAAGGCCCGAAGGGCCGGAGTATTAAATTCAGTTGACAATGAACGGATTCGTTCGGATAAAACTTTTGTCGCACGACAGTTTGGCGATATCGACAGATATCACTTGTCAAATTTGACACATGTTCGACTTTTTCCTCGCTCTACTATAAAAGCTACGAAAATCAAACCCCGGTACAAGGCAGTTTCACGACGCCAACTGTCGATTTGTGTCAAAAAAATTTGACAGCTGTCAACGTCAAAAAAGTTTTTATTTTTATTTTGCGAATTTCGAGAAAAAAAGTGGTGAAAAACGATCCCCGGACCCCAAAAACCCTAAATAAAAATTCCAAAAAAAAACCAAAGAAAATGACATTCCAAAACCTACTTGATAAAACTAAAGTTTTTCTCGCTTACCCCGTTGAAAAACTGGAAATTTTTGGTGGAAAATGAAGAAAACTAAAGCCTCGTACTTTAAATCAGTTTTCCCAACTGAAAAAGCCCCAGAAAAGTGAAAAATTCGAAGAAAAATTGAATAAAAATGTAAACACGTCAATTGAAAATGGCCGACTGTCAAAAATGCTTCCTTGATTAAAGTTAGCCACAAGGGATGTTGCCACATCAAAAGCATTTTAAATGGGATTTTGCTAATAATGGCATTTAAAACTAGAAATTTTTACTAAAAAATGAAGAAAACGCAAAACCTCGTATGTTAAATCGCTATTTTCCATTAAAACCCCAGAGAAGTCGAAAATTCGAGAAAAAACTGGCAAAAAATCACAAGACGTCACTTCAAAATGGCCAACTAAAAGCAACGTTGCCACATCTCATCTCGAAAAACAAAAATAACATTTTGAAAGGGTTTTTTGTTTAAAATTCAATTTAATAATTAATTAATATTGATTATAATAATTAAAATTCCCCAAATAAATCATAGGAAACTTGTTTTTAGTTTAATTTCAATGAAAATGACATTAGAAGGTTTACTTATTCATTATAGTGAGTAAGACAAAGACAATGATATAGTAGTATAAGTTTGTAAAAACCACCATTTTCTGAAAAAAGTTAAAATCTTAAGAGAACCCCATAGAAAACCAAGATTCCAAAGTCAATTTCATAAAACTAAAGTTTTTGAATATTCCCGGCTCTTTGATTGGACGCTAAAAATCGCATTTTAAATACTACCGATTTTAGATTGGCTTCAAATTATTCGCTGACCAATAGAATTATAGACTGAGCCTCGTGATTGAAATAACTCTGCGGTCCTTCGGGCTCACGTCACGTATTACTCCGGCCCTTCGGGCTCGCGTATAACTCCGGCCCTTCGGCGCGGGATTGATTGAAATAATGTCAGATTTTTCTAAATTACATTGAAATATCGAAATTTGTAAATTATTATTTCAATTAGGAATCAGAAATAAAAAACTGAGATTGATTTTTAAATTTTTTGGGGGAGGCTTAGCCTCCCCTGCCTCCTCTGACGAGCCGCCACTGTACAGAACACTTTAGAACTTTATTAAGCTTTTTGTGAAGTTCAAAACACTTAAAAGTCAATTCAAAATTTCCAGAAGCATTTTGTAGCGCTTCAGAACACAGAAAAATTTAGAAATTATTGAAAAATTTCTAGAATATTCCAGAACTCTTCAAGCCAAGTTAGGACACTTTAGAACTTCAATAAGCCATTTAGAACGTCCCAAAACACTTTCCAGCAGCAGAATTATTTCAGAGAGTCTGGCGCTTGGAATAGACAAAAATTGAAAATTATAAAATAATAGTCCGGGAGGCAGTGAAATTTTTTTGCACTTATTTTCCCAGTTGGTGTATATCAAATAGTTTGTTCTCTTTGTGATACAAAACAAGAATATTTGAGTTTCGCAAAAATTTTCGGATGGGTTCACTAGATCAATGAAAAATACAAGTACACTTATTTTCCAAGTCATAAATATTCCACATGCACTACAATAGAACATAAAGTATATGAACATAGCAATTTTGCTCATCTCAGATAGTGGAAAGTTAGTCTGGCTGAAGTTTTTCTGATCTTCAATTTTTCACTTGCCAGACATATTATCCATACTCACAGATAAGCCGGACTATTTTTATACGTAACTTCAGTATACTTCTGATTAGTTGACTTAGTTTTATCACTGGAAAAAAAAGGGCTGTGCATTCGTAAGCTCTAACGCATTTTGCGCCTCAACCCATCGGAAAACCCCCCTAAAAATATATGACTTTTGCTTAGAATTACTAACCCTACAATTCTATCCATGTTTCGTGACTGGGAAAATGAGTACCGAAAATCTTCACTGCCTCCTAGACTATAAGTAATATATTGATTTTACTATAAGAAATTAGTTGGTGGAAATATCAGGCAGCAAAGATAATGAGATTTCAAATCCTACACTAACGTGAAGACGTTGTCAGATCTACTACTGGAAATACCTACTGGATGAAGAAATAAAGGCTCCTCGAAATGCAGCTGGGTTTGTTCAGTAGGTATAGGCAATATCAGCAAAACATCAAAGCAGATTTACGCTCAATATCCTTGAAACCGAAGCAACTTTGTGGAAGATGCAAGAAATATCAATTGCATTGTAATGAAATAATCAACAATACAATATTGTTTTTGCTACGCTGATAATGTGGTACCTATTGCCGACTCAGAAGACAACCTACATCAGAAACTACTGTAGGTACTTCTTCATAAACAGCAAAACAATAAAATAAAACCAAATGTTTATTAGAAACATCAACAGGGATTGATCAGAAGATTGTTTGATATCTGATAACAGAATGTAGAAGCATCTTGAATTTCAGGATGAAGAAAGTATTTCAATTTTTTTGTAATTTTGAAGCAAAAATTTGGTCCTTTTGAGCCGCATTTTCAATTATAATATATCAATTGACGCTGGTTGCTGAAGTTTTCTACAATCAACCAACCAATTTCTACTCTCAATCCGCAAGTAATTCAGGGTCGAAAACCTAATCGATCGACCTTTCCTCTACCAGCCGCCGAAGCCGAAAATGAATCACGTTGTGTGATCAAATGAAATGAATTCAGTTCGTTTCAAGTCGTGTGTCGCGAAGGGTGCGGATTTGCTCCTAGAATATTTATTCTCTGTTTTGTTTTTTCCTCTGTTATTTTTTGTTTAATTTGGGTTCGGTGCATCATGTATTTTTGTTTGTTTTATTCGTTTTTGTAAAACAAAGTGCCAGTTGAAATTAGGGGACATGCCTCAACCTACGGACCTTCCTTTATCTCAGGTAAGGGCGGACTTTTGATCAATAATCCGGGAGTATGAGCGCGCGATGTTTTATCTAAAAAGAAAACAACATTGGCTGTTTTTGAACTATTGAATCATATCTATTTTTAGTTTTTTTATATAAGTATATTGAAACTAAATTCACATATAATTTGTTTCTTAAATGGATAATATTCAATAATTCGATAGTTATTATGGTCCTTCGAGCCGCACTTTCAACTTTAATCTACTTCTAGTCGGTGCGCTATAGGATGTTATCTTATCATATTTTATTTCCATAGGTTTTATTTGGCTATAAACCAACTATATATGTATTGACAAAAAAGATAACAAATTTCAAAATCAGTCTAAAAGATTAGATAGAGTTCACAGAAAATTCTATCAATATTAGATAGGTATAGGTAGGTAGATTAGTTTTATTGAACTTTATAGAGAAACAGAATAATGTAGCTATGTGATAGGATAGGATAGGATAACAGAACATCCTCATATTATTATTAAAGAATAAAGTTTGCTACAGGACAAAACTATTGGCACTAAATTGTTGTTATAACCATTTTAACTTTGCAAGTACTTGATTTATTGGCCATTTTATTTATTCAATTGATTAACGATTTTAGATCAATATCTATTAATAAATCAATTGGATATAACACATAATATGTTTTCTCCGCTTCAATTTATTTGCGTAGCAAGACCAATTTGTTGCACTTAAGATACTTTTCTTGATTTTAAAATTTTATTATCATCACTTTCAGGTTTAATAACACTAAGCCATTAATCTTTAATCAGTAAAGGCGTGGTCGGTTCTTTTATTATTTAAATCAGTTAAATGCAGTTTCTACTTTCAATTGCATTAAGGGGCTTTAAAAAATAATGCATTTAATGTTATTGCAGTTATCGCGAAATGATTTTAATGGGAGAAAACCACTTATTCACTTCACTTGCAGAACTCAAAGTGAAACAGATTGAGATAAAGTAAACCCTCAGGGGGTTAATCCCATTAATGTGTGTCTGTTATGAGAGAACACATTTAAAAATATATACCAGATGACGTATCAGTGCATGGTAAAATTTAAATATCGAATTACAGAGACACAAAATAAACACAAGTCCGTTACGGCAGATCAAAGGTTAAAAGAAACCGACAGTTTTAACACACACATATAGTTATGTCAATAATCTCAGGCTTGGCTTGGGGTTTTAAAAACATCATTGTATTCTCCCTAGGCCTACTAACATCTTTGATAAACCAATACAAATAAAATACTACTTCAAATAAGCCAAATTCCATTCTTATGGGAAAAATCAGATAAAGCCAAATGTATCTTCATGCCTGAATACTTAATAGGCAGTAAACTAAGACTCCCTATTAGAAAAACTATTGATCAGACAAGGTCATTAAAAACAAGATCCTGACAACGGATAAGGAAGGTGTGAACCCAGACCTGAGAAACTTGATTTCGAAACGAACAAGCTTTTGTTTTAATCTTGCATCTACTAACCTGATCATTATTTAGAGATGAGAGGCGCTATGCGGTAATGCAAATTGAGTATGGGTTTTGTTTTTTGTTTTGTATAGGTTTGATTATTTTGTGGTGAAGGAATTATTAAACGGAAGTCACTAGGTACAGGGTGTTTTTTTATATATTGACACACTAACTACAGCTTTTAAATACCTTTACAAGTTGAAGAAAGGTGTAAATACAAAACATGTACAGTTTTGGCTGAATTTTTAGAAACCATGGTCAGAAACAAAATAAGAATATCAGAAATGTGAAATTTTGCATGCTTTCAGCTTTTTTCAAATGGGATTCTCATATATTTGGCTCCAAAAATTGTAGAAATACTATCCTACTACTGATTTTGTGAACAACTGCAGCTTCCACCTGTACAGGTGGAAGCTGCAGGTAAAATTTAAGGTATCTACTTGGTTTCTTCTCTGATAGTATTTTCAAAATTTTTAGAACCAAATATGTTAGAGACGACTCGACCAAATATAGACAAACTATATAGGTTTGGAATCGGGAAATTGTGTTATCTTCAAGAATATAGAACCAAATATAGCGCATCCCATTTGAAAAAAGCTGAAAGCATGCAACATTTCACATTTCTGACATTCAATTTTTGTTTTTGACCATGGATTTTTAAAATTTAGCCAATACTCTACAACTTTTGTATTTACACCTTTCATCTACCTGTAAAGGTAAAGGCTGTAGGTGGGGTGTCAATTTTTTTTTTTTTTTTTTTATTTATTTATTTATTTATTTCCAAGAGTACAATTTATTTAGTAGCATGTATGATAACAGTAATGCTCCTAGAACAGTTCACCTTGCCAAAGACAAGACGTCGCGCAATATATAAAAAAACACCCTGTACTTGAACAATAAAAAGTCAAAATTTGTAAGATTATTCATTTTTTGTCAATTTGCCTTTCAACAGGAATTAGTAATGTTACTTTATCAAACAAGTAACATAATGTGACAAGTTATTCAAGTACAAATGAGTGAATTGTTGCGGAACTTATAGGTGGACCTCTGCGGGACGAGCGCAGCGAGTTCTGCAGCCATCTATTCATCAATATGTTGTTTAATTACGATACTAAACTGACTCACTCAAATGTGCGTTATTCTCATTAGTTTAAAAATAACACGTTTCAGGTGAATGTCTTACATGAACAGTTCAACAGTATATTGGTGTTTAGATGGCTGCGGAACTCGCTGCGCTCGTCCCGCAGAGGTCCACCCATAAGTTCCGCAACAATCCGCTCATTTGTACTTGAAAAATAACTTATTATACAGGGTTCCAACTATTTCATAGGGACAGTATTGCTATCTTGGGAACGGTTAAAGTTACGAGGGCGTTTAAATTAGAAAAAAGTTGCCATTTTTGAAGAATATTGAAAATATATTTTCGTTGTTACCAAATTTCAATTAGTTTCGTAAATACAGGGTGATTTGTGAAAATTTGCAAAAACAATTTAATCAAATATTTTGAAATCTGTTGATTATAAAGACATAGTTCAAATTCAAAAGTATTATATTTTTAACATTTTTGAAAAATGGACACTGTTTTCTAATTTAAACACCCTCGTAACTTTATCTGTTCTCAAGATAGCAATCAATGCTGTCCCTATAAAATAGTTGGGACCCTGTATAAAGTCAGAATTAGTAAGATTATCCACTTTTTATCAATTCGCCTTTCAACAGGAATTAGTAAAGTTACTTTACCAAACTAGTAATATATTGTAACAAGTTATTCAAGTACAAATAAGTGAATTGTTGCGGAACTTATAGGTGGACCTCTGCGGGACGAGTGCAGCGAGTTCCGCAGCCATCTATTCATCAATATGTTGTTTAAATACGATACTAAACTGACTCAACAATTCTCATTAGTTTAAAAATTACACGTTTCAGGTGAATGTCTTACTTGAACAGTTCAACAGTATATTCGTGATTAGATGGCTGCGGAATTCGTCCACCCATAAGTTCCGCAACAATCCACTTATTTGTACTTGAAAAATAACTTATTATATAAAGTCAAAATTTGTAAGATTATCCACTTTTTGTCAATTCGCCTCTCAACAGGAATTAGTAATGTTACTTTACCAAACTAGTAATATATTGTGACAAGTTATTCAAGTACAAACGAGTGGATTGTTGCGGAACTTATGGGTAGACCCAGCCATCTATTCACCAATATGTTGTTCAAGTACAATACTAACCTGATTCACTCAGTTGTGAATTTTTCTCATTAGTTCAAAAACTACACGTTTCAGGTGAGTGTCTTGAACAGTTCCACAGTATATTGGTGAGTAGATGGCTGCGGAACTCGCTGCGCTCGTCCCGCAGAGGTCCACCCATAAGTTCCGCAATAATCCACTTATTTGTACAGGGTGTTTTTTTATATATTGACACCCCACCTACAGCCTTTACCTTCACAGGTAGAAGAAAGGTGTAAATACAAAAGTTGTACCTACAGTTTTGGCTGAATTTTAAGAAACCATGGTCGGAAACAAAATTTGAATATCAGAAATGTGAAATTTTGCATGCTTTCAGCTTTTTTCAAATGGGATTCTCATATATTTGGCTCCAAAAATTGTGAAAATACTATCCTACTACTGATTTTGTGAACAATTTCACCTGTACAAATGAAAGCTGCAGTTAAAATTTAAGGTACTTGGTTTCTCTGATAGTATTTTCAAAATTTTTAGAACCAAATATAACGGTGCAACCAAATATAAACAAACTAGTTTTAGAATCGGAAAATTGTGTTCTTCAAGAATATAGAACCAAATATAGCGCATCCCATTTGAAAAAAGCTGAAAGCATGCAACATTTCACATTTTTGACATTCAATTTTTGTTTTTGAGCATGAATTTTAAAAATTTGACCAATACTGTATAACTTTTGTATTTACACCTTTTATCTATCTGTAAAGGTAAAGGCTGTAGCTGGGGTGTCAATACATAAAAAAACACCCTGTACTTGTAAAACGAACTATTTCTGCTGAATTTCATTTCAATTCAATTCTGTATCGAACTTGGTTCATTCCAGACTCTTTATTTCTATCTCTTTGAATTATCATTATTTTTTTTATCCCAGGCTCTTGAGTTCTCATTCACTATATTACAGAGTTCAGGCTCTTTTCTTGTTTTTATTCCAAATTGATGTAGGTTTGTTTAGTTGGAAGTTAACAGAAAGTCAAGAGGCTGAAATAGATAATAGTCTCGAAAAATCTTGTTTCCAGCTTCATTAAAGCTAAAATTTCAACTAGAAAAGCATACAAATTCTATTCTGGGTGCTCCTAATGCGAAAAAATGCAACTAGAAAACTGTATTTGATTTTGATTTTTGACCATTTAAGAGGTAAAGTTGATCTAGAGGTGGTTAGGAAGCTTGTTTGATCCTCTCAGATTGGGAAATTGTAAAAATATCATTCCCAGCTCTACCAGAGCTGAAATTCAAATAAGAAAAGCATACAAATTCTATTTTCGGCGCTC